CTGCTTTTTTCTTTCTTCTTTCATCTTTTTTCTTTCATCTTTCTTCTTTTTTCTTTCTTCTTTCATCTTTTTTCTTTCATCTTTTTTCTTTCATCTTTTTCTTTAAATGTTTTTCTTTCATCTTTTTTCTTTCTTCTTTTTTCTTTCTTCTTTTTCTTTTCTTTCTTCTTTTTCTTTATTCTTTATTCTTTCTTCGTTATTCTTTCTTCTTTTCTTTCTTCTTTTTTCTTTCTTCTTTCATCTTTTTTCTGTCATCTTTTTTCTTTTCTTTCTTCTTTTTTCTTTCTTCTTTCATCTTTTTTCTTTCATCTTTTTTCTTTCATCTTTTTTCTTTCATCTTTTTCTTTAAATGTTTTTCTTTCATCTTTTTTCTTTCTTCTTTTTTCTTTCTTCTTTTTCTTTTCTTTCTTCTTTTTCTTTATTCTTTATTCTTTCTTCGTTATTCTTTCTTCTTTTCTTTCTTCTTTTTTCTTTCTTCTTTCATCTTTTTTCTGTCATCTTTTTTCTTTTCTTTCTTCTTTTTTCTTTCTTCTTTCATCTTTTTTCTTTCATCTTTTTTCTTCTTTCTTTCTTTTTTATTTTATCTTTTTTCTTCTTTTTTTCTTCTTTTTTCTTTCATATTTTCTCTTTCTTCTTTCATCTTTTTTCTGTCACCTTTTTTCTTTCTTTCACTGGTTTTATTAATCTGGGTAAATGACCTGAGCACCTGTTCAGTAGAGATGATTGTTCCTGTTTCACAGGTGAAAGGAATTAAAATCACTCAATAAGGTACTTTGAGATAAATAATAATGAAACAACTTCATGAAAGTGATTAAACCAATTCAGCTTCAAAGACAAAAACACTTTTATGTGATTAAATAAAGACATAAATCAGCATTTTGTTCTTTTTAATGAGTCTAAGAAAACAGCGAGAGAATATAACACTTTTTCTATCCTTTACTGCTGCCGTGTGGGTCTCTGCTGCCGCTGCAAACACTCGACATGTGATTAAAACCCTGTTTTCTGTCAGTGGTGGGTTTGAGAATCATCTGCTGATCAAAAGTCTAATCAAACTTCATGTCTCTGAGTAAATTAATTTTATTTTCAGCATGAGCGTAAAGATCCATAACCCTTTCCATTCCCATGGAAACCACCCAGGTTTAATTATGACTGAAAATAACTTCCACCAACTCCATCACCATGTGGTACGCCGCACCCTCTGAGAAGAAAGTTGGCTGATACTGGCTCTTACTTAAGGACCTTCACATCTCCATGAACAGGAAGTAGACAGATAGGAGAGTGGAGGATCACTCTCATCTCAAACATCAATGGTGCTCCTTTCTGCCAAGAGGTTGAGGTCCTTCAGTAACAGAACCTTGAGGCAGCTGCCCTTCTCAATTCCTGTGAGTTAGTTCATCTTGTGGCTGTAGTCGCTCTCCTTTGGTCACTTTCAGTTCATAAACATTTCACATTGTACAAATCTGAATTGTTAAAGGAAATGTATTGGCAGTCCTCAGGTGTGCACACGTTTGACACAACCCCTACCAGATTCCAACTCCACTCCCACTTCATGTTTGAAAAATGCAACAAATGCTGTTGCCTGGCAGACCGAGGGGGCGGAGCTGCTAACAAATACACACAGGCATTGTGACATCATAATGTACCAGTTTACATCATAGCATACCTCTTAGCCAATAGCAGTGGCAGATTTAAATTAGAATACAATGCAGAGTTTTTACCTGACAACGGCACAACACTGCCAGTTTTAGGCAGAATATTTAAATTTTAACTAAGATGCACTGAAGTGCCAAATTATTGACGGCACGTGTCTGCAGCACGATTAGACACTCGTTTCTTTAGTTTATCAGCAAAAAAAAGGTTATTCGGGGGTGTCTTGCTCTTTAAACGTCTATATGATCACATTTAAATGTTTTCGGGAAGATTCCTGGTTGCTAAGCAACAGCCTACGTCAGAAGGGGAATTAAAGTTCAAACGAACATGCTGTTCTAATCCTTTGGGGCCGCAGTGGCACGAACAGGTAAGATGTTCGCTCACTGAATAGGTGCCTATCTCCAGCAGTCAATGGGCAATCAGGTGGGGTACACCCTGGACAGAGAGCCAGTCCATCGCAGGGCAACACAGAGACACACAGGACAAACAATCACACACACACACACACACACACACACACACACACACACACACACACACACACACACACACCTAAGGACAATTTAGACAAACCAAATTACCTAACAGTCATGTTTTTGGACTGTGGGAGGAAGCCAGAGAACCCGGAGAGAACCCACGCATGCACAGGGAGAACAGGCAAACTCCACGCAGAAAGATCCCAGGCTGGGAAGTGAACCCAGGACCTTCTTGCTGCAAGGCAACAGCTCTAAACCACGTCCGTTGACCATAAATTTACTGTACGCTTTCCTCTCCTGGGCCTTAACGGTGCAACAGTGTTAAGGATAGCCTCACAGGTCTTATTAAAACAAGTAAGCAATCCATCCAGTGAGGACTTGTCTGATAAATCAAAGAAGGCTTGTTCAAACAGCAAAGTGAAATGAGTTGCAGTGTCAGAGTTCACATGACGACTATGCCTACTGGGGGCAACAAGTGCCAGCAAATTGCTATGCAGAGTAGTCTCAAATAATATCGGATTATGGTCTGAAAAAACTGCATCCTTAATAGTCAGATTATCTACTGAACACCCAGTGATAACACAAGATCCAGTGTGTGGCCACATTAACCCACTGCGTAAAAGTCAAAGAGTTCACAAGGTTGATGAAATCTGAGACCTAAAGGTTTTCCAGGACAGCAGATATGAATATTAAAGTCTCCCAGTAGCAATATCCGCTCGTACCTAGCAGCCCAGTTTGCTAGGACTTCTGAAAACTCCGGCAAAAAATCCTTATTGTATTTCGGGGGTCTATATACTACAGCACAGAGGATTGGTTGCAGATGAAATATTATTATTATTATTATTATTATTATCAATACAAACTCACTATTTTATTAATAGAACTTTTATAAACATAAATGTAAACAGACAAAAATAAGTTTGTCAGGTAACAGGAGCTGGACCCAAAAGCAAGGCTTGAGAACAAGGAGGTAAAAAGCAAATGTCCTTTATTAAGGCTGAGGTCAAAAGCAGATGAAAGATCCCAACAAACAATCCTAAATAAGCTGGCAAAAGGCCAGAGACGAGTGAACCAAAACTAAGTCAAAGACACTGAGTGCAAACACTAATCACGGCAGGAACGAAGTGCTAGAAGACAACGAACTGGCAACCGAAAGGAGAATAGAGAGAGAGAGAGGAGAGAGAGAGAGAGAGAGAGAGAGAGAGAGAGAGAGAGAGATGAGAGAGAGAGAGAGAGAGAGAGAGAGAGAGGAGAGAGAGAGAGAGAGAGAGAGAGAGAGAGAGAGAGAGAGAGAGAGAGAGAGAGAGAGAGAGAGAGAGAGAGAGAGAGAGAGAGAGAGAGAGAGAGAGAAGAGAGAGAGAGAGAGAGGAGAGAGAGAGAGAGAGAGAGAGAGAGAGAGAGAGAGAGAGAGAGAGAGAGAGAGAGAGAGAGAGAGAGGAGAGAGAGAGGTTAAATTCAAGTAAAAACAGCTGGATGAATCAGGTTAACAAGGACAGGAAGTGGCACAGAGGAGGATGTCAAAATTAAACAGGAAACAAAGAACTGGGCTCTTGGCAGGGTGTGACAGTTTTGGTTCTTTCCAGTTTAAATTATTACATTTTCTCATCAAAAAGCAATATTTTAATTGTTTTTTTTAGTTCTTCTAATTGGGTTAAATGATAAATATTAATTTAAGATAAATGCAAGCCATTCTTTGTGATAAAAATTAGATCAGCACAAATTTTTAATGTTGTAATTTTCTTTCACTTTTGGATCAATTAAAAGAAAAAATTACCACTGCTAACAGAAACAAATGAACCTTGTTTTCTGGCTGTGGTCGGGTGAGCTGACATCATACATGATGCATTACAGAACTGGTGCCCTCACAGGTGAAACAAATGAGGAAAGATGAGAAGCATAACCATCAGAAATGTTAGACTATTTGTTTATAAATAACTCAAATATAAATGTAACTTTGCTTTTTTATTATTTTATTTTTGTTGCTTGTGTTTTTATCTTTGATACAAATGTTTCTTCCTCTGAGAAACTATAAATTTACAGTGAAGGGGTATGTTCCTCTCTGTCCTCTCAGACTAGCTGATGTTATAGAATCAACTGGTGTAGAATGGAGACCTTTAACCAGTCCTGGGTCTGCTATATTGAACTTGTTTTATATTATAGCCTCTAATCTCTGCCATCTGAAGATCATTGGTGACCAAATACACACCCGATAACGGTATTCCAGTGTGACAGAGGCTTATTACTGTCATAATGAATGGTTGTACGGGACCCTGGAGCAACACCACTCGAAAACACAGCTGAGGTAAGTAACAAAAAGTTTATTAAAAGGAGATAGCGCTGGGTCTGGAGAGTCTGGAACTGGCTGGGTTCTTGGAGAGACGAGAGGTTGGTGAGCTGAGAACGATGCGTTAAGAATGTGTCAGGGGAAGAAAAAGTGGCTTACACAGTCTTTCGGTGTTTTAGGATTTGAGGAGGGTACCTGTCGGTGATGATGGCTGGTTTCAGAGGAACGAGGAGGGAGGACGTCATGATGTCTGATGCAGGATCTCTGGGAGGAAAACCACAGGAATATGTCACAAGGCTAATACCGGTATGGGTCAGGACAGCCTGTGGTTACCACAAGAGTAGTGGAACGATCTGGCGCCGTCCAGGTGAAGTCCTGCTCCTTTTATGCTCCTCTGATGATGCACCTGATGAAAAACATCTGTGGAAGCTGCCTGCCACACCTTGCAGAGGGTAAAAAGGAGCAACAAGGAATACCTCCAAAACACCAGCAGGAAAGGGGAACCCGACAATTACAGCTAATTGGAACTTTAAAATAAGGTGAGTGGTCATAACTTTATGTCTGGTCAATTCATTTTATTTTTATACAAATTAAATTCAAATTTCTTGTTTATTATTTTATAAAACATTCATTGATTCTTTCACATTTTCATGAAAAATAAATCATCCGTACAGAACTTCAACCTTTTGGTTTGAACCATGAGGTCCACCTGCTTAAGATGTGGGATGTATTAAATTAGCAGAACTTGTTTTTGCTTCACGGTGTGTTTCTTTTTGTAAAAGCAGCAGGGACACCAAACTGAGTCGGTCCTGTTCCATCTGTCCTGCTTTGGACTCCCATCACAAGGATAGTCTGGTCCAGGATTGTCCTTTCATCAGGGTCTACTCGCTCACTTTGCTGAAATGTTCTCCTGCACTGATACTTCTCATGATGATCAGAAGTCTCTGTATTGAAATTGGGAGTCACAAGCATCCATACGCCTACTTTAAGTTCTTTTGGTGTTCTTCCTTTTGGGCACCAGCGCTGTAAAGCTACCTTTTATTAGACGAACCAATCTGGTGTCTCATCCAAGTCGTTGGAACTGTTGAAGAAAGGTAAAAAAAAAAGAATCAGATGTGGTTTTGAGTCAAATTCTTCATCATATAGCTGAGTATTAGTCTTTTACTCTTACTTTGCTGTGGATTACTGGCGCTGCTACCAAAAGAGGACTGAAAGTTATGAATGGTCTCCTGAAGGATCTGCCTCTCTCGACCCTGATGACAGCCAAGGAATGATGTTATATAAATATAAATACATCACAAACCTTTTCTATATTGTGTCTCTGTGGTACAGATTAATTATAAACTGTTGTTTTTAAAAAAATCTTCATTCGTGTCCAAAGTATTCCCAGTGTTCCCTGGTCCTCTCTGGCTAAGGCTGTTTATTAAGAAACCATGTTGGATTTAGACAAACTGATGTGGAGAAACTACAAATTCAGCACCAAGGACACAATTAGACAATGAAATCTGAAAAATGGGTTGAACCAAACGCACCTTTCCAGCATTGAGCTCTGATATGGCAGCTAGGATCTGCTGTCTGGGTCCATCTGTTTTTATACCCAGCTCCTTCAAGTCTCCATCTGTCAGAGTCAGAAATGCCTCCATGTCCACCTAAAAGAGAGCAGATAAACACAGGTTCAAAGTCTTTAAAACCTGTCTGAGCAACAAAATAAAAACAGAATGTTTGTCTTATTTTACACATTCGAAAAAGAAAGAACACCTCTTGTTCCTCGAATATAGGCTGATATTTTTCAAGGGAGAGTTTCTTCAAAATGCTGGACCTGAAACCCAACAAAAACAGCAATTTGTGATATTTAAGAGAAACAAAATTCATCTTAAAATCAGTCACTGTGTTTAAAAAAAGCTTTAACTAGAACAGAAGAAAAAAGATAACGTGTGTGTGATGGAGTTGGCTTGAGCATTTGGCCAACAACACGTCATCATCATCGTTCAGCTGATCGGTGATTAAAGGTATATGTAAGAATATAGTGAGTTTTACAGTGAAAAAATCCCCAAAAGAGTCTAATGTTTCTGTCATTTTGGAAGGAAGGTTATACTGAAACATATTTCATATCCAGCTGGCTGCTGGACTGTCAGTTTTTCTCCTTTCAAAACAAAGGAAGAAGGAACGTAACCGTTTACATTCAGTCAGTCTGGGGGTGCCGAGCCAGTACTGCTGCGCAGTAACCAAATTTTACCTCAGGATGTCGTTTTTACTTCATTTCTACATAATGCACCTTTAAATGGCCCAGGTATTTTCATATTATTCAGGGTATCTGCAGGTTTAAGGGAGCCAAATTTAAGACTTTTTAAGACCTTTTTTAAGGCCACTTTGACCAAATTTAAGCTATTTTTAAAATTAAATCCAAGCTATAATTTTCAGCTATTGCCTGGAACTGGTGCTAACCACGTGGCGAACGTGGGATTAGCCATCCAGTTACCATTAAACTTGCACTTCCCCATGGTGCAAGCTCCCACTAGCTTAACCAGCTAATGTGCTCATCTAAAAATAGCCCCCTTTCACAACAAACTGAATGTGTGCAGTTCCGCTTACGCCAACATCGTACACAAAAAATGCTGAACACTAACTAGAAATTCACGAAAATTTTATAGAAATAAAAGAATCTTGTTTATTGGGTCTTTGGTAATTTAAGACCTTTGGAAACTGTATTTAAGGATTATTTGTAATTTTTAAGGATTTTTAGGGCCTTAAATTTGGAAAAGCTAATTTAAGACTTTGTAAGGACCCGCGGATACCCTGATTATTGTTTGGCAGCTTAAATACTGGAAGCTTCAGGCATTTATCCTGGTTCTATATATTACAACAACACTTTTACTGGCATCGTGTTTATATTATATTATCATACGATGCTTGACTCACGTTTCACCAGTCTGAAAGGCTCGAGGCTGCATAAACATTTCAGCATGTAGACTAAATAAAACTAGAGACAAAACTGATTCCTGCCAAACACTGTTACAGATTGTACAGGGGTATAGACTCCAGCGCCCTTTGACCTACAAGTGAGTGTAACAAACAAGAACTCTTATGACCTACTCAGGCACTCTGCTTTGATTTTATTTAATATAAAAATTTTTTTGGTGTTAACTTGATCAAAAACTTTACAAGCATGAATAAAATGCTGCACAGCATTTGCATATATACTTGTAAGAGCCATGCTTAGGGTTCAAACCACACTGACTATCTGCAGAAGTGATAGAACAACTCTTCCAATCAAGCAGGATCCTTTTCATGACCTCTGCAGCAGCAGACTTATGGTATCACCTTCACCTGTGATGGTTCCACTGCTGGAGCCCCCACTGCTCTTGGAGCGTGGGTGAGAAGAAGCTGAGGACACAGAGTCACCACGCCCAGAAGGAACCTTGGGTGTTGGGGATGGAGACGGAGTCAGAGTGGGTGATGTGCTCTTGGAGGTGGAGGAATTTCCTGACTGGGGTCTCTTCTTAAGCTCCATCTTCTGCAAACGTGGACAAATAAAAATAGACAAAATAATTTAAATATGATATGATCCAAGCATGGTGTTGCTTTAATACTGGCATCAAAGAAACAAACCCTTCTAGGGTGGATGTCAGAGGAGACGAGGCTGGGGTGGGAGTGTATGTCTGGCAGGACGACATCAGGTGGTACCAGACTAGGTGCTGCTGAGGTCAGCAGTGGAGCTTGGTTCTGTTTTTCTGGAGCTTGAGCCTTCACCTCTATTAGACCTGCTGCTCTTTTACGTTGAGCCGCTATCTGAGACAGAACACTGTCTGTGCTGCCCCCTGGTGGAAGAAACGGTTAAGCTCGTGTATTCAGCTCCTGGATAATATTTTATCTGCTTCTAAGCATGGATCTGATTTTATGTCTGCATGTGGACCTGAGCGGTTGTGAGAGTCCCGGTTGAGTCCAGCCACTCCGTTAGAGCCTCCAGAGGAGTGGGGGGAGTGGAAGTGACCAGAATTAGAAGGAGAGGATGAGGAGGGTCCTTTTGGGATGCTAGGAAACTTGATTGACCGGTTAACGACACGAGTGATGGACGTCTAAAGTGAACCAGAGGACAGCAGGAATAAAAATATGAAACAACACAAACATAAAATGTCCTCTCTTTCAAACTGCCACTCACAATATCAGAGTTCCCACTGCTGTTGAGCTTCCTTTGAGGCAGCATGGGCAGGCGGGGAGCTTCACTCTTTCCCTCCCTGAGAAAACGTGAACGGTCTGAGTTCCACGGCTCAAAGTTGGATGGAGGTAAGAAAGGAGGGATCACGGCTTTTAGCTTATCGTCCGGCAACCGGGTGAGCGGCGCACCACCTCTTAGCTTTAGGAGAAACAAAAATATGATCAATATCATTTTGTTTAAAAAATGTCATAACAGACTTTTAAATACAGAACAGAAATTTCCAGGAAAGCCTTAATTTCAAAGCAAACACTCTCACCATGGTGGTTATTAGAGAGTCCTCCTTTTCTGATGCTCTGCAATGACCTGCTGGAATAAGAACATATTTTCAGTCTTATTCTCGTGTTGCATTAAGACAACTACACATATGTTCTATATCAACATGTTTGTTCTGTGTATTTCTGACGAATAAAGAACGGTACCAGATTCTTTAGTCTTTACAGCCCAGGCATCGTTCACTCCAGGGACAGAAGTAGGTGTTGTTGCCACACTGGACACAGCAGCCGTCTTCATATCTGCCCGCATTGTGGAATCCATTGGAACGTCAGCCTCATCAGGAAATGGAGCCAGCCGATTGGTTGACAGGCCGTGCCTCAGTGTGTGAGTCAGTTTCAGTTGTCGAAAGCGATTTGACATTCTGCTCCACCAGGACTGTGAAAAAAGTTTACCCAGAAATCACAACATGTTGGAGGACCTTTGTCAGGTCTTTTTATCACATAATAGGTCAATGAAACTTTTTAACATCTTTATTGTTTCCATGGCGATACCCATTGTTTACACCTGCTTCACAGCTTCAAGCAATGCAAGTTAGCACTGAATCTTGAATAATGAGGTTCAGCTCAAGTGAAGTTTTTAAAATTTTTGGTTCCTGAAGTAAGTAGGCATACATTGATGCCAATACCGACATCGGGCCAGTTTCTATCCATCAGTGACTTATAAGTAAACTTTATTTGTATAGCACCTTTCCCAGGCATAAGTCACAAGGTGCTTGACAACACTGTAAAAGTTTAAACAACAAAAAAAATGGGTAAAATTAAAACTGTGAATAAAAACAATTAATAAAAATAATAAAACATATCATAAAAGGCCAAGACCACACAGAAAACATAACAGCCCCAAAACAACTAGATGAATGCCTGAACAAATTAATGAGTCTTAAGCTCACTCTTGAACTTGTCAACAGAATCAATAGAACGCAGAGTGAGGGGTAGGTTATTCCAGAGCTTAGGAGCTACAGCTTCAAATGAACGGTCACCTCTAGTGCGATAGTAAGTGCGAGGAACTTTAAGCAGATTAAGATCCCCACTCCTCAGAGCCTGCACAGGGGTGAAGGGTTGGATCAGTTCTCTAATGTAGGAGGTAGCTTGTCCATGCAGGACTCTGAAAACCAAAATCTTAAACTTAAATCTAAAAGACACAGGCAGCAAATGAAGTTCCTTTAGGATGGGGGATATGTGAAACCTCCTATTCGTGCACGTCAGGATTCTTGCAGCAGAGTTCTGCACTAGTTGCAGACAATGGAGCTCCTCCTTGTTCAGACTAGAAAATAAGCTATTACAATAGTCTAAACGGGATGACACAAAGGCATGAATGAGGAGCTCCAAATCTTTTCTTGACACCATACGACTAAGTTTCGAGATGTTCCTTAGTTGAAAAAAGCAGTTTCTCGTTAGCTGCTTACAATGCTGCACAAAAGACATTTCGCTGTCAAAGATGACTCCTAAATTTCTAAGGCTTAACTTCACAGATCGGCCCGAATCACCCAGGCACTAATTCATCTCCAGGACAGAACCAACAGGGGCAACAGCCAGAATTTCTGTTTTGTTAGCATTTAGCTGCAGGGAATTTTCATTAAGCCATTTCTTTATCTTTACTAAACAATGGAGCAAAGACCAACTTATTCAGCTCTAACTGCTTAAAAGAGCAGTATACCTGAATGTCATCAGCAAATAGGTGGAATGAAATGTCACTAAACCTTTGAATGATCTTAGCCAAAGGGGTCAAATACAACAAGAAAAGAACAGGACCCAGGAATGAGCCTTGGGGCACTCCACTCAGCAATTCTGCAGATTCTGACCTTATTTGGTTTGTTGTAACACTAAAGCTACGTTCTGATAAATAAGAGGAGAACCACTGAAGGACTGTCCCTGAAAGTCCCATTTGGTCCCCTCAGTCTCATCAGCATAACCTAATGATCAACTGTATCGAAGGCTGAAGAAAGGTCCAAGAGAACCAGAACAGTGCGGTTTCCAGAATCAGCAGCCATCATAATGTCACTGGACACTTTCAGTAAAGCTGTTTCCATAGAATGATATTTAAGGAAACCAGACTGAAATGGCTTTGGTTGAGGAAGGAAGACATCTGTTCATAGACCACCTTCTCAAGAATCTTAGAAAAAATTGCAAGCTTGGAAATAGGTATATAGTTGCTAAGGTCAGTTGGCTCTAAACCTACCTTCTTCAGTAGTGTCTCCACAATGGCAAGTTTAAATGCGTTGGGAAACACGCCAGTTGTTAGAGAGAGGTTGACCATTTTGGTAATACATGGGCCTATTAACTCAAACACTTTTCTGAAGAGCCTACAAGGAATGACGTCGGATGAACAATAAGAAGGCTTCATCTTAGCCACTAGCGCCGAAACATCAACAAGCGTCATAGTCTTGAAAGAGCACCACATACTAGAGGCGGGCTCAGAGACTGAAGGAGAACCCCCAGGGGAGGACAAAATATTATCTTTAATCATCTTGATTTTGTTTGTGAAAATTTTCAAAAAGGCGTTGCTATCTGCTTCACAGAAAACAGGTGTAACTGGAGGCACAGGACATACAAGGGAATTAATCGTGTCAAATAACACTTTGGGATTTTTCTTAGATGAGGTTACTGGTTGACAAATATAATTAGACCAAGCAATTTCTAACCATCTCGTTATATGAGGACACAAGATCCCCGAGGTAAAGTATATGTACCTCTAATTTGGACGATTTCCACAAACTTTCAGTTTTTCGACATAGCGTCTTTTGACTTAGGATTTCTTCATTTATCCAAGGACACAATTTCCTTTGTGTAGATACGTTAGATTTAACAGGAGCTACCTGATCAAGAATTTCAACACAGTGGTTGTTAAAGCAGTGCATGAAAACATCCACATCAAGACAATCCAGAAATAAAAGAGGATCAAACATGTCAGAAAAACTATCTGCACTGTTATCAGTGATTAGACGTCTCACGGACCTTTTTTCTAGAGGCTTGGGTTCAGGACTGCAGTTAAGATCAAACAAGACAAAACTGTGGTCACTCAAATGGACATCATTTACAGACAAATTCAAAGTATATAGGCCAAGTGTAAAAACCAAATCTAAAATATGGCCTTTCTGGTGGGTAGGTTCAGAAACAAGCTCCTTGAAATGAAAAGCTTCAGTCAGTGATAAAAGTTCCATTGCAGGACAAGATGAGTCATCATCAACATGGTTAAAATCCCCAATGATTAAAACAGTTTCCAGTTTTATAATAGAGGACAAGAATGCACCAAAAAACTTTAAAAGGTCAGCGGTAGGGCCAGGAGGACGGTAAATCACCACGCAGTAGAAAGGAAATGAAGAACCCACCTTAACCATCAGCGATTCAAAGGAAGAAAATTCTTGGCACTGGATCACATTGCATTTATAAGCATTTTTATGCACAAGGGCAATGCCACCACCATGGCAACATAGGCGGGGCTTCCCAATGACAGCGCAGCAAGTTGGACAGAGACTATTTAAATAAATAAACTCTTCCTCTTTCTGCCATGTCTCCAAAAGACACAAAATATCCAAATTTTCCCTTGAAAAGAGATCGTTCAATGAATGAGATTGATTTCCACTTGAATGAGCATTCAGCAAGCCGACGTGAATTGTAGATGACGTTACGAGGGCAGTGTCCGTTTTGCACAATGGGATTGGACGAAGGCAGGCCGAGCGGGCATGTGACTTATATGCAGGGGAACCTGAATCTGGGAGCATTTTTTGTGCACAGCATGATGAGGAAGTGGGGGCTTCACCCACTAGTCTTGAGAAGAAGAGCGACTGTGGACCTCTTTGCATCCAAGGCCAACACCTACTGCCCTTTGTTCTTTTCAATTATAGATCTGAATGTTCCGATGAGGGTGGATGCACTGGCTCACCCGTAGCCCAATGTACTCGTGTGCATTTTCTCTGCTTTCCGATATCAACTTTTGTCCTAGTCCCATAATATTTAGCCGTGAAAGGTATAAATTATCAGTGTCCAGTTGCTCACAGCTTGTCATTGAATGTCAAGAATGGCAGGTTTTGGTTTTGATCTAACTGTGGGCCCACAGCAATATTCATACAGAAAGAAACACTCTCTGCTTGAAGCATAATGATCTGTTATCCACTGAACCTCACTCACCTAGGGTCCGAGGAGTTATGTATCAGAATGCTCTTTCTGGGTATCAATTGAGTATTTAACACTGTCGTTCCACAGATAGTAGCTGTTGTAGCTAGAACTGAACCCAACAACATGCAGGTACTTTTTGGACTACCTCGTGGGCAGATCGGTACTGCTGTATTCAATGCTTGTGCCTTTCAAGGATGTGTCCACAGCCCCCTTCTCTTCAATCTACATACATTTGATTTTTCTGCAAGATATCAGATATACGATGTGAAGTTTTCAGATGACAAAGGTGGGCTTGGGTGGTATTATGCTATTACTGTATAGAATAGAATAGAATAGAATAGAATAGAATAGAACAGAACACAACATCAATGGTGTCAGTTCCAATACTGTCATGAAAAAAACAGTGCACATAGGAGACAAGGATTACAAAAATAAAAATCAAAGTTAATTAAAAATCTATATAAAAAGTCATTTAATGTATAAAATGGATGTGTGGTTGCATTTTCAGTTTTACATAAATAGTTTAAAGTGTTTTTTTTTTTCCAACTTTTAAAGACGTTCCACAAAGTTTACACACCAAGAGAAAGATGGCAGCTTGCTCACCAACTGACTTGGTGTCTAAAAAGAACACAACTTCTGCAGTTTGGGAGTGTTTTGGGTTGGAAGCAAACTTAAAAGGAGAGCCAGTAAACACTGATGAGGTAATTTGTGCAAACAAAAGAAGACCGTGAAAGACACAGGTCCCGTTAGCACAGCAGAGGAGCGAGTCGAAGCTGAAATGGCCTTCTGTTTGGAGCCTGTTATTAAAAGAGACAACATCACACGTTTCTGGTGAAAAATGTGCTGCCAGCCTTCCTCAAATGTCGCGACTAGCCTCAAAGTACCCGTATGTCTGTGCCACAAGCTCATCAAAGCAGGTTTTCAGCTCTGAGGCAAAGCAGTCGGTCCACAACGTCCTAGGATGAAGCCCAAAAAGGTTTTCAGGTGAAAAATCAGTTAAAGGTGTAGCAATCGATGTTTCTGAAGAACCGCCCACTCAACGTTCTTTAAAATGCGCATGCGCACCCCTCTACCAGTCCGTGGAGCATGCTCGTGCACGCTCCGTTTCCAAGCAACTGCCGGCTTTGCACCTGTTGAGCAACTTCTTTTTTTTCCCACAATGTCGGATTCTCCACCAGTAAGTTATATTCCATGTAGAATTATGAGCATCTTCATAGCTAACTATAGCATTACAAAAAAAGCTAGCAATTAGCATATAAGTTATATTGTTTTGCTGATTGGTTTAGAGCTTTCCTGAGGAAAGTCTTGTTGGTTCCGATATGGACTACGAGCCCGTGCCCGGTCCATCCTGACCAAGATCCAGGATGAGGGGTGCACCTAGAGACCGAGTGAGACGATCCAGGGCCAGAAGAGCCACAGCTTCAACAACCCGCGGCAGCCGAGAGCAGGAAGGAGGCGGCCGTGTCAGAGGTCGACGTCGAGTTCGAGGTCAAGCTAGAACTCGTGGGGGTCTGCTCGCTGACCTTACATGGGATGACTTAGAAAGGGTACAACAACTCCAGCAACAGTTGGTGGCAGTGGAAGAGGTATGCGTGCATATCTAACTACTAACTTATCATAATTTTGTGCAAAAAAAGAACGCCAAAAGCAAAGCCTTTAATTTACATTTGCTCCATTACGAGTCCAATTATTTCATCTGTATGATTATCCCGATTTTGAATGTGTGAAATATGTTATGTGGATTTATTCTAACGTATTCATGACATACTCTGCTCCATCCAACATTATGAATTTTAGTTTACAAAAAATAATTATTTTATTTCACATGTTGTCTAAAAGCACAATAAAAACGTGATTCCATCATACCTTCAGGCCTCCCTTGTCATCAGGTGGTATGGGGATGTGGTTGGGAGACAGTTTGCTTTTGGAGTAATTCATCAAAACTCTCCCTCGGTGTTTGGTCTTGTCCTTGTCTACTTGCATACACACTGATGCTAACAGGCGAACCAGCTCGGTGTCTAGCAAGAAACAGAAGTGGATGCAAAAATAACTTCATATTCAAAGAGATTAGAAAAATGTAACAGTCTACTCAATATAAATGACAAATTAAAACCTCCATAGAGTAAGAGTTCGAGTTTCGTAGCTTTGGAGAATGATGAGGCACGTGTAAGGAAATACACTCACCGGTTATTTTAATGAGTACACCTTACTTGTACCGTGTAAGATGTAATGTAAGAAGTATTTTTTTTTTAAAAACCGTGGCCTCCAGAATGTGCTTAAATGCATGCAATCGCAAGCAGCCCTGTGTATTTGATGCCAAACAGTCCACTGCACAACAGGTTTTGAGTCTGACGGACATTCCAGCTGTCATCCAGCTCTCTTTTTACTTTTTGTTCATACATGTAACGAATGTGGGACTTTAGTTGTGCATCAGAATTATATTGAAAAGAGTAGACGGAAATAGCATTATTTATAGAGCGGGGGCTCGGTCAGGGTGGGATTGAGGAGCTCCTCAAAGTATTCCTTCCACCATCCGACTATAGCCCCAGTTGACATCAGCAGTTCCCCATCCCCACTGTAAACAGTGTGAACGAGTAGCTGCCTCCCTCTCCTGAGGAGCCAGACAGTTTACCAGAACCTCTTTGGAGCCGATCAATAGTCTTTCTCCATGGCCTCACCAAACTCGTCCCACGCCCGAGATGTGTCAGATGATACGACTACAAAGTCTGTTCTTGACCTGCGACCTAGGCTGCCCTGGTACCAAGTGTACCGATGGGCATCCTCATGTTCGAACATGGTGTTCGTTATGGCCAAACTGCGGCTTGCACAGAATTCCAATAACAAAACACACTCGAGTTCAGATCAGGCGGGCCGTTCCTCCCAATCACACCCCTCCAGGTCATGCTGTCATTGCCCACGTGAGCACTGAAGTCCCCCAGCAGGACAATGGAGTCCCCTGATGGAGCACTATCTACCACTCGTCCCAGGGACTCCAAAAAAGGTGGGTACTCTGACCTGATATTTGGCCCATAAGCACAAACAACAGTCAGGACCCGTTCCCCGACCCGAAGGCGCAGGGAAGCTACCCTCTCGTCCCCCGAGGTAAATCTCAACACACAGGCAGAGAGTCTTGGGGCTAACAAAAAGCCAACCCCAGCCCTCCACCTCTCACCCGGAGCAACTCCAGCAAAGGAGAGTGTCAAACCCCTCTCCAGGTCTCGGGTTCCAGAGTCAATGCTATGTGTCGAGGTGAGTCCGACTATATCTAGCCGGCACCGCTCAACCTCTGTCACAAGCTCCTGCTCCTTCCCCGCCAGCGAGGTGACGTTCCATGTCCCAAAACCCAGTTTTCTTGTCCGGGGATCGGACCGCCAAGGCTCCCGCCTCGGTCTGCCACCCGATCCACACCGCACCGGACCCTTCATGTTCCTCCTGCGGGTGGTGGGTCCACAATTGGATGAGCCCATGTGTCCCGTTTGGGCTGGGCCCGGCCGGGCCCCATGGGCGAAAGCCCGGCCACCAGGCGCTCGCTCACGGGCCCCAACCCCAGGCCTGGCTCCAGGGTGGGACCCCGGTAACCCTCCGGGCCGGGTACTCTTGACTCCTTTATAATTCATCCATGAAAGATCCTCTGACATCATTGTCATGGTCAAGAAACCAGTCTGAGATTAATCAACTTCATGACATGGTGAATTATCCTGCTGTAAGTATACATCAGAAGATGGGTACACTGTGGTCATAAAGGCATGGACATGGTCAGCAACAATACTCAGGTAGCCTGTGGCGTTGTAACAATGATCAATTAGAACTAAGGGGCTCAAAGTGTGCCAAGAAAATGACCCCCACACCATCACACCACCAGCCTGGACCATTGATACAAGGCAGGATGGATCCATGCTTTCATGTTGTTGACGCCAAATTCTGACCCTACCATCAGGATGTCGCAGCAGAATTGAGACTCATCAGACCAGGAGACATGTTTCCAATCTTCTATTGTCTAATCTTGGTGAGCCTGTGAGAATCGTAGCCTCAGTTTCCTGTTCTTAGTTGACAGGAGTGGCCCCCGGAGTGGTCTTCTGTTGATCTAGCCCATCTGCCTCAAGGTTCCACGTGTTGTGCCTTCAGAGATGCTCTTCTGCATACCTTGGATGTAACGAGTGGTTATTTGAGGTACTGTTGTCTTTCTACCAGCTCAAACCCGTCCCAGATCAGCAGTATCTGAAAAACTCAGACCAGCCTGTCTGGCACCAGCAACCGTGCAATGTTCAAAGTCACTTAAATCTCTTTTGTTCCCCATTCTGAAGCTCGGTTTGAACTGCAGCGGATCGTCTTGACCATATCAACATGCCTAAATGCATCGTGTTGCCACCATGTGATTGGCTGATTAGTAATTTGCGTTAACGAGCAATTCGACATGTATACCCAATAAAGTGGCCGTTGAGTGTTCATCAGAATATAATCTTTACTTATGTCAAAATGACTGTTTTCCAACATTCTAACATCCATCCATCCATCCATCCATCCTCTTCCGCTTATCCAGAGTCGGGTCACGGGGACTGCAGCCTAAGCAGAGAGGCCCAGACTTCCCTCTTCCCAGGCACTTGGCCAGCTCCTCCAGGGGAATCCCAAGGTGTTCCCTGGCCAGGTGAGAGACATAGTCCCTCCAACGTGTCCTGGGTCTACCTTTAAGCCTCCTCCCAGTTGGACGTGCCCAGAAAACCTCACCAGGGAGGCGTCCAGGAGGCATCCTGACCAGATGCCCGAGCCACCTTAACTGGCTCCTCTCTATGTGGAGGAGCAGTGAATCTACTCCGAGCCCCTCCCGGATGACCAAGCTTCTCACCCTATCTCTAAGGGAGAGCCCAGCCACTCTGCAGAGAAAAACCATTTCGGCCGCTTGTATCCGCGATCTCGTTCTTTCGGTCACTACCCAAAGCTCATGACCATAGGTGAGGGTAAGAAAGTTCCAACATACCAGATAAATTACAGCAGAACAAATACTTAAAAAAAGAATAGAATGCATTTTAAAGAACATTTAACATACAAAACTTATTTTAAAAAGTATAAAATATTCTAGTAATTTTTATCAACAAATTTCCCTCTGGGATTAATAAAATATTTTTGAATTTGAATTGAATTATGTTGCGTTGTTTGCAACACATGAATTCTCATAAAAGGAATGAAGATGAAGATTGTGTGCGCGTGTGTGTGTGTGTGTGTGTGTGTGTGTGTGTGTGTGTGTGTGTGTGTGTGTGTGTGTGTGTGTGTGTGTGTGTGTGTGTGTGTGTGTGTGTGTGTGTGTTAGGCTCCTTGTGGTTTTTATAAGGAACTTTTAATTGTTTGATGTGTCATCCTGCTTTCGCTACTGTTCAGCATTTTGGACAACCCACCTGTTGTGCCTGAAAGTGCTCTGCTGTACAAATAAAATGGTACTTAAATAAGCTAAATGTGATGAAAATACAAAATTTCAAATAGTTTGAACTGAAGTGAAAAACAGAAATAATATTTGTTCCCACACAGTTTTATCAGTAAAGCTTTAATAAGAAAACCTACCCGGGTCATTGAGCAGCATGACCAGATCAAAGGCTGTGTATCCATTCTTAGCTCGCAGGCTGACATCAGCGCCTTGACTCAACAGGTACTTGACAATTTCTTTATTGCTGGGGAAGGCAGGAGGAAGACAACAGTAAGCATTAAAGCGTCAGATGTCTTTACATCCTAAGGTTGCTTCTATAAACAGCAAACAAAGCCTCCACCTACCCATGATAAGTGGCTTGCATTAATGCGGTCCACCCATGAACACCATCTTGTTTATCTATGTCTGCATTCTTCTCCACCATCAGCTGCACCACCTCTATTTGACCGCTCACCGCCGCCATCATGAGAGGAGACGCTCCTTCCTGATTGGATGAATTCACCTGAGCAGGATCCTCCTCCAGGATGTCTTTGACCAGCTGTGAATTTCCTGAGTAATTACAGAACGTGCTGCTGTCTTTCTCACTGGTTATTTTCTTATAGTTTCCACCAGTTCATGAGAACTCACCCAGTTTGAGAGCGCTGAACACATCTGGTCTTTTCCTCTCATTATCTGTATAAAAATGAGAAAGAATCGGAGGAGATGATGCTTAGCCTGACTCCACACATCAGGCAGTGGGGGGTTGTGTACATAAATACTCAGTACTGCTGATTTCAACACTTAGAACAATAAAAATGCATCCGTCAACCCAAATTTTCTGTATTTGGGTCAAACTGGGAGTTTTCCATTTGTTTTTCACACAAGTTATTATCTTCGAGGTAACTTCCAGATCAAACAAGAAATTTAAAGATTTAATGTGAATCTAAACAGCTGATGCTGAGCTCCAGTCGCTGACTTTTATATTACTGCAATCAGCAATTAAAGCTGTTAAAGGAGCATTGCTGTCTGGTAAACTAAGAAGAACAGGGTTAAACAAACAAACAAACATCAGACAGAAGGAATCACTTCTGAGATCCATTGCTCATAATCCAGTCACCAGTTGGTGCTCCACAGCAAAGAACAATGGCATGAAAAAAGCAAAATGAAGGCTGGAGCACTCAAAGTGACTAAATGTTTAATAGGTGCAAGCACAAAAAAGGACTAACGTCTCAACACCTGCTTGTATCTTCTCAGCATTTTTGTGCTTGCACCTATTAAACATTTAGTCACTTGGAGTGCTTCAGCCTTCTTTTTGCTTTTGGTTGCTTCCTTCGGTTTTTCTGTTGAGCTGATTTCTTCCCCCCTGCACATATATACTACTATATACTACTGCACATATGTACTACTATATACTACTGCACAAATAAACCACTATATACTACTGCACATATATACTACTATATACTACTGCACAAATAAACTACTATATACTACTGCACATATGTACTACTATATACTACTGCACAAATAAACCATTATATACTACTGTACATATATACTACTATATACTACTGCACAAATAAACTACTATATACTACTGTACATATATACTACTATATACTACTGCACATATATACTACTATATACTACTGCACAAATAAACTACTATATACTACTGCAAATATATACTACTATATACTACTGCACATATATACTACTATATACTATTACACATATATACTACTATATACTACTGCACATGTATACTACTATATACTACTGCACAAATAAACTACTATATACTACTGCACATATATACTACTATATACTACTGCACATATATACTACTATATACTATTACACATATATACTACTATATACTACTGCACATGTATACTACTATATACTGCTGCACATATATACTACTATATACTACTGCACATGTATACTACTATATACTGCTGCACATATATACTACTATATACTGCTGCACATATATACTACTATATACTACTGCACAAATAAACTACTATATACTACTGCAAATATATACTACTATATACTATTACACATATACACTACTATATACTGCTGCACATTTATACTACTATATACTACTGCACATATATACTACTGTATACTACTGCACAAATAAACTACTATATACTACTGCACATATATACTACTATATACTACTGCACATATATACTACTATATACTATTACACATATATACTACTATATACTACTGCACATGTATACTACTATATACTGCTGCACATATAAACTACTATATACTACTGCACATGTATACTACTATATACTGCTGCACATATATACTACTATATACTACTGCACATATGTACTACTATATACTACTGCACAAATAAACTGCTATATACTCCTGCACATATGTACTACTATATACTACTGCACAAATAAACTACTATATACTACTGCACATATATACTACTATATACTACTGCACATATATACTACTATATACTACTGCACAAATAAACTACTATATACTACTGCACATATATACTACTATATACTACTGCACATATATACTACTATATACTACTGTACAAATAAACTACTATACTACTGCACATATATACTACTATATACTACTGCACAAATAAACTACTATATACTCCTGCACATATATACTACTATATACTACTGCACAAATAAACTACTATATACTACTGCAAATATATATTACTATATACTCCTGCACATATATACTACTATATACTACTGCACATATATACTACTATATACTACTGCACATATATACTACTATATACTACTGCACATGTATACTACTATATACTACTGCACATATATACTGCTATATACTACTGCACATATATACAACTATATACTACTGCACATGTATACTACTATATACTACTGCACATGTATACTACTATATACTACTGCACATATATACAACTATATACTATTGCACATATATACTACTATATACTACTGCACATATATACTACTATATACTACTGCACATATACACTACTATATACTATTGCACATATATACTACTATATACTACTGCACACATATACCTCTGGGTTTTCCACACGTCTATGTGGCATTAATCTTGGCATTTCAAGGATTTTCCCAGAATTTTCCTCCTCCTTCCATATTGCGTTTTTTTCATCTACAACGGCCCAAACTATTCAGCTAATCAATATATAATCATTTGAATTTTTTTTCCAATTGGTAAATTATATTACTTTTGTTTGCAGCTTGACAGCCAATAATCTATCAGGGGTGTCCAAACTTTTCAAGGAGAAGGTTAAAATGGTTAAGTACACGTAAATAATCTTTTTATTTTCCAATTCTTCAGCCCAGAATTCAATTTAAGTAAAAACAAAAATCAAGTAAATGAGGAAGTCACTACCTGTCTGAGGTCGGAGGGTAGTTATGCAGTCCAGATATGACATCACGTCCCTCTTCTTAAACTGCATGGCTAGTTCAAAGGCTGTCTTTGACAGCACGTTGACCTGGTTTGGATTAGCTCCACACTCCACCAGCTGCTGAGCTATAGCCACCTTGAGAGCACATGACACGTCATAGGCATTTATTTATAAACTGAAAGGGTGCACAATCCTATGATATTAAACAAAAAATTTGCAATCATTCATCATTTTATCAAACCAATCAGCTGTTAAATGCCTCGCCTTCCCGCTTAGAGTGGCTGCCATCAGTGGTCTCCAACCAGTGGTCTCATGGGAAATGTTGACGTCAGAGCCCCATTCTAACAACAGGCAGACTGTGGCCTCATGACCATGCTGGGCGGCCACCATCAAGGCTGTGATGTCCATGAAGTCTCTACCACCTCCTCCTCCTCCTAAACAGCCCTCAGCTGGTTCAAAGCCAGTTGCACTATGGGGGGAAAAGGCCCAACCTCATCAGGATCTCAGAGCAGTGACAGAAAACAGATTTTTTTGTTTATTCCAAACCAACCTGCAGCTGTTGTTGTTATTGCCGTTGGTGGCTCCATCCGGCGCTGCAGACAGATGATCATAGTCATCGACATAGGCTCCACACTCCAGAAGAAGCTTCACAACATGGACATGACCTCCACGAGCCGCCATGGTCAAGACACTGGCGCCTAACCTATTACGGCCATTTTTATCTGCACCGTTCTCCAGGAGGATGTGGGCAACAGTCAGGTGACCAGACCTGAATTAGGAATAAGACAATGTGGGTGCTCAAAGAGAAGCTGAAACTAGACAGAAGGTACTGGGCAAAGCGTTACACTTCATAGTCCTCCTTTTGTTTCCAATTAGACAGATTTTCTTATCTTTTAAAATAGTTTGAATGTCTTTTTCTACAAACTCTCAGAAGTCTTTTAATGTTTTTCATTATCATATTTATTGACACGGGAAAAATGATCTCCATAAGTGTCAGAACTTTCGATAGATTTTCTAAACTTTTGCCCAGCCCTAGTGCATCCTATACTTTTAATGCCTGGATAATAAATAATAAATCCTTTATTTGAGAATATTGTGGTTTGGTGCTAAAAAAACAAGTGGAAAAGCATGCAAAACCCCCTCATGCCTATACTTTAAAAATCTGTCTGCCTAAAATAAAAGTAAAAAATTTGGGACTTTTGCACAGAACTGTGAACCTGATTGTGTTTTGTCTAGTAACATCTGAAAACCTTTTGTTTAATCCTAACAAGTTAAATCAAAGATGTGTTTAATAATAATCAGTGTGCGTGAAGAGAAGCGCCCCACCTCGCAGCCTGCATCAGCGGGGTCCAGCCACAGTTGTTGCGGCTGTCCACTGAAGCTCCCTTCCGAAGCAGGAACCGGACCAGGTTCTCGTGCCCGCTGGCCGAGGCGAACTGCAGGGCGGTGTTCCCCTCCTCGTCCGTGTAGTCCACCGGTACCGGAGCCTGCATGTCCGCGGAGGCGCATTCCGAGCCCGCATCAGACCGCAGCCTGCTCTGCCGACCCGACTCTTTCGGGGCTCCGGGCTCCAGGATGCCGCGGGCCGTTTCATAGTCGCCCTCGTCGCAGGCGCGCAGCAGCAGCAGGCAGCTGGAGACGCAGTTCATGTCTTCATCAGTGTTGCGCTGCCTCCATTTAGCTCCAGCTGCTTTCTTTCACGGTAAAAACGTTTCCGCTCCTGTCACTTGGCCTGCGTTTGGAACTCATAACGCAGTAAACAATAATAATAATAAAGTTCTGCCTTCACGTTAACTTATTTATAAACATCAAACAGAAAACATTCTCAATACCAACACTTTTATCTAAACGTCTTTCTGACACCCAGCCTCGCAACTGTCCGGTTCCGTTACTTGTAAACGAGTCTGAAAATCGTAAAACATTTTCTCAACACAACCAACTTTCTGTTAGGTTTTCAAAATAAAAGCCCTTTCCTTTTTTAACTTATTTTGGGAGACTGTGGTTGATGATGGGAAAACGGGGCTTTTAACCATATAAACAGATTCAGTAAACAGCAAATATATCCTATTTATCTAATGAAATTGTACAATTATTTCGAAGCATGGCTCTAATGTTTGGCCCCGAATTGTTTTGATCTAAAAAGTGAGTTTAACCCTACTTTTAACAGGCTACATTTGCATCAATGGTGCAATAAATGTTAGTTTTAAAACCCAACATTTGCTTTACTTTTTAGGTTCGTTTTTGCACAGGAAGTATTGTTTGTAGAGAATGTATTTGTTTTTACGCAGCACAGCTGAGTTCCACGATCCCCAACGGAGCGTGTTTTCTTGCTGCACTCTAGTGGTAAGAATGATGAACTGCATTTAAGCACACGGATCACAGCCTAGGAATTGATCCGTTTCTGCAAACAAAATCTGAAGAATTCCATTTTTGGTTCTTTTTAAAACACAGATAATGTTTTTCTTTACCTTGCTGATGGTTTCGTTTACGGTTGGCAAACGAAACCGTCAGCAAGGTAAAGAAAAACCTTATCTGTGTTTAAAAAAGAACCAAAAATTGAATTAGAAGACAAATACAGCAAGAACGTACAAAAGATTTAAAGAAAATCTGAGGAAATCTCAACAAACCTCAACAGTTTTTAAAGGAACAAACTTATCGTATGACCAAACTTACCCACAATAATACTAGTGATTTTTCCCCAGGTTTTTGTTAAAGTTTAAAAGCAACAACAATAATAACATATTTATTTTCCTTTTCATCCAGTGGTAACATGAATGTGAAAATACACAACAAATCACATGAAAAATATAATTTTAATGGTTTGATTTCAATTACACATGGGTTAAAAACAATTATTTTTCACTAAATGGTTACTAATAATGTGCAATAATATAATTGTAACTGTTTTGGTTTTATTTATTTTGGTCACGTCTGCTGTTAAATAAAAATATTAAAAAAAATAATAATAATAACTTTTGGGGCTTCACACAGCCCATTTCGTCCTGAGTGTGATTTGGCGCCTTCGTGTGGAAACAATGAAAATGCATAACTCAAACGATGCCTGCGCTTGGACACCAGACGTCGCTGTTGAGCGTTGCAACAGTTTATGACTGAAGAAGAAGCCGCAAAGACCCGGATGAAGAGATTATATTCAGGAAACGGGCCTCTGGTCGTTCTTTTTTTCTTGAGGAGCTGACCACGTTGGTGGCGTTTGTGCCTGGCTCACCGCTGTTCGTTTGAAATTTTTCCGAATAAGTCGGTCAGGTATAATTAAAATGGTGTGTACTAATTCAGTCTATCAAATATTCACATGTGTGCTTTTCGATTTGTTTTAATAGTCGTATTTGTGCTGAAATTTAAACAAGTAACGTGGTAGCATATGCGGCGAAAGGCGCTCCCGCCGGATGCTATTGACGAAAGTGTAATTTCACAATAATTACAGTTTTACTTTTCCTAACAAGTGTTTGGAATAGCTTTTGTCTGATATATCCGTTTTTAAGAGTTTAGTTGTCATATCGGCTTACTGCGATTTTAGAATTGTGCATAAGTTTAGTAAGGTTTGCTCGTGTAAAGTTCACTCACCCAAGTATCATCAGGCTCCACATGCTAACTCTTACATGATCAACCATCCTGCCATAAAGTGGTCGATAAGTTGTTAAAAACAACACTTTATTATTTAAAACCCAAAATTAACTTTGATGTTGGTGTAAATTACCCTATTTTCTTATTGCAGGCTTTTAAGGATACTGGTAAGGCACCTGTTGAGACTGAGGTCGCCATTCATCGCATCCGCATCACCCTCACCAGCCGTAATGTGAAATCCCTTGAAAAAGGTGAATATGCTCACAGTTAATTACATGTTGACCATTAAATAATCCTGAGCAATGAGGATAAAAACTCAACAGAGATGTACTGTGGTGATCGTATACGCTATTCTGAGCTGAGATCATACACGTCTCACCAAAGGGTAGTGTTTGCTTTTGTGTTTATGGCCGTTTTGTTCTTCCAGTTTGTGCTGATCTCATCCGCGGCGCCAAAGAGAAGAACCTGAAGGTGAAGGGACCTGTCCGCATGCCAACCAAGGTACTGAACATGAGTTAATTAAAATGTTGCAGTGGTAAAAATGAGACCAGACCTTTAAGTGTATTAAGTTTAGTGAAATGTTTGCATCATTTGTGAAGCTGTAATCTTGTTGTTTTTGTGCCTCTAGACTCTGCGCATCACCACCAGAAAGACTCCCTGTGGTGAAGGATCCAAAACCTGGGATCGCTTCCAGATGAGGATCCACAAGCGTCTCATTGACCTGCATAGCCCATCTGAAATTGTCAAGCAGATCACCTCCATCAGCATTGAGCCCGGTGTAGAGGTTGAAGTCACCATTGCAGATGCATAAGCAACACCTTTCAATAAAGAATTGAAAAAGAAAACTGGAATTTGTTTTTTTAATAAAGGCTCATGTGAAGGTACAATATAGATTGCCAGGTGAATTAAGGCGATGGATGGATGGAGCTGCTGCTGAATTTGCACATTGATTCTGTGTTTTTCTTTCATTTTTTAGGCACATGTAGCAGAGAATTTAACATTTTAAAAATTGGTTTGAAGTCATTTTAAAAAATCGCTATCTGCCATTACATTTAAAAATTTTAAGCGATGATCATTTTTCGTCAGATTTTGTAGTAGTTTTAGGCTTCTTTTAGTGGGAAGGTCTTTATCTTTAAATTCATTACTTTTGTAAGGCTTCATTAAATCCTAATAAGTGACTTGTATGTACAAATCTCGAGACTTGAGTAATTGGGACCAATTTTTAAAGAAACGCTTTCTTATTAGAAAAACTGCAGCAATTCTCAAGATTTACATAGTTGATAAAAGTACAAATGGTTGCCCATTTTTTCAAATCCCTTCAATTAAAGAGTTCTGCACAAGGAGTGTAAGTCATGGTAAATAGCCTGTGTTTGATTATGGTGCCTTAAAAACGCCAAGCACACGCTTGTGATGAGCTACACCGCTGCCCTGAGGCACGCTGACAAGAGAGCCTGCTGAGCACTGGTGCCACCAGCAGGCAAGGCAGGTGAAGTGTCTTTCCCAAGGATACAACTGCTGCAGATGGGGTTTGAACCTGCAGCCCTCTAGTTACAGGGCAGGTACTGAACTCACCTCCTCCCCACCCCCCTAAACCTTATAGGAATAAAATCTAAGAAGAATGGACAAATGGGAGCAGCTGTGTCTGGAGAAGCGACTCTAAGCTGATTGGTTTCAGATGATGCCGTGAGCTCACACACCAGCTTCCAATAATGTGATTACAAGCTCCTTGGTGCTTCTCAGTATTAGACTTTCTGCCTGCTCCTCGGGCGGAAAACAGTCATTTTAATCACAGTTTTAGAAATTAAAAACTACTTTCATGCCTTAAAATTTGCAGCTGGCTAGTCTCAGGATGGGTGATGTTATTGACTTGACAACAATGGAGAGTGAGTCTATGCTGCCGGTGGACGTGAACCTGAACAGCCCCACAGTCCAGCAGGTTTTTGCACTTTTAATATTTTCTCTGATTTCCTTTTTCAGGTTGTACTCAGTGAGATGGTTTAAGATGTTCCTCTTTCTTCTCAGGCTAAGATGTGCGTTGGTGCTGACCAGCAGATGATGCACATTTACCTCAGAATCAAACCTTTCTCTAAAGAAGAGCTCTCTGACCACGAGGATCAGGTCGAGTTTGGCATCTAACTGGTGTTTCCTGCATGAATTTGTTGTGATTAAAGAAGTAAAGATCTCGACACAAAAGTTTGAGCCACTTCAGTATTCTCCGGTTTAATAGCACATCTCTATTTTCTTCCTTTTGGATGAAGCTGCACCTTCAATGTCTGGGCCGACTGTTTTTCAGGAGTGTGTTCTGATCGTTGACGGTCACACGGTGATGCTGAGTGCACCCAAAGGCTCTGCCACTATGAAAAGCAGTGAGAAGGGAGTCTGCATGTCTATCCACAAGTTCTACTTCTCAAAGGTTGAACGCATTTCTAATGGACTGTCTTCAGTTTAAGCCGAGTCTCTCCGTGTTTTTAAACTCCATCGTTATGTTGTACTCAGGTTTTTGGACCTCAGACATCCCAGGCTGAACTGTTTGAGGACACGGTGGAAAGCCAAGTGTCTGATTTCCTGAATGGGAGGAATTCTTTGATATTCAGTTATGGTGTCACCAATGCTGGGAAGACTTTCACAATCCAAGGTAGAGAACACAAACTGCCTCTGGGTTTAAAATGCTGATAAATGAATTAATGAGCTCTAAAATCAGGCTGTAAACCGTATTCAGGAACAGGAAAAGAGCCCGGGATCCTCCCCCGAGTGTTGGACGCCACCTTTCGCCACGCTGAAGGCCGTCTGTACGAGGGGATGAATCTGAAGCCCTACCTCAGGAACGAAGCTCAGCTTCTGCATCCTGACCAAGTCAAGAAAGAGAGAATCGCTAAAGCTTCCCTTTTTGCTTCTGTCAAAGATGTGAAGTCTAATGTTTGACAAACCACCATGGTGTCTTTAGGCGGTTCTCCAACACAAACCTATTTCCTCTCATCCAGGAATGTGATCGTTCAACACCCAGCAGTGTCTCCGAGTCCCCGGTGTCCTCTGATTCCAATCTGTCATCCTTTAATTTGTCTCACAACTCAACCGGTAAGCACTGGTCATACAGGTGGCCACTAGGGAACTGGTCGTGCTATTTCTGTCACAGCTTGCCATTTTTATCTGAGAACATTTGTGTTTTTTAGTAGTGAAAACCAACAGAATTGAGTTATTTTGTATAATTTCAGTTTAAAAAATGCCAATAAGTGTGAGTGTACACCTGAAACAGCTCACACTCGAGCGTTTTTCTCCCGTCTCTTCGTCGTTAGTGCCGCCCAGCAGCCCAGCAGAAGACGGCGGACGCCTGTTCGCCCTGTGGGTGGCGTTCTTTGAAATCTACAATGAGTGTGTTTACGACCTGCTTCAGCCGTCCACATCCAAGAAGCGGTCCTCTCTTCGTGTTTGTGATGATGGAGCAGGAAACGCTCACGTTAAAAGTTAAAACATACAAGGGAAAAAACCATGCTGGATGTTTGAATGCAGTAGTAAAACTAAATCAGATTTGTTTCAGACCTCCAGTGGATCAACGTCCAGAGTTTGAGCGAAGCCTACAAACTTCTCCAGCTTGGTAATAGAAACAGAAGTGCTGCAGCCACTAAAATAAACCAGTCATCCAGCAGAAGGTAAAATATTCTCCTTTTTGATTTTCTGTTATTTTTTTAAATGCTCACCAGCTTTTTTTTTCTCTCTCTTTACCTTGGTGCTTTAGCCACAGCATATTCACACTAAAGTTACTGAAGATTGATGGACAGATGGTGGAGAGGATCTCAGAGTAAGCAACACATTTCAGTCTGTTTTCTCTCCATTTTTGAATAGATCCTTTGAGTCTTTGTTTTCCCAGGTTCTCCGTCTGTGACCTGGCAGGCTCAGAACGATGCCACAAAGCCAAAACGTTTGGAGAGAGACTGAAAGAGGCTGGGAGCATAAACGGTTCCCTCCTAATTCTAGGGAAGTGCATCACTGCTCTTCGCAACAATCAGGCTGACGGGTAAAAAAAAGGAAAACAGAAGAAATCCTCTGATGCAGAATCTGTAACTGAGTCATGCGATGAGGTAACTTCGGGTTCCCCTGTGTGTTCTCCTAAGAACCAAGAGCACCTGCATCCCGTTTCGAGAAAGCAAGCTCACCAAGCTTTTCCAGACTTTTTTCTGTGGCAAAGGAAAAGCCTCCATGATCGTCAACATTAACCAGTGTGCTTCCACCTACGACGAGACCCTCCACGTTATGAAATTCTCTGCCATCGCCAAACAGGTCGAGTTGCATTTAATGTGTATCCTAAAGATGGGGAATGCTGCACAACTGGAGCTTTTCCCTTCTTGTCCAGGTGGTGCAGGTGATCCCAGACAAGACGGAGGAGTCTCTGTCTCCGTGTCTGTTTGGTCGAGACGGGAAGCCTCTGGTGAGAAAGGGTGTCATCGACAGCAAGGCCCTGGAGAGCTACCTGTCTGAAGAGGAGCTGCTGGATGAAGAGGCTGACATGTCTCTGTTGCCGCAGAGTGTAGTTTCTCTCTCTTTCACACACACACACACACACACACACACACACACACACCAGTTAATGGTTTGTCCAGTAGGTCTTCGACCAGCCAATAAACATAATTGACCCATGTCCTCCATCTCTGACATTTCCAGGAGCTCCTGAATATGATTGAGGGTCTACGAACCAAACTCCTGGCTGAGCGGAGGAGGAAATTGGTGCAGGAAATAGAAATACGAAAAGAAATGGGGGACGCGATGTTGCAGCAGATCCTGGAGAGTGAAGAACTCAGAGCGTGCGTTTACCATGAAACCTTGATTAATGTTTGATTCTTTCAAGATTTTGAGTTGATTCTTTGTTATTTGAAAATATTTTTATTTTATTTTTTTAGTCAGCAGATTGAAGAGCTGAAGGAGAGCTATGCAGAAAAACTGGAGAACACGTTTGAGATGTACAAAGATGCCATCAAAGAACATGCTTATCAGTGTGCTATGAACAACCTGGAGGATAATTATGTCCCACTGGATGAGTTCACAGCTGAGCAGGAGAAAGTAGAGGTAGTTTTCCTCTTTGAGATTTTTGTATCAGTTTCTAAAACTTTAGTAAAAAGCACAAGCTGGTGTAGTTCAGGTGAGGAGAAAAGAAAACACCTTTCTCACCGGCTTGTATTCAAAACCAGAAATCAAACATTTCATCAGGGTTTGCAAACTGTCCAATTGTTATGGCTTTACAAAGTTTTAACAACTATTTGTTTTCTTATCACCTGTGAAGTCTCTTGGACATAAAGTGTCTGAGTTGGAGAGCTTGCTGTCCAGAGCAGGAGGTGCTCCTGTTCCCCCAAAGCAGGAGCAATCATCTCAGACCGAAGCGTCTAACGGCACAGAAGACGCAGGTCGACTTATTTGTTGAACTGATGCCACTAATTCAGCTTCTTGGTATTTAAATGCGTTCTTTTTGTACTCAACACAGATGGATGGTTTTACAAAGAAAAGTATGACTTGGAGAGGATGTGCAAGGACAAACAGGTAGCTGGGACTTGTTTCTGGGTTTAGATGTTTAATTTCCTGTGGAATCATGGATCTGTTGGGTGTTTTAGTTAATTTCATCCCTGGAGAAAAGACTGATGGAGGTCGGTGAAACGCTCCAGGTAGTCCAAGACGCCTTCGTGGAAAAATCTGCTCTTCTGGAGGCTCTGCAGAAGACCGCTGACGATCAGGTGAGATGGTTGGTCATCTATCTGGCTCAGACTGTGAAAGTCATGTCGTGTACCTTTTACCTGTACAGTCCAGAGCTTTGGAGAAGGTCTTGCAGCAGAATGATGAGAAGGACAAAGAGATAGCCTCTCTGAAGGATCAGCTGTGCAAATTATCCCAGAAGTCTCCAGTCAAGAAGACCAAGAGAGGACTGTTTGCCAACTTCAAGGATGCTGTCGCGTCACCTCGGATACATCCAACTGGCCGAAACATAAGATTGGCCGGTTCCCCAAAACCCTAAAGACCGAACATCTGCTCAACCCCTGTTCCCAGATCCATTTTTCTGTTTTAGGTACTTGAGGCGGAAGTGTCCATGTTTTCAGCAGTTGAAGAAATCAGGACACTTATTTTGTGTTTGTTCCATTTTAAACGTTTATTTTTAATAAAACTGAGTCCAAACGTTATTTGCTTGCCATCTTTGCATTTATTTCAACACAACTAATCTAATTGTGCTTTTCCTATCAACCACCTTAATGATGCATCCATACCTTCATGAAGATTCTGATGTAGAGCGATCGTTCTCCAGGGGCTGATGGGACATTTGGTGCAGCATATTGACCTTTCCAGTAGAGTGAAAGTGGTGCGGTCTGTACAAAGTGCTGGATGTAAGGGAGCCAAGCCTCCGCTAGTGAAAGGACCATTGTGGTAGACAGACAGCTGCTCTCCTGTCTCTCTGGTCTCAGTGATGCTTAATAAGATTAGCCGTTCATCTCAGCCTGCGTCAGTGCAAAGGGGTCAATCGCAGGATTAGCACCTTAAGACTTGAATCAGTTTATTATACTTTTTCTTTATTACTTTGACTTTCCTACATCGGCCTCCAAAGCGTGTGCGGTTTAGTAGCAGGAGGAGAGGAAAGGCGTGCATGATGCTGCTCCGGGACTGAGTCTGGACTCTCAGCTGCTGAATGAAGCATCATCCGGGGAGCAGCTGCACAAGCGAAGGGCAGTTGGGCCAAAATCTTGCTGTCTGAGACCCTTGGCGAATCCTCCTCATGCCACTGGTGAATAACAAAGTTGGCGATGATTGCACATCTTGCAGTGGCGAGGCTTTGGCAGAGGGGAAGGCTCTGGTGGATTCTTTGATAAAGGTGAGCTGTTGCAGGTTTTTATTTGTTTTAGTCACGCAGGTCCTCCTGTCATAAATATGTGTGTCTAACTTAATAAAAAGAAGCATTTTCTTTCATCGCGAGTGGGAAAATGTATAAAAAGTTAGATTCCTTTTCTTTTCCAGAATGAACAGGCACAGAAACAGAAAAATACATTTGCCCCTAAAGCTAAAAAAGCACTCTACTTGTAAAGAATTTCCTGCTCCACTTGTCCTGTATGGCTGCTCCATTAGCTAAACCACGGCCACATTTCACCCCAGACTATTCAGCTGTTTTTTACTGACATGTATTTTTTGAGGTTCATATATTTTTTGCACAGGAAAGAAAAACAGTTTTCTCGCTTCAAATGAACACGGGTTCCTTCACAACATCTTCCTGCCACAACACATGAATTACGTAGAGGTTACTGGAGCATTTCACGGTTCGGAAACAATCTTTAAATAAAACACAGGGGAAAAAAACTATACCATGAAATATTAATTAAAATGTAACTGGAGTTTTTTGTGGAGCGCGTAAGAATTAAAATCTGATAATAAACCCAAGCTGTTTTAGTCTGTCTTTTGTTCTCGGTGTAGAAATGGACCACTTATACTCAAGTCTACAAGGTTGTTTTGGCTTATCCAGAAATAGATCAACGATAATCAGATTATATATAATATTTTTAATGAATGAAAGCACACCTGCTAATCCAACAGGGTTAAGCTTATAAATAAAACTCCAAAACAGAATTACACCACTTATGTTCTTTCTTCCACTTATAATTTAGATTTGGTCAATAAATAAAACCGAAAAGATCAAAATGATTCAATCAAATTTGTTACGATGTGTTGGTTCGATGTGTGAGTGCATGCATGTGTGTCCGCATAGTTCATAGCTGCTCAGGGAAGTAATTAAGATTAGAGGACTTACAGAAGCATGATTAGTTTAGGACAAAGTGTCTTCGGTGTGTCTTTACACAGATTTTTCTTCTTTAAGTATTTTATTTAAAATAAGTAACAAAGTTTTAAATCCTGCATATTACCCACCAAGTTTTATTCCAGAACTGAGCCAATTTGGTAGAGGTGATCAAAGTTGATAATGAAGTGTTAGTGCAGCGTGTGTTGTGCAGTGGCAGTTTTACCATTAGTCATAGGTCGGTGGCCGCCTGGGGCCCCCTTATGTTGGGGGGCCCCTAGCCCCGACTGCTGGCACCCCTCTGTTAATGCCACAATGGACTATTCCTTTAAAGAGCAAGTCACCCCCAAATCAACTATTTTTTTCTGATGAACTCTATAAATGCGTGTCTAATTGTGCTGCAAACACTTGTAGTCAATAGTTTTGCACTTTAGTGCATTTTAGTTCAAATTTTAATTTTCTGCCTGAAACTGTCAGTGTTGTGCCGTTGTCAGGTAAAAACTCTTCACTGCATTTGAATTTTAATCTGCCACCGCTATTGGCTAAGAGGTATGCTATGATGTAAACTGGTACATTATGATGTCACAAAGTCGTGAGTGTGTGTATTTGTTAGTGGCTCCACCCTCTCGGTCTGCTAGGCAACAGCATTTGTTGCATTTTTCAAACATGAAGTGGGAGTGAAGTACGCTTCTTGTAAGGGGTGACTTGCTCTTTAAAGAGCAAGTCACCCCCAAATCAACAATTTTCTTCTGATAAACTGTATAAATGTGTGTCTAATCGTGCTGCAGACACGAGTTGTCAATAGTTTTTCACTTTAGTGCATTTTAGTTATAATTTAAATTTTCTGCCTGAAACTGTCAGGGTTGTGCCGTTGTCAGGTAAAAACTCTTCACTGCATTTGAATTTAAATCTGCCACCGCTATTGGCTAAGAGGTATGCTATGATGTAAACTGGTACATTATGATGTCACAATGTCGTGAGTGTGTGTATTTGTTAGTGTCTCCACCCTCTCGGTCTGCTAGGCAACAGCATTTGTTGCATTTTTCAAACATGAAGTGGGAGTGAAGTACGCTTCTTGTAAGGGGTGACTTGCTCTTTAAGACGCAGATGCACAAACAGGAAGCGATTGGTAGTCATGCCACTCCAATCCAGTTGGTGGCAGTAATGCACAAAAATGTTGTTTGCCAAATGCCATAAGACAACAAATGAGAAGAAGAGAAAGCAGAAAAAGAAGAAGAGAGGTGGGAGCGTTCGTAACAAACTCAAAGCAGTTGTCGAAACATTAAGCATGAAATGGAGTTATCCTAGTGGCTCCAATAAGAGAAAGAAGCAGCTTGCTTTAAAAAAGCTTTTATCTTCACTTCCAAAAGTGACGTCGTTTTTCTATGTAAACATCAAAAGGAAGCAGAAAGGAATGACAATGGAAAATGTTTAAAGAGAGGAAAACATAGACCAAAATGGAAAATAGAAGAAAATAAAAGAAAGGCTAAAGCACAGGAGCACTGACAGGAAGAAGAAAGCAGAGCAAATATTGAAGGCACTCAAAGGGAGAGAAAGACAGGAAAAAGAGGAGGACTAATAAAAAGTGAAAATAACTCGTGTCAGAAGAGGGTAGAGTTTCACAAATCCAGTTAAAGATAAGATTATCGAAAATGTAGTGTAAGGGGGCCTCATGTCTGTGTTCGCCTTGGGCCCCCAAATTGCTAACCCCCCCACTGGTGCTGTGGAGGACTTTCATGTGAAATTAGAGCTTACTATCTGTAAATATGACTGATTCATGTCCATTTGCATGTTTGTTGATGTTGTGAGTTATCTGCGGCAGCCATCTGAAATTGGGTTACCTTGAAAGTGGATGAGATGTTTGTCTAATTATTATTTTCTGGGAGTTTAATTAAAATATATCAAGCTGGTTCTGAAAAGGAATGCTTCAAATGCACACCTGCATGCACTCACATCACCTGCCTTTCCCTTGTCCTCTCACACAGGTGGTAGCATGCTATCGACACTTAGCCGCATGTGTTGGAGGGAGCATGGACAGCTTACAGCTCCGCGATGAGTTGCGGCAGATGAGGCAAAAGGCCCAAAATCTGGCCACGGCCCTCTGTCACCATCTGACCGGTCACCTCCGAGACAAGAGCCTACCTGAGGAGCAGCGGAAAGAGATGGAGCTCCTCTGGGTGGCCTTCTCCTCCAGTCTTGAGCTCCTTCATGTTGACATTTGTAAAGTTTTGAAGATCAGTAGCAACTTCTCACTGGCTAACTCAGCATCTCTGGTCCAAACTGGAGTACAAGGTAAAGCATGCCTCTGCTCAGAACGAAGGGGGTAGAACGAAGCTTAACAATTTTACACTTTTCAAATGACTTCTGGATGTAACCTGAAAAAAACACATTTGCATAACAAATGGTGATACCAAACTGGGTCATGAATTTTAAAAATAAACATAATTGACCAAAGACGGCATAAAATTATTAATCTTGAATATCAGGTGCCGATTGTTATTAGCACACAAATGTCTGTTTTTGTTGCGGAATAGAACAAATAAAAAAATTATTGCCATTGTAACACTGTACAGCAAAAGTAAAATTGCCATACTTTGAGGTCTATGCGTGTTTTACTAATTAGATGTTCTCATCAGAAATTAGTCATTTTAAAAGTGTGTTTTCCTATTTTTGTTTTATACAAGACATTAATGTTCTTGCCTTTTCTGTGATCAAGAAATGGTTAGAATTTTTTTTATTGCAAATAATTCTTATGGCATGACTTCTGATTGTCATTGAAGAGTCATTAAATTATCAATCAACCAATCAAGCATATTTTTATTAGTAAAAGCGCTTCACAACAACCAAAAAGGCTCAAAACATTGGTAAAAATCTAGTTATTCCACAAGTGATAGCACTGATGTTGACAAGGCTTATGAGGCCTTTGTAAGAATATTTATTTCATTGTATGATAAGAATTGTCCCTTAACAAAATTTAGTAGCTCAAAAAAAAAGGGATAATCAACCATGGATGACGAAGGGGATAAAGTGTGCCTGCAAAAAGAAAAATAATTTGTAGAGGTTGTTTATAAATAAAAAAAAACTCTAGAATCTGAACATAAATATAAAATATATAAGAATAAACTTACCAATATAATAAGAATATGCAAAAAGGAGTATTATTATAAAAGTTTGAATAATGCTAAACATGATATTAGAGAAGTGTGGAAAATATTAAATAATGTAGTTTGACCAAATTTAGGTAATGATAAATTTCTGAAATATTTTGTTGAAAACAGTATTGTAAAACATGATTATGGTGATGTGGCTGATAGCTTTAATAAATTCTTTGTAAATATAGGGCAGGCATTGGCAGAAAACATATCTAGCTCTTCAACATCGCATACACCATTCTTAAAACAAATCAACCCTAATCCTCATTCCATGTTTCTTTCAGCTGTAGAGGAACAAGAAATAATACACATTGTAAAAACATGTAAAGGTAAAACATCAACTGACAATCATGGCATTGACATGATGACGGTAAAAAAGGTGATAGAAGGAATTTCAAAACCACTTGCATATATTTGCAATTTGTCTTTTCAATCAGGTGTATTCCCAAAATTAATGAAAGTTGCAAAAGTTATACCAATATATAAAACTGGGGATAAGCATCAATTTACCAACTATAGGCCAATTTCATTGCTTCCACAATTTTCCAAGATTCTTGAAAAATTGTTTAATAGCCGACTTGAAATATTTTTGAATAAATACAAGATAATATCAGACTGTCAGTATGGATTTAGATCGAATAGTTCAACATCACTAGCTCTGGTGCATTCTGTGGAAGAAATTACAACGTCAATTGATCAGAAGAAACATGTTCTAGGGATATTTATTGATTTAAAAAAGGCTTTTGATACAGTTAATCATAAAATGTTACTTGAAAAGGTAGAGAGGTATGGGATTAGGGGTGTAGTGTTGAGCTGGTTGACAAGCTATCTACAACAGAGGAGACAGCTTGTGAAGTTTGGAGAATGTTCATCTTCATGGTTGGACATTGTTTGTGGAGTACCACAGGGGTCTGTGTTGGGTCCAAAATTATTTTTATTATATATTAATGATTTGAGTAATGTAACAAATACACTGACATTTGTTTTGTTTGCCGATGATACCACTATTTTCTGTGCAGGAGATAATATTAGCGACTTAGAAAGGATGGTCCAAATTGAAATGTGCGTCATTAAAGAGTGGTTTATTGAAAATAAGCTTACATTAAATATAGCAAAAACAAAATGTATGTTGTTTGGAATGGCTAATAAAACTGAGGTTAAGCTGCAAATAGATGGATGTGAAATTGAGCAAGTAACAGAACATAAGTTCCTTGGAACAATAATTGATAATAAATTAAGTTGGAAACCACAAATTAAACATGTATATCATAAGGTTACGAGAAGCATCTATATTATGAATAAAGCTTGGCAGTACTTGGATTATAAATCACTCCATGTCCTTCATTATTCATTGATTTATCCCTATCTTATTTACTGTGTAGAGGTATGGGGTAACACTTATAAAACATCTATTGTACCCTTGTCTATCATACAGAAAAGAGGCCTGAGAGTCGTTCCCAATGTTAGATTTAGAGAACACACAAATCCGTTATTTATATATTCAAAAATACTAAAATTTAAAGATTTACTTCAACTATATACAGCGATGTTCATGTATAAAGTGCATAGGAAATTATTACCAAGCAAATTATTAATGCTATTTATAAAACCCGATAACGTATATAATTTCAGATACAAACTTACATCTTTTACAACAACATTAAAGTAATTTTGTATTTCTGTTATGGGTGTAAAAGTTTGGAATAAGCTAAGTGGGGATCTAAAGCAAAGTCCCTCATTGCATAAGTTTAAAGATAAGTATAAAAAAATTATACTAATTAATTACATTGAGGAGGCGGAAAAGTTGTAAGGGTGTTACATTTGATTGTAATTGTCACTGTGAATATGGGGGGGGGGGGGCATAAAAAATGTAAATTTTGTTTGTGTGATTGAGGATAAAACATGCTATAAGAAAATGGCTGTGACACTCAGTGTAGGGACAATAATTATTTTGTTTTTATCTTCCTTGAAATTTGATTGGGGGGTGGGGGGGGATTATATAAGCTTATATAAGCTACCAGAGCTTCTTTCCCTTCCTATTGAACATGTTCTACATATATATATTTACATATACATATGTATGGGTTTCTTTTTGAATACTTTTTGAACACTTTAATTTGTCGATTGATTTACATGTTCAATAAAGAAAGAAAGAAATAAAAAAGGAAAGCATATACAAAGAGAGTAAAACAGGGTGTAAGAAGGATCCCTGTAGCATACCAAAGGTCAGTGGGACAGAAGTGGTGGGAGTCGGACTGAACCTGAACCACCACAATAACAGTTCCCTGAAGGCTAACCTGCTGAGGCAGGAGGGACAGGAGGAAGGAATGATTCAATGTAAAGTCCAACATAAGCGGCAACATTGCTTTTTAGTGTAAAGGACCAAATACTGTCATTTTGTACTCTTTAATAATGCAGACTATGTACTGGCGTGCTCTGGCTGAGACCAGATTGAAGCTTTTTAAATATTTGATTTTGATCTAAAAACAATTTTGAATGTTGAATGAAAACAAGCCTCTCTAGTACTTTTAATAAATGATAGGTGAGCAGCAGTCTAAATTTTGAAAGAGTTGTTGGATTAAGAATAGGCTTCTTAATTAGATGCCTGACCACAGACTGCTGGGACAGACCCCAACCTTTGGCATGTATTGAAATAAGACAGGAGGCATGGCCCTACTGTGTCATAAACATGGTCAAGTACCATATGTCGAGAGGGCAAATGATCAAGTTTACCAAAGTTTCTTCCAGTAATGTGTCTTCAGACCATTGCCTGCTTTAATACATATGTTACATTACTGTAATTAAAAAACTAAAGTAATTCCAGAACTAATTTCTGAGGCATAGTGTGGAGTTTAAAACACATTTTTTGTCTCTATTTGATCTTTGGCCTCTGCAGAAAATTGTTGCCCTCTTGTCGCTATTTGGTGATGTTTCAATGAAAGTGTTTTGTTAGCAGGCTACATTGAAATAGTTGGCTTAAATAATACATATTGCACCTCCCTGGCCAGTCTAGAGACATAGTCCCTCCTACGTATCCTGGGTCTACCTTTAGGCCTTCTCCCAGTTGGACGTGCCCGGAAAACCTCACCATGGAGGCATCCAGGAGGCCTCCTGACCAGATGCCTGAGCCACCTTAACTGGCTCCTCTCAATGTGGAGGAACAGGGGATCTACTCCGAGCCCCTCCTGGATGACTGAGTTTCTCACCCTATCTCTAAGGGAGAGCCCAGCCACTCTGCGGAGAAAACTCATTTTGGCCGCTTGTATCCGCAATCTCGTTCTTTTGGTCACCACCTAAAGCTCATGACCATGAGTGAGGGTAGGAACGTAGATCGGCCGGTAAATGGAGAGCTTTGCCTTCTGGCTCAGCACTCTCATCACCATGACAGACGGGTACAACGCCCGCATCACTGCAGATGCAGCACCAATCCGCCTACCGATCTCGCGTTCCATCTTTCCCTGTGAACAAGACCCCAAGATACTTAAACTCCTCCACCTGGAGCAGCACCTCTTCCCTGACCCGGAGAAGGCATTCTACCCTTTTCCGAATCAAGACCATGGCCTCAGATTTAGAGGAGCTGATTCTTGCAATATTAAAAACAAAAATGACATTGCATTTATGAATGTGTGTGTGTGTGTGTGTTTATTAGATGTAGTTGGCATTTATTGGTCTTAAAATAATGACTAATAATGACTAGGGCCAGCCACTGAAAAAGCTCTATCCCCACGGACTTGAGACGAGTTTTTGGGACCACTAATAGTGACTGGGAACAGGACCTCAAATTTCTGACAGGGGATGATTAGTAATTGCAAACTTATGCTTTTCAAATTGTCTTTCTATATATATTTGTTTGATATGACCTATTATCTATGAATAATTTACTTTATTAAGAGAAAAATCCTCCTAATAATACAATTCACATTATTTTGCTCGGTTGCCACCAGAGGGTGATGATAGCTTTGTTAGTTCCAGGCTCTTTTGACAGTCATTGGTTCCAGGCTAGTTCTAAAAAAATTATTGCTGCTTTCTGATGACAAAAATTCAATTACCAAACATGCACGGACCCCTCGCAAGGCACGGCATACCTCCGAAAGTGCACTCTTGCGGGTTTTCAATGATTTGTTGATCAGTGATTCTGGAAATTAAGCTGCTGTTGTTATTGGACTTATCTGCTGCATTGAACACCATCGACCATGACGTTCTGCTGTCTCTTCTGGAATCATGTGTGGGTCTTAGGGGTACTGTCCTTAAATGGTTTAAGTCTTATTTACAGGTTAGGTCCTTCTCTGTAAACATGGGGCTTTCACATCACATACAGCAGCTGTGAGCAGTAGTGTTCCACAAGGGTCCATCTTGGGGCCCACACTTTTTTTTCATTTTACACCTTGCCATTAGGTTCTATTTTAGCAAACACAATATCACCTTTCATTGTTTTGCAGATGATCTTCAGATCCATCTTCCACTCATCCTTGCACCTGTCGCCCAGACTGCTTAATGAATGTGAAGAAGTGGATAACTATCAATTTTATGAAACTAAACAACCTCAAAACTGAGACTTTAGTCTTTGGCCATCAAGACCTAGTAGATGGGGCTCTGAGTCCCTTTGGTCCCTTATCAGTAATTGTAAAGCCCTATGTAAAAACTTTGGGGTCTTTATTGATGGTTCGTTCGAACTTAGACAGGTGAGTGTGTCATGTTGTGGTGAAGAAATCTAACCCACGACATACAGAATCAGATCTGAGACTGTGTAAAATGTTTAAGGATTTATTAAAGGGAAACCAAGGAAGCAGCGTAAACGTAGCTAAGTTCTGGCACAAGGAAGCTGGTGCGGGAAATCTGTGGACACGGAGTTAGATCCAATTTGCGGAGGGAACAAGGAATCGGACTTGCGGAGGACTTACGGTCTGGAGAGGAGGGAACTGGTTAAAGGGAGGAGTGGTCCGGTCTGGGTTGAGAGGCTTTGCAGGGGCTGAGATCCAAGAAGTGAGATGTGAAGGGAGCTGAGCTTGTGGAGGTCCAGGAAGTTTAGGTGGGCAGCTGGAGGTGGTTCTGGCCAGGGGAGAGGCTGAGAGACGAGCGGGGTTTGAGTTCCAGATGGTGTGGGCTCCAGAGTTCTGCCAGTCTGAGATGAGTGTGAAGGTTTTGTCTGGGAACAAGAGCAGGAGGTCAAAAGGCAAAAATCCAAAACTCATTAAATTCTTAAAACTCCAAATTACAAAAACACAATCTAACTCTCAAAAAACTCGAATAAGATAAACTAGTGGCTGTTAGAAGGTACCCAGGTAGAGTAATCATCCAGCGAGGTGTAGAAGTCTCCCAGCTGCTTAAATACCCCTGGCCAGCTGATGAGCAGATCTGCTGCAGCTTGGTCAACCTCCAGACACGCCCACCTGCAGAGGGAAAAACTCAAAAGACAGGGAGTGACAACAGGAATCCACCTCAGACCGTGACAGAGTGCAGTTGTCCAGTCCAGCTTCTATCACTTAAGGCAACTGGCAAGGGTTAAACATTATCTACCAGCAAATGTTTTGGAGAAAGTTATCCGTCTGATTATCTTTTCTCGGTTAGACTAATGCAGCTCCCTCTATTATGGCCTAGAACACTCCACTTTGCATCATCTACAGTTGGTCCAAAATGCAACAGAACGTTTGTTAACAGGTACAAGGAAGCGTGATCATATCACCCCAGTGCTTGCTTCCCCTCACTGGCTTCCATTTTAAGTTCCTGCTCGTTGTTTTTAGATCTCTACATGGCCTTGATTAACCCTACATAGATAATCTACTCACCATCTCCTGTCAGAAATTTGAGGTCCTGTTCCCAGTCACTATTAGTGGTCCCAAAAGTCCCGTGGGGATAGAGTTTTTCCAGCGGCTGGCCCTAGGCTCTGGAACAGCCGGCCCATAAAACTTAAAACTGAATTATTTGACCTGGCTTTTAATAATGGTTGATTTGTGCATCTATTCATTTGTATCTAGTAACTGTGTTTTTATTGTTCGATCTTGTATTTATTGTTTATTCTAATTTTTTTTACTCGTGGTTTTATTTAGATTTTTGTTTTTTTTGACGCCATAATTTTTAACATGTCTTACTTGGGCATGTTTTATTCATGGCTTTGTTCTGTTCAGCGCTTTGGGTTGTGTGAGCAACAGTAAGGTGCTATATAAATAAAGTTGACCTTGTGTGTTTGTATAAGTCCTCTCCTACTAACCCTCTGTTGGTTGATGCAGAAAGGCGAGTAATTACAAAATAAAATCTCTTTTATTTTGTTATTTAGGGGGAGGCAGTGAGGTGGCAGCTCGAGCTCTCAGTTTGCCAGACCTGAACCAGACTCAGGCCAGAATACTCCCACCCAGCCTAGAAACAGAAGAACACAGCACCATGGAGCGAGAGATCGCACAGATCGACCACATGATTGATGACATGGAGATGAAGGTGAACGTGCTGCGTTGGACGGTAGAGCCCCACGGACCGCAGTATGCGGATCCACTGAGCAGCACTGACAGCGCCTCCTTGGCCCTGGTCTCTGTTGTCGAAGAACAGCCTGGCCCCAGACTCCAGCCTCTTTGCCAGCGGAGCCATGTTTTTGTGCTCTTATTGCTGTTTGCTGTTATTTTAGTGGCAGTCACTTTATCTGTCTGTGTTTCCCTTTTCTCATGAATAAAACCTTAATATGCTTAATTAATTGTATTTTCTGTAAAAGTAGACAGGCTAAGTAACAATCTAAGCTTTGCATGTACGGTAGGGTTCTTTTCCTCTATGCTCTTTTCACGTTTTCTTTAAAAGCCACTAAATGTTTTGTCAGACCATGGCGTAATAATTAACACCAAACCAGTCATTTGCTGCAGAGAATCCACAGCTGCCATAACTAAAGGAACGGTAGAAACTTCTTTCATACGGTGAATTCACTTTGGAACAGATGATTTTGTTTATATTTCTGCCTGAATGAACAAATCTGATTGAAAAATTGAGTATATATATATTATAACTTGTTGCCATGGAGATCAGGTAGGTGCTGATGCCCGGTAGTGTAAGATGTTTTTTTTAGATTCATAATGGATTTTGTATATAATCTGCACCATGAAATATCCCATCCATTAAAAATATATCAACTTTGATAAAACTGTTTTCCATTTGTCTTTGTTATTACAAAGTAAAGCATCTTCAGCTGATTGACAACATAGAATTGCTTCAGTGCTGATATCCTGAGAAACTATCCCATGATCAACATGAAACATAATCAGAATCTGCTCTGGATTTTAATGCTGATATTACTGGATGTTTCACCTCACTGCAAAATACAAAACTGGATTCAATCTTGCATAATTTTACAGATTACTTAACACAATTTTAATAATAAATATAGCTAAATTAAGTCATTTTAATGTAGGGGAAACTAGTTAATGATAATTTATTTATTAACAGCGAATGCTGAGTCATTTATCAATAATAAATCTGATTTGTTAAGTGCCTTAAGGCGTTGGTCTTAAGTCTTCCAATGTTCAAGTCTGAACATTGGGAAAAAAAAATCCAAATTTTTAACCAGAAAATCCAAAATACTGCTACAGAACACACTGCTGTAATGCTTCTGCCATTAGGTTGCAGAACATGTGTTTGATAGCAGGAATATGTGTTTAAAATGTTGAGTTAATGGGTTGTAACATTTTTGTGGATTATTTTGATTACAAATTCTATAAATGTGTTGGTATTTTTGATTCAGTTGGACCAGGAGAGTAAATATGGTGTTCCATAATCTACCAGTAGGATTCTTTGTTCGTTTAAGTTTGAAAGTTTTCGTTTATCTTTAGAAAAAAAATGCTTTTATTCATTTGTTTGTTAAATAAATGCTCTTCTGATCTGAGAATATTCCCTTATGACTTCCGCCCTGCTTCCGCCTCGCTCAAGTTCTTCTTCTGTGGTCTTAAATTTAGTTCAGGATCCTAGCTTTATTTTGAAAGGCGTTACCGGAAGTGCCGATGTTGCTATAAGCAAAAAGTTGTGATCGTGAACGGAGCTGTAAAGGTTTCACACTTCGGAAGTAAAGTCCTGGAAGAACATGGCGCTTAAGCAGTGTCGGTCGCCATTTAGGAACATTGGTTTTAAGCGCTTAGAAAGGCGGCCAGACCCAGCGTCACCACAGGAGAAAGGTGTCCCATCGAGGCTGACGACCATCGGCACCGCAGCTGCTTTCCAGTTCTCTGCATCTTCAAGCAGCTTCGAGCCGTCGTTGAGATGGAGGAGACTGTCAGCTCTCAGGAACATTTCTTTACGAGGTAAAAATAACTTATTTATGTCCATTTTAACTTAGTTTTTATTTCAAAATAAAAGTGTATTGACGTAAATGTGCCTTTTTTGATCTGCAAACACAAAACCACTGCATTTTACTTTAATAGCTATCTTTATAAACCTAAATGGAAACTTTTCCGATGTTGGACTTTAGTTTATGTCGTCATAATGGTCATTTAAACCCACCCCCCTGGTGGGCAAAGCCAAACCCTCAACATTTGGCCCAAATCACTCACGTCCAGTTTTGTCTTCAGAGATAAACGCCTCAGCCCAGACCCTCCAGTATGACCTGAAACCAGACGTGCCGCAAGCTGGAGGCCGGAAGCTGTTCTTTGATACTCACGCAGTCGTACGACTCCTTGAGGAAAATGGTTTGTGTTGTTAAATGTGACTTTCTGATAATTGCTGCGCCATCAGGATGAATTATTCTTGGTTTCCTCCTAAGGTTTAAGCACCCAGCAAGCTGAGGTATTAGTCCAAGTGTTACTGAGGACGACGAGCTCCAACATGGAAATCATTTACAGCGACATGGTGACCAAGGTGCAACAGGTGAGACGGTAGGACTCAGATCTACCATTTAAATCCGTTTCATTTAGTCATGGTGACTGTTACTGGAACATCTGTGCAACACTAAACATTCATCTGTCGTGTAAAAGACAGAAACGAAACCCAACAAATGTCAGGTGTCTCCACTTCTTCGCTCGTGTGAAAGAGATGTTTGACTGAGTGAATTTTGGGATCTGTCAAGTCATTTTTCCCAGCTGTGTTTTAATTATCTGTACATTCATGTGTCAGGAAATTAGCTTGCTGCAGGTGATGTCTAAAATAGCAGCTGTGAAGAAGGACATGGTCATCCTTGAGAAGAGCGAGTTTTCTACACTTCTTGCAGAAAATGAGGTATTTTTTTTATGTTATTCCTTCCAGGAATGGATCATTGTGACATATATATAATGAGCTTTTATTTTTTTTTTTACATTTTGAGGGAATCAAATAGTTTTAGACCAAAAACAAAATGAGCCACAGCACATTATTAAGCCTGTTTCTGATCTGAATGTTTTTAATTATTTATTTTAGAAACTGAAGGTCCAGTTATCGCAGCTCAAGGTGCAACTCGCTGTAAGTTCCTGTTCAAACGGCAAAACTTTATTAATCAGCAACATTTTGTGCAGTGCTCCCCCATTTTTTATGTTGAATTATTTATCTATAATACTTCTGTGAAGACGTTTTATTCTCTAGTCCCGTTTTTACACGCCTTTTCTTTCCACTGTTGCAGGATGTAATGAGCAAACTGCGCTCAGACAATAGCTTGGACATAAATATGGAGAAAAGTCGTGCTAAAGAACTGGTGGGTGTTCGGTAATGGATTACAATGCAGTTTGGAAATCACTGGACTCCATTTAGGCTGGTGTATTTCGTGTAACACTCTAGTACCTGATCGCAGCACAGCAGTAAAGTGACACTTCCAGACACGAACATGTTTAAAAAACTTTATGAACACGTGAAACACCCTGAATCACGCTCTCTGAGTCCATATTTTAAGTTATTTGTTTTGTTTTTTCCAGAAAGCACAGCATGAGAAAAAGCTTCTGGAAACACGAACAGAGATCTTGGAAATGGTTTGTAAATTTGCAACAATAACTAAGTTCTTCATTCCTTATTCTGTGCAGACTATTAGATCGTTTATCGTGCATTATTGTGGTATAATAACTAATTCTTTATTTTACAGACTGCAGAACAAGACCGTCATTTGACCCACACAAACATGAAAATAGACACTGAAGTTGCTGGTTTGAAAACCATGTTGGAAGCTCATAAACTGGATACTATCAAGTATCTGGCAGGTGAGACATACAAATATGTTTCAGTATTAAGTATTGCCCAACATGCTTCATCACTTAAAATCTCCTATGTCTGTGTGTCATGATGTCCTGCTGCAGGGCGCTCATGTCTGATGCACTCAGCACATCTGCAGCAGGACGTCTCTCTGTAGACACATCTCCACATTGTCCAGAACAAAACCGGCGTTCAGGTTTTAAAAAGCTGCTTTACTGAAAGATAAGTTGACATACTGTCTTTATTTCTCTCTTTCAGGTTCGGTGTTCACCTGTCTCACTGTAGTCCTGGGTTTTTACCGCATTTGGATGTGAGCAGCAGTTAATAAGGAGTGGGGTGCTCCGTTTAAAGAGCTGTGTTTTTTATGTTTCATTCCTATTTATTTACTGTTTATTTTTACTTTTTATTTCAAGCTGCTGAAAAATCAACAAACAAACAAAAAACATTTTCACTTTTGCATGTTTTGTAATATTGAATGAAAAATGTATTTATTGCTGGCTGCTTAAACCGTGATGGGGCTAGTTTTGTATTGAACTAACCTCGTAAAAAATGAAAGTTTTTTTATCAATGACTTTTCTTGTACTTTTTTATTTGTAAATATATAAAAATTTATTTTCTATGTAAATACCTATATAGAGCTGAATGTATCTACAAAGCTAGATCAGCATTAGTCTTAATAGCTTACTTTAAATTGCTCGTCTGATTTCTGCTCCAAATAAAAGTACATTACTGATATCTTGAGCTGGCCTGCATGTCATCCTCTTTTTTTCCCACTAGACCTCACAGTAGCATGACCATCACACTTCTGTGTTTTCAAACCCAAAACTGCATGTGCAGCTTAATCCCTTATACCTTATAAAGGTGAATAAATTAAAAGCTTATTTAGACAAAAAAAACTGCATTTCTTTTAGTTAATTGTTATTTTTGGATACTTTTTTTTAGGTTATACAATTATTGAAAAATCAAGCTGCATTAATTATTTTCCTGTTTAAAACTAAAATTGCCTCTTTGTAAACATTTTAATGTCTGTATGAATGTGTTCGATGCAGTTGGGCGTTTGTTTGTCCTGAAAAAAAATTAATACTTTTATATCGGACATGTTTGATTTGAAATTTTAGACTTATAATGGTCAAATTTTGTAGCTAAATAAAGGTATTTGATATTAACTATTAATTTAATCTGAGAAAAATTACTTGATATAATTTCGCTCTGTAGCAGGGAATCCTTCATCACCACCCTCTTCTTATTCTGTTCTTATTCCACCTTTACCGGGATCCATTGATTTTCCTCTTTCTTATTCATTTTCTCTCTCCCTTTACTTATTTTTTTCTCCTTTTAAACATGTTTTTAATAATTTTTGAAATCTTTTTATACTTTAATTTTTTGTTTTTGTGAAGTGCCTCATGATTTTTATTTTGAGAGGCGCTATATAATAGATGTTTTCTTTCTTTCCTTTACAACATTTCAATGGTTATTTCCAGAGATTAATGGTAAAAACTACACATTGTCAATTAATACCTCCTGTGAATTGCTGTTCACACAACAAATATAAAATTTAAAATAACACAATAAAATAAGTATTGTTTAAAAAGCTAATGCTGCCAACTGGTGGATCATATGTTTATCATGTTTCCATATTACACTAGTATTAAATTTTATCAAATCATAGATTTCCATCAGATCATGAAATCATCTAAAGTTTCAATTTTTTTAAATTAACATATTGCCAATACATACAGAAAACATAGTTAATATATCCATCGATCACAGTTGTTTGCATTTAACATGAAGGAAATACAGAATAAGGAAACAACAACTAAAAATAAATAAATAAAAATACATAACAGCCACACAAACAAATAACAATTAGGGGTCTGCTGTTTCTAAATTGAAACGATTAAATAAATTGATCGTCTTGGTTAATTTGTTCTTCTTTTTTAAATTTTCAAATTCGTTCCTCATGTCATTAGCCTTTAAAACAACATGGATACTTTTCTAAATAAAGTAATCAGTTAAATAGTTGTTAATAGTTACCTACGCTAGTTTCTGCTGCCTAGTGGACATTATGGCACGTTGCAGTTTTCTACACTACACCAGGGCAGATTTTAATTAAAAAAAAAATTAAATCAGAAAACAAAACTGAATACTGGAAATACAATCTGGTTTCTTCATGAACCCATAAATTGACAAATAACATCTGAATCAACTGAAGGCCGATCCGATTCTATTATTTTTTATGATTATTCATAATCTATCTAAAAACCTAATTTAAAAAGTATGCGGGCTGAGTTTATTTAGAAAAACCTTTGAACCGGAAGTGTTTGCCTAAAGCCTGTAAACACGTGTATATCCTCTACAAGCACTCACGGGTTGCTGGTATTCATCTGTCTTTTAAAGATCTAGACAGTTTACCTACTAACTACATGACACTGCGACGTAAGTTAAATTGTATGCGGAAATATAATTTGCAAGTATTTATTTGTGTAAATCATTACCATTAGCATCAAAGCTAACTTCGCCTAACATTGGAGTCAAAACATTTACAACATATGGGCCTGGTTAAAAGGAGTTTGTGTTTAATTTGTACTTAATATGTGTGGTTTTGACAGTCTAGTGATATTTGTTTATTATTTAACTCTACCATTAAAGTTTGTTTTGTTCTACAGAAGCTTGTTAGCGTTTTTTGCTACCATGGCTGAGGCGTTCAGTAGCAGCTCGGAAACTGTAATTCGTCGTTCGATAAACGTCGAAGTGAAGGCAAATACCTCTGGGGAGAAACTGGAAGAGTTTTATGACATTAAAGAGACATGCGAGTTTATTAGGGAGCATAACTTTGACAAGGTGAGAAACATCAATTTATTTTCTGGTGTGTTCATTTTTATGTTCGTTTGCCCTTTAAGGCATCGTTGTAGTTCATTGTTAAAAGTGCCCGAAAGTAGTTTTGCAATGGTTATTTTCCTGTCGTGATTGTATCTAATGTTTATATTTCCAGGTTGCTCTGCAGTTTCCCGATGAACTGCTGGTTGATTCGGTGGCCGTAGCCCAGGAGATTGAAAGAAACAGTCATGCCAAAACGTTTATTTTAGGAGACACCTCTTATGGCAGGTAAAATACCCTGGCTATTTGAGTGGAATAACTTTTTTTCATTATGTAATTGAGGTTGCATTGGATTTTTGCATTACAATCTTATAAGGGTGACAAGAACGTGTGTGTTAACAGATCATCATGAGTTTTTTGTATAACACTGTTATATTAATTGTAAATTCTGTCGACTTCTTACATTCAGCTGCTGTGTGGATGAAGTCGCAGCAGAGCACGTTGGAGCTTCCTGCATTGTGCACTATGGCAGTGCTTGCCTCAGCCCATCCAACAGGCTTCCTGTGTTGTACATCTTTGAAAAGAGACCATTGGATGTGGAGTTGTGCGCCTCCTCCTTCAGGGAGCTGTACCCCGACACGCAAACGCATGTCATCCTCCTCTGTGATGTCAACTATAATCACGCTATTGGTGAGTTTTAAGATTTATTTCCTTCGTTTTAGTCATCTGCTCTCACTGCATTTGTGGAAATTAGTAAGATTATATAAGCCCCAGCTCTTCTTTTACAGAATGTTTTTATTTTTACAGATGGTCTTCTGGCACTTCTGTCACCAGAGTATCCAAACCTTGCTGTCTCGGAGCTTGTTGTCGGCGGAGGACAGTGTTTCATTCACGGAAGAAAACAAATGGATAAAACTTGTCCTTCTGAGCCTGAAAACAGCCTGGTCATATCTCAGTTTGGGAGGCGGTTTTCCCTAAAATGTGGTACAGCTGTAACAGATTACAGGATGTTTTATGTTGGCCTGGAGGGGGCGACCTTAAGGAACTTCATGATGACTTGGAATCGCTGCTCGTTTTGCTCTTTTGATCCCGTCTCACTGAAAGGAAGGACTGAGTCTATTAATGTTAACCGAGCGCTGATGAAGCGATATTACGCCATAGAACGGGCCAAAGATGCCAACGTGGTTGGTATTCTTGTCGGGACCTTGGGTGTGGTTGACTACCTCTCCATCATCCAGCAGCTGAAGAAAACCATTCACCGAGCTGGCAAGAAGAGCTACATGTTCCTCATGGGGAAACTCAACGTACCCAAACTAGCTAACTTTATGGAAATCGACATATTTGTGCTCATCGCATGTCCGGAGAACTCGCTGTTGGACTCCAGTGAATTCTATAAACCCATCGTAACGCCGTTTGAGATGGAAGTGGCCTGCAACAAGAAAAGGGAGTGGTCAGGGGAATATGTCACGGACTTCCGACACCTCCTGCCAGGTTTGTATGGGATTTATATTCACATCAGAAATACCCCACTACATATTTTCCTCCTTTATAAATCAACACACTTCGTATAAACGTGTAGTTACTATATGGTAGCTCGTGTCGTAAAGTGGGATTAAACTGAAGTTATGGATTCATCCAATGACATCAACTGGTTAGATGGATGTTTCTTTTTTCCTTTGAAGTGTGGTTTTCTATAAAAGTAATAATTCTCTGACCAAAGTGTTTTTAAGAACAGCTCCAATTTGCCAAATGCCTCGGATGTTCATGTGAAAGTGATTGTAAACCTTTACACCTCTTTCTCTTTGGCATTACACGCTGCTGTTTTGAGGGAAGTATAACGACATTTCTGCTGGACGTGATGTCTGGACGCAGCTAAAATGCTATCGCTAGCTGCTCTTGTAAACAAATGTGAAATGGAAAATGAATGGCAGCGTAAAGGTTTAAAAAATTAAAGTCAGAGACATTTCTTTGGTATCTTTTCAACTCAGACTAGCTGTTAGTTCATCAATCCTGTTGGACATAAACTCTGTTTCTCCAAGGTTTGAGAATCTATCTACAATGATTAGACTTTAATAATAATCTACACACAAACATGTAAAATTACTGAAATCTTTGCATCAATAGTCTAATTTTTAGTTTTCTGTATCTAAACACAGGTGGTGGAAGTCATGTGCCGTTAGCCGATCAGCAGGAGGACGTCGACGATGAGACAGACGTTTCATTGATCACCGGAGCGCTGCGAAGCCAGAACCTGATGAACAGCGAGCCTGTAGAGTCCTCGTTTGGATCCTCTGTGGTCCTGAGGAACCAGACTCTGACCGTAGCCAACGCCGACTCAGCAGGTCAGAAACTCCTGCTGCACTGAATGTAGACGTATTGCTGAGTGATGCTCATGTCCTGCAGCTTTTGCTTACCTTAGGACTTTGCAAAAGCTACTAAATTAGTTTATTATATTCTGATTGACTTTTATGTTTGTTTGTTTGTTTTTTTCCCAGCGTCCTTTTTGGCAGGTAGAAGCTGGCGTGGCTTAGAGCCGGCGCTGGGAGACGCTCCTGTGGTGAAGGTAGTAGAGGGAAGAAAAGGCATCGCTATCGCCTACGAAGACGAAGGAACATCGTGATGATTTTTGCAGGAATCCACAAGATCTTCCCTAGATTATTTATTAACAGTTAAACCAAGTATAAAGTTTACACCTTCTAACTACTGGATGTATTTAATTTTTACGTGATTATTAAACATTTGTGAAAAACGGTTTGCAAATGTTTTTTAAAAAAACATCAATAAATCATAGATGTAACATTTAAATAGATGGTTCTGATTGGTGGTTGTGTATATTATGACTCCTGCAGGAGATGTTCTGCTCAGCAAGAACAAAAAAACTTGATGCATTTTCAGGTGTTACAGTTTGTTCCCAGGAAGTTCTTCAACAAAGGCTGCAGGAAATATTCCAGTGTTCCCATTAGACTGCCCTTCAAACCAGTCCTGATTGACTGAAGCAAAACACGTTTGAGTTAGACTCGCATCTATTAATTAAATCTGTTTTTATTAGTTCACATAGTTTGGAATCTCACCTCTGGAGAGCAGTTTGATCATATCACCCTCTTGGAAGTTCAGATCTTCTGGATTGGAGGACTTGTAGGAGTGAAGAGCTACGAAGTGAATCTCTTTCTGGGGCTGAAATCGTAAAACACACTCGTTCAGTTTGAGCTCATTTATTGTCGCATTAAAATATTTCTGTTTGTTTCAGAACATTTTAGTCACTTGCTATAAATTACAGACTGGCCATGCTAACAATTCTCTGAAAATTATCTATTGTCAATAGTCTTGACCAAAAGCCAGGCTCTGGGGTTCATTGTGAGACATTAAGAGGTCAAAGGTCACCCAAAATGAGCTACATCTTAAAAGAATAAATCATGTTAATGTCCCAGAGAAGGAATGAATGTTTTTGTTAGGTGTTTCGCTATATTTAGTGCATATGGGTGGTTTATCTAATCAAAAGACTCAGACCCTCCAAAATCCCCTTTAAATTTGTATTTTAAGGCAAAGAAAATCTGCTCAGTTAAACTTTAATCTCTTGATTTCATATTTCCTTTATTCAGTTATTGTAGTTGCTGCTGTCTGGGGAAAAAAAACTCATATGGAGTCGAATGAAATATTAAGCCTAATTTTAATGTTAATAGCTTAAACGGTCACCGTGTCCTTACCTCTGTGGTGGTACACCATAAGGTGATGTGTCCACCACTGGCACGTCTCCACACATCCTTCATGTCTGTGTTGGCGTCAATTACACTTTTCCCATTTGCATCACAGCTGAAAATCAAACAAACAGGACTGACTTTATTTTACTTTGTAAAAGTAAAAAGTATGTAAACATAACTCAGAATTGTTCTGACTGAAGTGACTTTTGTACCTCAAAGAGATAGCAGTAGGAGGAAGATTTAACTTCTTGCTGACTTTTCCTATCAGTACCACATACGGAGACCCACGCGGTACGGAAACCGCAAAGTTGAATGTGAAATGGATTTTGACTGTATATGAGCTGTCTGTTGGCTGGACCACCTAATAAGGAAGAGTCACACCTGAATTTAAAAGGCGAGGATCATTTTAACAGTGAACATGTTGGAGCCAAACCTGCGGAGTTCTCCCACTGCTGCTCTCCACTGGAGTGAGACCTTAAAAGGAGAAAGGAGGTCTAATTACCTCATCGGGACTGGAGGGGCAAAGCCTGGTTTTGATGAGGTGAAGGGTTCTTGATAACCCTTTAATGCCAAACGTATAAAACATACTACCAGCTTTCATAGACCTTTATCTAACAGGATTAGTACATTCCTTCAGTTTTTGTGCCACTGGATTTTTTTCTCCTGTTTTCTTGCGGACGATGTACATTAAAGTATTCAGACCCCCATAAATGTTTCACAGTGTGGCAAGGTGGAGAAACGAGGGCCCGGGCGGGATGCGATCCCTAGACTCCCGGGTGCGAGTCATGCCCGCTAACCAGTCAGCCAAATATCCCTTTGGCGAAGTAGCCAGGGCACATGATCAATCGGGACCCTGTGACAGGACACTCACCCTGCCGCATCTCTTTTTATATTGCAAACATTTGGTAAAATCAATTAAATTCTTTATCCCTTCATTAATGTACACAGAGCACCCCATATTGAGAGAATAACTCAGAATTTTAGAGATTTCTGCAGGTTTATTAAAAAAGACAAACTGATACATCACATGGTCCTGAGTACTCAGACCCTTTGCTCGGTATTTAGTAGAAGTACCTTTTGAGCTAGTACAGCTATGAGTCTTCTTGGTAAAGATGCAACAAGTGTCTTACATCTAGATTTGGGGATCCTGTCATTCCTCCTGCAGATCCTCGCCAGTTCTGTCAGGTTGGATGGTGAACAGTGTGCCATTTTTAGGTCTCTCCAGAGAGGCTCAGTTGGGTTTAAGTCAGGGTTCTGGCTGGGCCTTTTAGTTGCTGTGAAGCCACCCCTTCGTTATTTTAGCTGTGTGTTTAGGGTCACTGTCATGTTGGAAGGTAAACCTTCAGCCCAGTCTGAGGTCCTGAGCACTCTGGAGAAGGTTCTGGTCCAGGATATACCTGTACTTGGCCGCATTCATCGTTTCCTCTATTGCAACCAGTCGTCCTGTCCCTGCAGCTGAAAAACACCCCCACAAAATGATGCTGCCACCGCCATGCTTCACTGTGGGGACTGTATTGGACAAGTGATGAGCAGTGCCAGGTTTTCTCCAAACATACCACTTAGAATTATGGCCATAAAGTTCTATCTTGGTCTAAGACCAGATAATCTTATTTCTCACCATCTCGGGGTCCTTCAGGTGTCTTTTAGCAAACTCAATGAGGATTTTTACGAGTCTTGCACTGAAGCGAGGCTTCCGACGGTCCCCTCTGCCGTAAAGCCCTGACTGGTGGAGGGCTGCAGTGACAATTTCTACAGCCTGCTTTAGGAAGCAAACATCTTCCATTTAATGATTATGGAGGCCACTGTACTCTTAGGAACCTTAAGAGCAGCAGAGATGTTTTGGTAACCATGGCCAGATCTGTGCCTCGCCACAATTCTGTCTCTGAGCCCTTCAGGCAGTTCCTTTGATCTCACGATTCTCATTTGCTCTGACATGCATCATGAGCTGTAAGGTTTTATATAGACAGATGTGTGTCTTTCTTAATCAAGTCCAGTTAGCATAATCAAACCCAGCTGGACTCCAATGAAGGTGTTGGACCATCACAAGTATGATCAGAAGAAATGGAAAGCACCTCACAGCAAAGGGTCTGAATACTAAAGACCATGAGATATTTCAGGTTTTCTTTTTCAATACATACATTTCTAAAATTCTGTGTTTTTCTGTCAATATGGGATGCCATGTGTACATTAATGAGGGGAAAAAAAGCAAATGGCTGCAATATAACAGTGAAAAAATGATGAGGGTCTGAATACTTTCCATACCCACTGTATGTATTGCATGAGATAAAAGTAAATCACATTTTATTACCCAACAAAAATATTTCACTTCTTATCACCTTGTGATAAATGGATCAGTCTTGTGAAAAATATGGGAATAAAAGCAGGTTTTATAGTGTATACCCAAACCAGGGGTCGTGTATGGTTAGGGGACTGTTTCAGCTTGGGCTACACAAATTAATGGCAGCATTAATACAAATGTGTAGTTGTGAGATCTACCTTTCCTCTCAGGTCTGGTTGGTGGTTCTTGACTCAGAGGTCTGGCTAAACCCTGATAATTGTTCCCAATCAAAATATGGGAAAAGGAAAAAAAAAACATAAAAAAAAAAACATTAAAGAAGTCAAGTTTCCATACTGTTCAACGTAGCCTAAGTAAATTTTAAAGAACAACGAGTTTTTCTGGAATATGTCCAGAGAAAATGATGCCGAACAGGAAGTCACTGATACAGCAGCCCTACCTTGTGTTGATTTGAAGCCAAGGAAATTTCCAAACGCTCTAGGTAATTGTAAGGAACAAGTCCTCTCTGTAATCGACATCATACTGGATAATAATCAATAGAACTTAAAAACATAAATTACTAATTCAGCCCATCCCTGATTTTAGTCCTACTCTTTCATTGAAGACCACGTAGGCCCAGTTGTCGTCACCCTTCTGCAGCACAAACACAATGTTTCCTGGCACAACAGCCAACTCATCACTGGTCTCAGGGTCAAACTCAAACAGCACGGTGTGTGGTTCTCCTTGTAGAGCTCTGTGGAGACGAGATGTCCACATGTCCTCGTGAGAAACAGAACAATTAGAATATGATGATTATATTTTATCTGCTGTTTGGTTTATCTATTTGGGACATGTTCACTTTCAGATCACAGCAAAAGAAAATCTAATACATGTTCAAACTGACCTCAAAACTTCTGGTTCTTTTGGAGAAGTTGGACCATCTTCGACCTAACAAAATACAGGACTTTCACTTTTAACCACCATTGCAAAAAGGCTTTATATTTCACATCGTAAAGAACTAATGTACATATGACGCTGCTCAGACTTCCCCTCGTCATGAGTGGATTTGATCTGCCCTGGTATATTAGAGGCTAATGAAACATTTATTTATCTTCTGAGGACTTTATTGGTCTCAGTTTGATTTGATTCCTCACCTGCGGTTGTAGCGGGGCAAACCCAGAGAACTCATCTTGTGGAACCACAGAGGAAACAACCTAATGTTTCGAAAAATACATTTTAAATGGAGTTTTATGCCGTTCTTCATCAATAATATATATCTGTAAATCTGAATAATCCACAATTAAAATGGATTATGTTAAAATCTGTGATTGTTGGTCTGGTTGTTATATGCATACCTTAGCTTTGCCCAGGTAGTCCTTTTTCTCCAGCTCAGCCACATAGTGCTTGTTTGGTCTAAACAGCATTTTCAAAGGGAATTCCACCGGTTTGAAAAGCTTTTGTTTCTGTCAGAAAAAAAAAACACATATTGAAAAATATTACTTAAATTAATTTGAAAGATTTTGGGATTTTAGAAGATTCACTTACAGTGGGGCAAAAAAGTATTTAGTCAGCCACCGATTGTGCAAGTTCTCCCACTTAAAATGATGACAGAGGTCAGTAATTTTCATCATAGGTACACTTCAACTGTGAGAGACAGAATGTGAAAAAAAAATCTATGAATTCACATGGCAGGATTTTTAAAGAATTTATTTGTAAATCAGGGTGGAAAATAAGCATTTGGTCGCTTCAAACAAGGAAAATCTCTGGCTCTCACAGACCTGTAACGTCTTCTTTAAGAAGCTTTTCTGTCCTCCACTCGTTACCTGTATTAATGGCACCTGTTTGAACTCATTATCTGTATAAAAGACACCTGTCCACAGCCTCAAACAGTCAGACTCCAAACTCCACTATGGCCAATACCAAAGAGCTTTCGAAGGACACAAGGAAAAGAATCGTAGACCTGCACCAGACTGGGAAGAGTGAATCTACAATAGGCAAGCAGCTTGGTGTGAAAAAATCAACTGTGGGAGCAATTATCAGAAAACGGAAGACATACAAGACCACTGATAATCTCCCTCGATCTGGGGCTCCACGCAAGATCTCATCCCGTGGGGTCAAAATGATCATGAGAACGGTGAGCAAGAATCCCAGAACCACACGGGGGGACCTGGTGAATGACCTGCAGAGAGCTGGGACCACAGTAACAAAGGTCACCATCAGTAACACACTACAACGGCAGGGAATCAAATCCTGCAGTGCCAGACGTGTTCCGCTGCTGAAGCCATTGCATGTCCAGGCACGTCTGAAGTTTACCAGAGAGCACATGGATGATACAGCAGAGGATTGGGAGAATGTCATGTGGTCAGATGAAACCAAAGTAGAACTTTTTGGTATAAACTCAACTTGTCGTGTTTGGAGGAAGAAGAATACTGAGTTGCATCCCAAGAACACCATTCCTACTGTGAAGCATGGGGGTGGGAACATCATGCTTTGGGGCTGTTTTTCTGCTAAGGGGACAGGACGACTGATCCGTGTTAAGGACAGAATGAATGGGGCCATGTATCGTGAGATTCTGAGCCAAAACCTCCTTCCATCAGTGAGAGCTTTGAAGATGAAACGTGGCTGGGTCTTCCAACACGACAATGATCCCAAACACACCGCCCGGGCAACAAAGGAGTGGCTCCGTAAGAAGCATTTGAAAGTCCTGGAGTGGCCTAGCCAGTCTCCAGACCTCAACCCCATAGAAAATCTGTGGAGGGAGTTGAAAGTCCGTGTTGCTCTGCGACAGCCCCAAAACATCACTGCTCTCGAGAAGATCTGCATGGAGGAATGGGCCAAAATACCAGCTACTGTGTGTGCAAACCTGGTAAAGACCTATAGTAATCGTTTGACCTCTGTTATTGCCAACAAAGGTTATGTTACAAAGTACTGAGTTGAATTTTTGTTATTGACCAAATATTTATTTTCCACCCTGATTTACAAATAAATTATTTTAAAATCCTGCCATGAGAATTCATGGATTTTTTTCACATTCTGTCTCTCACAGGTGAAGTGTACCTATGATGAAAATTACTGACCTCTGTCATCATTTTAAGTGGGAGAACTTGCACAATCGGTGGCTGACTAAATACTTTTTTGCCCCACTGTATCTTCTTCCTTCCAAAACCCAAATAGCCAACACCTATGCTGATAAAATGTTGATTTCTAAACATATGTGGATGTGTGTAATTGAATTATATTAATGAAGTGTAACCGTATTTTATGAGAGGATGATCGTAACTGACCAGGGTTGACTGCAGAGCCCTGTCGATGAGGCTGAGCTTGGCATCTGTCTTGTAGTCCAGTGCCTTGACCAGGTTTTCCTGGGCCTTTTCCCAGCTACCCAGCTTAGCTTCAGCCAGGGCAAGATTGTGGAGAACCTGAAGCAGGAGGTGTCGACGTGACACTGAGTTAGGAGCTTTTCAGTCACACCGTCTTATCAGGTTTATTTGAAGCCCTCATATTGAAAACTGAATTAGGAAGAGCTGAGGCTTCAACGGTTTCCTCTTTGCAAGAATATATAAATCACATTGAAAATGAGGAATTACCATCATCAGCCAGCTTTATTTTAACCTCAGATTTCTGACGGACAGTAGAGCTAAAGCTCACCTCACAGGCATATAGGATGTATCTGAGACCTAGTGCTTTGTAATCGATCAGCTGGTTACCCCTCAGAGCTTTAAAGGCTCTCTGGAAATCAGCTGAACTCTCCTCATACCTGTGACCAAGACAAGTAAAGGTAATAATTATTACAAATAAGGCAAGTTTTAAAAAACATTTGATGTAATTTACCTTTTCTTTTTGTAAAATGTCATTCCCCTCTGAAAGAAGGCAACTGCCAAATGCTCATCCTTGCGAATGCTGCAGTCAAACGCCTGAGAAATAACAGGTAAGAAAATAACTTCCTCTAAAGGAGCAGAAAGCCGGTGACACCACTTCTTCTTTCACTGTGACTTGCACTTTCAGAAACCTCTATAGGGAGCCTAAGTCACGTCCTTCCGGACCATGGGTCCTCAGCTGCCAAGAAAATTGAAATTGAATATTTTCTGATCCTGTTTGATCTGTTCAGGGGACCCGTGAGCCAACCGGAGGGCTCCTTATATCTGACACGTTTCATCTCAGCCTTGCCAAATAAATCCAGATGATTTTACTTTCTTACGTGCACAGACTTGCAGATTTGATTTAAAATAAAGTAGATCTAACGTACCTTTTCAGCATCATCCAAGTCTTGGTTCAGAAGATGAAGGCAACCAATGTCAAAGTAAATTTTGGAATTTGGTTCTTGAATGGATAAGAAAATGCAGAGGGCTTCTGACCATTCCTGTCTGTCGGCACAAGTTACAGCTTTGTCCCACTGCCGCAGAGTGTCCACATAAGACATGTTTGTTGGCTTACCAGCACACTGATTCTACATTGAGGAAGTTCTTCTTATTTGTACCAGTGAAACTGGGAAGTGTGATGACAGCTGTTACGATTTACAAATGCATCACAATCAGCTCTAAGTGCTAAAGCCACATTTAAATTATTTTCTCCCGTTCAGTGCAATAATTGCACTCTAACTTACTGCTGATGTACCAAACAATTTGCACATTGTGTCCAGGAAATATGTATATTTTTATATCTACTTTTTCAGATGGTCTTGTGTTTATTTTTTATCTGGTATGTCAAATGCTCTATTTGAGTTCCATCAATATTAGCCTACAGTTAACAAAAGCTTTATGATTTAGATTCTAGAGATTTTCTATCTTTGAATAAATTGTGGGTTTAAATGTGTGTGTGTGTGTTTGTGTGTGTGTGTGTGTGTGTGTGTGTGTGTGTGTGTGTGTGTTTAGCTCTAAACTAACGTTGGCATTTTATAAGCAGAAAAGCTTGAGATGCATAATGAAAAATGTTTCACATCTAATTGATTTCTAGTATTTTTTTAAATAATTATTTTTTAACTTTATTTTGTAAATTTACAAACAAACATGGCACTTTGACAATGTTAAATCCAAAACTCAAATTGATTTCCAGTGTTGTAACGATCTTAACTTTGATGACATTCAGACATTTTTACTGAAATAAGTAATGTTCAGATTATTGTTTGTTCTTCTTTAATAATTCTAAATTTATTGAGCTGCAATATTTATTTAGTAAATATATGATGTGTTTTTGTGCCAAATGCACAAAAACAACTTCCGGGTTTTTCCTTTCAAAATAAATTTCTTGTGACATGACTATAATCACAAAATACTGGTGCGTTTTCTTACAACACTAACATCATATTATAAATGTGTATTTATATATTCTCAAGGAATTCAACGATTTCGCCTTTCAATAATAACGTCTCTTCTTTACTTGAATGTATAAAATGCTCTTATTTTGATAGAGTAAAAACGTTTATCCGTTAGCTCATCGCTAGCTAAACAAACATGGCTCTGCTACACTTTCGGAGTACGAACCTTTATGATGCGTAGAACAAATGAAAATTGGAGCTATGTAAGGATTAACAAGAAATAAGTCATGTTTGGTATGACTGTTTAGATTAAGTTGCTATATTATTTGTGTTGGTAGCTCGGAGCACCCTTTTGTGTCCGTATTTACACACAGCTAGCTCCAGAGTTGGCTAATGTGAGCTAACAAGATGGACCTTGGAACAATGTTGTACAATAATTTGAAAGATGTTACTTGGAGCTCAACGTCTTTACCTTTGGATCAGCTTGTCAGTGCATATAAAATGCCCCAAATCGTCAAACTGGACAGCGGTTAGTAACTTTGTTATTATGCATTTAAAGCAGTCATCTTTGCGCTAAACATCAACAAACTGTTAAGTTGGTGTTTATATATATATATATATATATATATATATATATATATATATATATATATATATATATATATATATATATATATATATATATGTCTTAATGATGCTTACATTCTCAAGCATTTTGTAGCCAAAGTGCTGCATCTGCTTGACAGACTACATTATTGTACCACAGCAACTTTTTATTATTGAATGCTTTCATGCATCCTCACATCACAACAAAACATCTTGATTTATGGTCAGCACTGATCCGCTTCTCAAGACTGCATTTATGTCACTCTAGACTATCTGAAGCATTGAAACTGTCAAAATGAATAATTAAACAGATGTATCAGCCACAGTCACATTTAGTTGTCTATTAAATAGATATCTTTATTTTAAACTCTACCAAACTGCCTTGTTGCTGTATTATAATGTTCAGAAATCTGTAAGATAACCGAAAATCTTTTTATTTTATTTTATCAAATGTCATTCTAATCACAGCCAATAAGTAAAAAGTTTCCTATATAAGGAACCCAGCAGGTTGCATCGAGTCACTGACTAGTGTCAGAGTCTTTACAGCAATCCTCATACTAAGCAAGCATTTAGCGACAGTGGAGAGGGAAACTCCATTTTAACAGGAATAAACTCCAGAGGATCCTGGCTCAGTATAAGCAGCCATGTAAATTTGTTACTGACTCCTGCAGGTGCGCAGATATTTTACATGTTATGCACAGAGAACATCGCAGAGGTAATCAAGATTTCTATCAGTGCATCTGAGCATAATCTCACACTTTCTCCTTATCTTGCTGCTGACAGTGTGCCCAAGTAGTGCGCTGAAGGGAGCTCAGAGAGCGTCTGGCGCACTCGACATCTTGCACAATAGCGCAGTGTTGAGTGGAAACCCTTCTATCTTTCCGAGAGTCTGGTATACTTCTGTTTATGTGTCATTAAATAATTAGATTTTTAAACTTTGGCATAAATAGTGCTTGTTATCCAGCAATTGCCTTGAATCCAGCGTGTCAGCGGACCGCAGGTTCATCCATAACAACATTTAAACATCCACAAGTCTGTCTGAAACAAAAGCCCAGAACCTCATAACCTCTTCAGCAAACTCCTTAGAGACATTTGATTACGCACAAGCTGGAGGTGACCTGTTAATGTTTACGTACAGGCCAATGCAGGTAAAATGTTCCTAATTTAAGTGAAATTGTTTAATTGCATGTTTTATATGTTACAGGGGCACTCTGATCAGCTTATTTGGACTAAATATTAATTTTAAATGAATTAAAATTTAACGGTATTGAAGGATGAATGGATGATGCAACCTCTGGCTGTGAGCAAGTGCTCCCTCCTTGAGTGCATCCAAATGCAGCAGCGATTCATTTCATTTCCTACTCACACTCATAAAAGAAAGAACCAGGTAGCCTATGTTCAGAAAAAAAAAACATTTTGTTTAACCCTCCCACTGTCCTAATGGGTGTGACTCCGCAAGGAAAGTTGACCATTGAGTGGGGTTGATGGTTTTAACCTGTTTTTAGAAACAGGCTCAAGACCCTTCTTTTTAGCTTAGCTTTTAACTGATTACTATCACTTTTTAAATAAATAAATTAGGTTATTTATTTATCTATTTGTTTCTTTTATGTATTCTTTTTTTTAACAGAGCTTTTAGTTATTTTATTATTTTTAAATGTCTTAATGGTCTTGGGCCTTCTTATCTCTCAGAACTGCTTCATAAATACGAGCCTTCGCGGTCGCTGCGCTCCTCTGGCAGCCGTCTCCTAGTCATTCCAAAAGTCAGGACACACTCCCAAGGCGAGGCGTCCTTCCAGTTTCATGGCCCTCGCCTCTGGAACAGTCTGCCAGAGGACCTCGGGGCTGTAGAGAGTGTTCTTGTTTTTAAGGCCGGGCTCAAGACTCAACTTTTTAGTATAGCTTTTAAGTGATTTTGATCTATTTTAGCCAGTTTTACCATCTTTTATATATTTTATCAGTGTTTTATTACTTACTCTTTTAATTAAATAACACATTTTCTTACATATTTATTTTAACTTGTAATAATTATTAGTTTTAACCAGTCTTAATACTTTGTTGTACAATATTTTATAAATTTAATTATATGTTTCTACTAGGTTATCTTTTATCACTGTGTTTTATTTAGATTTTTATTTATCAGCTGTTTATGTTTAATTTGTTTTTTAACTTGTTATCTTAGTCTCATTAGTAAACCAGTGTTTCCTCTGTGGGGGCTGGCTGCCCCGGGGGCAGCGGTGGGCTGTGGAGGCCGGGGTGCTTCCCATGTCTACTCTAGCCAAGGCTATTGCTGCCAATCTTGGTGCTTCCGGTGCAGTTGGCTCCTTTGATGGCATTTTCGTCTTCTTTGTACCTACTACATCTGCACTCAGCCAGCTGCCCTTTATTACGTGTGTGTGTGTGCGCGCGCGTGCGTGTGCGTGCGGGAGTTTGCATCTGTTTGGGACGGGATTGAGGATGGGAGGAGGGAGATACAAAGGGGATCCCTTATGTGAATCAGTGTGGGAGGGGTGGGAAACCGACTGCTTTGAGCTGCATTTGCATGAAAAGTGCTTCATAAATAAATTTTGATTTGATTTATTTATATATATATTTTTTAAACCATAGATTTATGATTAACATTATTTTAATATATATATATAATTTTTGTATTACAATTTTCATTTTAGCTCTTATTATTTTATATTTTAACCTTAATTTAACCATTTTCCAGTGTTTCCTCTGTGGGAGCACTCTGCCCCGGGGGCGTTGGTCGGTTGTGGCGGCCTGGGTGCTTTCCAGGTGTGTCTAGGTGGAGGTGGGTGTCTCCGCCCTGGGTGCCCTCGGCTGCTGCTGTGGATGTGCTGCTGTCAGGGCAGATGGCTCCCCTGATGGCGTTTCCTTATCTTAGCTGGTCTGGCTCATCTAAACTCAGTCCATTGTGTTTTTTCCATGGGGGGGGGGGGGGGGGGGGGGGGGGGGGCATGTGTGCGTGTGTGTGTGTGCCGGAGGAGGAGTGTTGTGAAGGGGTTTTTATTCTCAGACTGTTTTTAAATTCTGGGGATGGGAGGGAATGTGGGTATGCAGGGCCTTTTCAATTTGTTAAGCACTTTGAGTTACATGCATTGTATGATTACGTGCTATATAAATAAAGTTTGATTTGATTTGATCCCTTGAGGTCCATGTGGCAGGGGTGAGGAGTGAGCACCGCCTCACCCCTGCCACATGGACCTCAAGGGATCAACCATCAATCCTGCTTAATGGTCAACTTTCCTCGCGGGGTCACACCCATTAGGACAGTGGGAGGGTTAAATAAAATGCCACCATGATGGTCACCGCAGGGAAACAAAGACGAGGCTTCCTTTAAACACTTAAACCGTATTTAATATGGGCCGTTTATACATCACTCTACCAAACAACAAATGCAAAATTAAATAATGAGAAACTAAAAAAAATCTCCTCCAGCAAACATATGTGCTGCGCATCCATTAAAAAATTTGTGTTTGGACTTTTTTTGTGTTCGCAAATCAGTCCGTGCATCATTTCGTTACTCAAAGAGTCACATGCGCAAATTAATCGGACATCATAATTTATTGGACTAACGCTTGGCTGTGGGAAAACCGTGGATTGCTTTTTAAACATTTGTTTATTCTCTTTTGTCCAGGTCAGTTGGTTGAAGGCCTCAGAGACAACGACTACCTCTTGGTTCATTCCTGTCGTCAGTGGACAACCATCACTGCTCACAGTTTAGAGGAGGGACACTATGTGATTGGGCCCAAAATAGAGATCCCAGTGCATTATGAAGGTAATTATTTAATCTAGTCTGAGATTGCACTTCTAATTTGATGTTGTAACTCTACTTTGTATCATTTACAGTTGCCTTCAACAGCCAAACTTTCAAACGTTGGCAAAGCTAAACTTAAACACTTAAACATCAACAGTGCAACAGGACAAGTTGTTAGCACGTGTTTCACGTCTGGCTCAGCCTTATTAGATGTATTTATTTTCTTTTTGCTGACTTTAGGTCAGTTTAAGCTGCTGGAGCAGGATAGAGACATCAAAGAGCCCGTACAGTACTTCAACAGTGTGGAAGAGGTGGCCAAAGCATTCCCTGAAAGGGTGTACGTCATGGAAGATATCTCCTTCAATGTTAAGGTAGTTTTAAATGGTCGAAGAAGTCTTTGTTTACTCATAAACAAAAATAAATCACAATAAAGATGCTTCATCCATAATCCGAATTTGTGTCATATCATTTTGCAGATGGCTTCAGGGGAATGCAATGAAGACATGGAGGTTTACAACATAGCACTAAGCACCGCTGATGAGCTGACATTAATGGGACAAGCTGAGCTCCTCTATGCCAAGAGCTTCAAGGAAAAATCAAGACTCAACACTATTTTTAAGAAGATCGGGAAGCTTAACTCGATCAGTAAGATCGGTCGAAGCAAGATGCCCTGCTTGATTTGCATGAACCATCGCACAAACGAGAGCGTCAGCCTGCCCTTTCAGTGTAAAGGCCTCTTCAGCACCTGCAGTCCTCTGGAGCTTCAAATGCAGGACGGCGAGCACACCATCAGGAACATTGTGGAGAAAACCCGACTCCCAGTAAATGTTATAGTACCCAGCAGTCCGCCCCGCAACCAGTATGACCTCCACCTCATTCGGGAGGGCCATCGCTACAAACTGGTGAATATTCAGACGAAGACCGTGGTTGTGTGCTGCATCCTGCGAAGCGACAAAATCATCCCCATCCATTTTCCCCTTCACATGGCCACGCCAAGGTTTATTGTTCCAGAAGGACTGCTGCTAGGGGAGCTGTGGTCAGAGAGCATGGGGCAACGCTGGTTCTCCTTCTGCCAGGAACAGTTTGATATAGATGACTACTCTCGAGCCGTCCGAGACGTTCGAACCGACTGGAATGACGATGGCAAAAGTCCCAAGAAAAGCAGTGGTAATGGCAACTGTGGTGGGGGCAGCTCCAATGGCTGCCCCAGCCACATGCAGATCCCCAGCTCTTTAACATATGCACGTGACGAACTCACACAGTCTTTCCACCGACTATCAGTGTGTGTTTATGGCAGCAATCTCCATGGAAACAGTGAGGTCAACTTGCAGGGATGCACGATGGTATATGGAGATCAAGCTGTTCTCGGTTCGGATGGCAGTTATTCAGAATCAGGAGAGAACGATCTGTCGTACCCGCAGCTGCTGGGCAGCACAACCCAACAGCCCTACATGAACAAGCTGGATGTTTCCTATGAGGAGCTGTGGTTGGATAGCTCCAAAGAGCAGAAATCCTCCTCAATTGAAGGAACAAGAGGCCTCAACAATGGCTGCTCTACTACAGCTGCACTCTCTTACCAGGTCTCATGTCCTCTTGGTGCCATAACCAGCTTAGATGTGCCTCTCACACCTCCACCAGTCCCACCGAAGTCTGAAGCTGTGAGTATAACCCACCATACTTTTAAAGAGCTTTCAGTGGGATTCCTTCATGTTATTATTCATACAATAAAACCTCAATGATCTGCATATATCTGTAGAAGTGCTTTAGTTGGTTCTCCAGACCTGTTTATGTAGAAATTAGGTACAGCGTGGCCGTGACTTCTAGTGAGCAATTAAAGCAGCTTTATTAGGCTTTGCGATATCTAAAGGGACAGCGTGAAATGCCGAGTGTCATCTTCCTGTTGCTTATGTGCACCTTTTTGAAATGGGAGTGCTTCATGCATCATTTGATGCTTTCTTCATAAAGCACTAATGACGCTCCAGACAGGAAAAACGGGTTCATGTAAACCAAAATTAAAATAAAAGACTTGCAGTAAAAACACTTACAGGACATCTTTCATTATTTGATTTTGTATTCTGTTAGTAGAGCTAGAAGCACACTTGTTTCTTTAGTTTGTGTCTTCACCAGAGTCAAAAATGAAACTGCCAGCAAAGAACGTATTAAATAATTTAGCGTCTCACCTGCTGTTTTACTTTTTAACAATAACCTGAAACTAGTTGTTCTTTGTGGCTCCTCCATAGTAAGGTTTCAACATTAAAATGTGTCAGACGGAAGGTTAGTTTTGTAACTTTACGGCTCTGATCTGATGTAAAGAAGGATATTGTAAAACAGCTGGGTTGCATTAATGGCTTCATGTTTCCAGGACATTTCTGTTCACCCTTTGAGTGGAGAACTAGAGCTACGACCAAGAAAACGTGTACACCAGGGGTCGCAACCCACGGCTCTCTGCTTGTAAACTAATTCATGAATATTTAATTACAATGGTTTTTATTTTACTGCATTCATTTTTTATCTGTAGCCAATTCTAAATTTAAAGATTGTCTGCGTAAACCCGAACAGGTCACCTGTTTGTGCGTAAACCCGAACAGGTCACCTGTTTGTGTCTCTATAGGAGCTTTCTGAGCTGAAGAGGATATGAGATTCTGGACTGTTCCTCAGACAGGCTCTTGGATGTGTCGCAGTGTTGGAGACGGGATCAGGCGCTATTCAGCCAAAGATTCATAATCGGGGAACATTTTTTAAGTGACAAGTCTCTGAGAGACCGGGTTTAGAAAACACAGAATCTTCCTGCATGGTTCTGGTTCTGCGACGCGCTCCAAGCCCCCGATCCATCTTCAGCTCGCTGTCCACCTCACGCATGCGCTGACAGCGAGCTGCGCTGATCTCAGTGTCCATCTCAGATGTTCTGATGGGAGTCTTTTCCTGATTGATGTAGCTACTTCCACGATGTGCACAACGATTAAAATGTCGGCGCATCTGCAGGCTTGAGATTTCTCCGTCTAAATAAACAATTAAATACGGGAAACGTCGGGTCAGTGTGAATCCGGCCACTTAACTGTTTTACCTTCTTGTGAAGATTGTTGCAAACAGAAACATTAAACCTGATGAACTCCAGAGGCTTGCACACTGCGCCGTTATCTCCGTCAGTGCAAACCAGGGAAAAAACTTATTGATTGGATCCTTTTCAACAATGTTTAATGCAAAGTTTAGTTCAGTACAAAGGTTAATTACAACAGTCCAACGAGACAGAGCCTGGATTTGTATTCTGAACAGTTATGTGTGTACGCCTCAAAAAGCGTCACCTGCTCAACTATTAGAACCACTAGCAGGATGAAAAATATCGAAGCACAGACTGGCTGCAACTTTTGGATCAATTTTATACAAACTGTTTTATTAATTATCTTCTGTTGAAAGATAACTTTGAGGTACACGAGCGACTGGTGTTAGTTGCTGTCACCTGTTGTGATTGGTTAAAGCAGCTCTCTGCTGTCTGAGGGTAGGCCCCGCCCACAACGCCGCGGCTGCTGTGGCTCCCAGAGTTTTCTTTACTGTGGGAAACGGGTAATAATGGCTCTTTGATGGGAACAGGTTGCCGACCCCTGGCTGTACTACGCGAAGAACTGCTCACGCAGAGTCATCAGCTCTGTGTGACACTTTATGTGGCTCCTGACCTGACACTAGATGTTTGGTAAAATGTTAGATTGGCTGTGTCATTGTCAGATTGTTAACCCTTTAGGTGAAGGAGGAATGTCGTCTTCTCAACGCTGCTCCACCTGTTCCTCCTAGAAGTATGAAGCAGCTGCCATCTTTACCCATCCAGTTAAAGCCACGGCAGCAGGATGCACGCTCTCCAAGTCCAACCCTCTCGTATTATTCTTCTGGCCTCCATAACATGTAAGAATTCAAAGCATCTCCATGCACATTTTTGCTGAAATAGTTTCATATGAGATCATGTATCTGTTTTTCTCATTAGTAGCGGAGCAAGTGATCAAGACGGAGCTGAGATGGAGGAGCCTACCCATGTCTGCCACCCTTGTAACTGGAGTAAATCCAGCTCCACCGAACCCCGTGCTGCTTCACCCTGCTCCATCCTGCTGCCAGGTGGCATCTCCCCACGCTTGTCTTGGCCGAATAACTTCAGCGGAGGAGACTCGAGCTGCACGGAGGAATTTCTGCCTTCAGGTTGTCGGAGTTACTACAGTTACCCCAGAAAAAGGTCCCCCAGTACCACCAAAACCTGCACACCCAGCCTTGTTGACGCCGATGGCCGGGAGCACGCCCACTGCACCAAGGAGTTCAGCTCGCAGAGAGCCTCCTTGAACCAGATCTGTACCAAATCTTCTAGTTACAATTCAGAAATGTACAGAGACAAGCCGATAGAAGAGTCTGACGCTAAGCAGAGCATCTCCTGTCCTATCCTCCCACCAAGAACACTCAAATCCGACTCTATAAAGAAGTTATTGGATTCACCTGTGAGTGACACCTTTCAGGAAATGCTAAACTCTTCACCTGTTCAACACAACTCCTCTCCTACAGAGTGGCAGCCACCGCTCAACTTGACTGGTGTTTCTATCGAAGAGGTGTCCAGATGTCTGAAGTTCATCGGCCTGCCGGATGACATCGTTTCTCTGTTTGTGTCTGAGAAGATCGACGGGAATCTATTTCTGCAGCTCACCGAGGAGATTTTGTCCGAGGACTTCAAACTAAGCAAACTACAAGTGAAGAAACTCCTGCAGTTCATAAACGGATGGAGACCCAAGATATAAAAGTATAAAACACTAAATCATGTTAAGAAGCTACGAACAGCATGCCCTCAGTATATCTGCTATGCACATCCACACACAAAGAAGCTTTTTGGAGTCTAATATGAACTTTCTTCTGCGTTAATGAAATGTGGAGAAGATGCTGTGCTTGAGTAATCGCCCACTTAAAGGTGTGGAACACTGAAAAAACACTTTTTATTGGTTATTTCTGAAAACCAGTCACTCTAGAGTGTTCATGCAGGCTGAACATGAAAATAGTCTCCTACACCTATCTCCTGCATTAGCTTCTGATAGACGGTGAAACTCTAGGATTAGAAAATCCTGACAGATCTACGTCACACAGTCACTTAACATTCATGGACTCACCCATCTCGACTCATGACGGGGAAGGCTGTTGTTTAACATCCAGGAACCAGTAGAGAACGTCTCGGCTATTATGAGCTAACTGTTAGCATTAGCAGCTTCACCACACAGCAGAACTCCTTCAGGCTTGAGTTATTTGTGGAGATGAAACAAAATGTATTGATCCAACGAGTGTCCCACACTTTTAAATGAACAAACATTTGACACAGTTTTAGTTTAAACCACAGAAAATTAAGGCTTATGTTATTTTACCAAACTGAATTCAGCAAAACAAATCTGAAACTTAAAGGAGGTGAGTATACAGGCACAGTCTACATTCAAGGGGAATTTCACAAAGTTGAGTTAAAATCATTTTTGCAACGTTTAATACACAAAAAGCTATTTAAACAGGTTAGATGTGATAATCAATAATGGTATTTTTCATTGTAAAAGGTTTCAAATGACAAGCTCACATCCACAAAATGCTAATCTATGGCTCCATGATGGTTTTTGTGTGTGTGTGTGGTTTTTGTTTCTAAAGGTCAGGGATGCAACGTTACTGTTTAAATCTATAACATGAATTTAATCGGTTTAATTCACTGCTGCTGCTAACAAATTGTCTGTTTTTTCTGTGCTGCAGAACAGTCAGAAATGAGAGGAGCTGTGGCAGTTAAATATATCAAAAAAGAGCTTAAAGAAGCTATTTTTAAGAACGCATGTGTGTAAAAATGATAAATGGTACTATCCTATCGGCTGCTGACAGCTTCCTGAGCAACAGAGAAACTGGGTTTCAGTCCTGCTAGACTGATAAGCTGAAAGCTAGCTCTAAAACTTGTTGCTGTGTTCTTAAAACTATCTTTTAAACATTTTCTAAAGTTTCGCAGCAGTTCATCTAGTGTTTCATAAACCTTTAAAGTTGTTTTTCTGGGCAGAAATATGAAGAAAGTGATAATTACGCTTAAATATAGCCAGTAAAATCCACGTAAAGAACAATTTAATGCAGAACCGACAGTTGAAAAGGTTTATAAGATAACATTTGTGTGGACTGCTGTGAAGTTATATAGATTTGAGCTGTTTTAGGACAGCACCAAAACTTGTCGATCTCTGCTTTGCTCAGGCTAGCAGTTAGCTCATCAATCTGCTCGGATGTGAACCGTTTCTCCAAACAGAGGCCGTTCAGGAAGCTCTCTGCACAAGATGAGGTCACGTTTACACAGAAACACACTTCAGGAGGGCCAAATGTCCGTTTAAAAAGAAAAAGCAAAATGAACAAAACATTTTATCTGATGGCTTTCCAATCTTTGTTTTTGAGAACTCATGAAACCTTCAGCTGAATCCAATGACTACATTTTCTCTTAGCTGCAACAAGATTAACGCAGAAAACTCGTTATGCAAGGTCTGGTTTGTGTTTGACGCCTTTTTTGACATGATGAATTCTACCTGCTTTAACTTTAGATCTCAGACAAAACAGGCCTAAAAAGTTCTGCCCCGACTCTGACGCTAACCGGTGAAACAGACCGCAGTGCCCTTCATAAAATACAGTTTATGCATCATGCACTTTGGCAGATTATAGAAAAATAACTGCAGTTGTGGCGGCTAAATATAACCCTGTTAAAGTGTCCGTCACAAGTAAATGCACTACTTTTTTTTCTTTTAATTGCAATGGTACTTCTGTTTTTGTGAGATCGTATTACAAGTGTCCTCTAATGCAAGGCATTTCTCTGCGCCTTAACCCAAAGCCCTTAAGATGTTTTACTTTATCTAAACTTTAAAAGAGTCAGCCAGTTTGACGATGTCAGACATCGATACACACACTGAAGAGGCACTGAAGCTAAAACTCGGTGGTTTGTTGTTTAAAGTGCCATTTTGTAACGATTTTCTGTTGATGTGATTCAGAATTGACCCGTTTCTGTTTTAAGATGCAGAGCCGAGCTTCACTCTCAGCGTCTGTAACTGGTATCTGGACTGTTTGGTCCCTTATCTCCTCTATAAGAACACTTACTGCCATGGGTTGTTACACTTTTACTTGATACTTTTATTCTTTATGTAAATAATTTTTAATGGAAAATTACTACTAATGTTGAGAATATTTTTTATGGAGAAAAAGGTTCAAATATCTGTTTTTTTACTCCTAAATGTGGAGTTTCTCGGTCACATGACGTATAATAAAACATAGCTTCAGCTGTACTGACTGCAGATTTCCACCAAGTTTGTTCATAATATCCATGTTTTTATTGTGCGGTGGCCTTTGTGTGTTCAAATTATTTCATGGCAGAAAATGTTTTATGCAATAACCATGGCAACTGCAAAAAGACCATGTGAGGAACAACAAATTAATGGAGAGTATTATGCTAAAGCAGTCACAGTGTTGATTTGTGAATGTGAGAGGATCCTCTAGCAGCTCTAAGATCTGAACAAGCGTTTCTAACAACCCACCGACACAGAAGGATGCGGTGTGTTGGTGCTGGCTCTGGACTGAGGTTTGCTTTAATTATGGTCCTTTGTGTCCAAAAACAACAAAAACGGATTGAAGACTGTGCTGCTGCATTAAGCAGCATTACTGATAATGTGTTATGAAGTTATTGTTCAGTTAAACTGTTGTTTCCCTATTTTTGACGATGTAATCTATTAAAAAATGGATTAACTACTTGGTTTCTTCAGTTTACATCAACATAATCGGCTATAAAGATTGAGGTATCACTGGTGTTTCAGTAAGTGAGAAACATGGCAGAAAACATCAAACAGCTGAAGGTTCTGGTTTCTTTAAACCAGGTGTGGCCCAGGGGCCATTTGCGGACCTCACTAGCGTTTTTTGGAATTAAGTCTCCTGGAGGCTGTTGATGTAGATTCATATATTTTATGTTCAAATTTTTACTAATATGTCTATTTCAGGCCATTTTTCAGCAGAACAAATGAAAAATATAAAATGATGTTTGCATTCTTTAAAATGTGTTTTTGTGGCCCGTGAGGAGTTTTTACTTCATGATTTTGGCCCTCGATCATCTTGAAAAGTTTGGACGTCCCTGCCTTCAACAAATAAAATTATCTGGATATTTCTGATAAAACAGGAAACAAATGATATTTCTCATTTAAACATGCTTTCATGTCTTGTTCCACAGTTTTTATTTTATTTTACATGTTTTCGCTTCATATTTCAAACAGCTAATGGGGGCATTTGACACATTTCACTCGCTATTTTAAAACCTCAGTAATGACATCCCTCCTTGAATCGTCACCTTATCGTGGTGGAGGAGTTTGAGCTAGGTTGTCTGGGGAACTTTGTGCCCCTGGTAGGGTCTCCCATGACAAATTGGTCTTAGGTGAAGGGTGAGACAAAGAACAGTTCACAGGATCTTTCATGGACGTAAATTCAAAGAGTCGGAGTACCCGGCCCGGAGGGTTACCGGGGTCCCACCCTGGAGCCAGGCCTGGGGTTGGGGCCCGTGAGCGAGCGCCTGGTGGCCGGGCTTTCGCCCATGGGGCCCGGCCGGGCCCAGCCCGAACCGGATACATGGGCTCATCCAACTGTGGACCCACCACCGCAGGAGGAACATGGAGGGTCCGGTGCAGTGTGGATCGGGTGGCATACCAAGGCAGGAGCCTTGGCGGTCTGATCCCCGGACAAGAAAACTGGTTTTTGGGACATGGAACGTCACCTCGCTGGCGGGGAAGGAGCAGGAGCTTGTGACAGAGGTTGAGCGGTGCCGGCTAGATATAGTCGCACTCACCTCGACACATAGCATTGACTCTGGAACCCAAGTCCTTGAGAGGGGTTGGACACTCTCCTTTGCTGGAGTTGCTCCGGGTGAGAGGCGGAGGGCTGGGGTTGGCTTTTTGTTAGCCCCAAGACTCTCTGCCTGTGTGTTGGGGTTTACCCCGGGGGACGAGAGGGTAGCTTCTCTGTGCCTTCGGGTCGGGGAACGGGTCCTGACTGTTGTTTGTGCTTATGGGCCAAATATCAGATCAGAATACCCACCCTTTTTGGAGTCCCTGGGACAAGTGCTAGATAGTGCTCCATCAGGGGACTCCATTGTCCTGCTGGGGGACTTCAATGCTCACGTGGGCAATGACAGCATGATCTGGAGGGGTGTGGTTGGGAGGAACGGCCCGCCTGATCTGAACTCAAGTGGTGTGTCATTATTGGACTTCTGTGCAAGCCGCAGTTTGGCCATAACGAACACCATGTTCGAACATGAGGATGCCCATCGGTACACTTGGTACCAGGGCAGCCTAGGTCGCAGGTCGATGATAGACTTTGTAGTTGTATCATCTGACCTGCGGCCGTATGTTTTGGACACCCGAGTGAAGAGAGGAGCGGAGCTGTCTACTGATCACCACCTGGTGGTGAGTTGGATCAGATGGCAGGGGAAGATGCCGCGTAGACCTGGCAGACCCAAACGCATAGTGAGGGTCTGCTGGGAACGCCTGGCAGAAGAACCTGTTAAGACGGTCTTCAACTCCCACCTCCGGCATAGCTTTGACCGCATCCCGAGAGCAGTGGGGGACATTGACTCCGAGTGGGCCTTGTTCCACTCTACGGTTGTTGAGGTGGCTGTTGCTAGCTGTGGTCGCAAGGTGGCCGGTGCCAGTCGTGGTGGCAACCCCCGTATCCGCTGGTGGACACCAGAGGTTCGGGGAGCTGTCGGGCTGAAGAAGGAGGCCTACAGGGCATGGCTGGTCTGTGGGTCTCAGCAGACAGGTACCGGATAGCCAAGCGGGGTGCAACAGTGGCAGTTGCCGAGGCAAAATCTCGGGTGTGGGAGGAGTTTGGTGAGGCCATGGAGAAAGACTATCGATCGGCTCCAAAGAGGTTCTGGCAAACTGTCCGGCGCCTCAGGAGAGAAAGGCAGCAACTCGCTCACTCTGTTTACAGTGGGGATGGGGAGCTGCTGACGTCAACTGGGGCTATAGTCGGACGGTGGAAGGAATACTTTGAGGAGCTCCTCAATCCCACCTATGCACATTCCGAGGAGGAACCAGAGCTGGGAGACCTGGGGATGGACTGTCCAATCTCGGGGGCAGAAGTTGCTGATGTAGTCAAACAACTGCACAGCGGCGGAGCCCCGGGAGCGGATGAGATTCATCCTGGGTATCTCAAGGCTATGGATGTTGTAGGGCTGTCATGGTTAACACGTCTCTGCAACATTGCGTGGTCATCGGGGGCAGTTCCTGTGGAGTGGCAGACCGGCGTGGTGGTCCCCATCTTTAAGAAGGGTGACCTGAGGGTGTGTTCCAACTATAGGGGGATCACACTCCTCAGCCTCCCTGGAAAGGTCTCCTCCAAGGTACTGGAGAGGAGGGTCCGATCGATAGTTGAATCTCAAATTGAGGAGGAGCAATGTGGTTTTCGTCCTGGCCGTGGAACTGTGGACCAGCTCTATACCCTTGCAAGGGTGATAAAGGGGGCACGGGAGTTTTCCCAACTAATCCACATGTGTTTTGTGGATTTGGAGAAGGCTTATGACCGTGTCCCCAGGGGAACCCTGTGGGGGACGCTCCAGGAGTATGGGGTGGGTGGCTTTCTGTTAAGGGCCATTCAGTCCCTTTACCAGAGGAGCGTGAGTTTGGTCCGCATAGCCGGTGTGAGTCGGACCTGTTCCCAGTGAGGGTTGGACTCCGCCAGGGCTGCCCTTTGTCACCGGTTCTGTTCATAACCTTTATGGACAGAATTTCTAGGCGCAGCCTTGGTGTGGAGTGTGTCGAGTTTGGTGGCAGGAGAATCTCGTCTCTGCGTTTTGCGGATGATGTGGTCCTCCTAGCTTCATCCAGCTCTGACCATCAGCTCTTGCTGGGTAGGTTCGCGGCCGAGTGTGAAGCGGCTGGGATGAGGATCAGCACCTCCAAATCTGAGACCATGGTTCTCGACCGGAAAAGGGTGGCTTGCCAACCCCTGGTCGCGGGAGAGGTCCTACCTCAAGTGGAGGAGTTTAAGTATCTCGGGGTCTTGTTCACGAGTGAGGGTAGGAGGGATCGGGAGATTGACAGGCGGATTGGTTCAACATCTACAGTGATGCGGACGCTGAGCCGATCTGTCGTGGTGAAGAGGGAGCAGAGCCAGAAAGCCAGGCTCTCGATTTACCGGACGATCTACGTCCCAATCCTCACCTATGGTCATGAGCTTTGGGTAATGACCGAAAGAATGAGATCGCGGATACAAGCGGCCGAAATGAGTTTCCTCCGTAGGGTGGCCGGGCTCAGCCTTAGAGATAGGGTGAAGAGTTCGGACATTCGGGAGGGACTCGGAGTACAACCGCTGCTCCTCCGGATCGAAAGGAGCCAGTTGAGGTGGTTTGGGCATCTGGTGAGGATGGACACCGCCCCGGGGAGGTGTTTCGGGCATGTCCTGCCGGCAGGAGGCCCCTGAGTCGACCCAGGACACGATGGGAGAGGTTACATCTCCAATCTGGTCCGGGAGCGCCTTGGGGTCCTGCCGGAGGAGCTGGTGGAGAAGGCCGGGGAGAGGACGGTCTGGAGCTCCTTAGTTGGGATGCTGCCCCCGCGACCCTGACCCGGATAAGCGGAGGAAGACGATGTAATGACATTTTAAAGTTTGCATATTTAGAGATGTTTTATAAACGAGTTGTGTAACACTTTCCCAACTTTTTACTTTGACCTTAAAAACACAACTACATGTGTGTTTTTGTTTAGTTCATAAAAGATTATTTAGAAACATTTATCCTTGAAAACGAAACGCCCCGCAGGGTGAGTCATTTTTCCAGTAAAACGTTGGTATTAATGTAATTTCACTGCTAAATTCTCTGCAGGACCCGTTTTAAAAGTTACAAATTAAATTACAAATAACAGAAAAGAAAATCCTAAACATGTCTCAAGTTGGTTTTCTGGTTCAGATCGGACTCGAACAAGGGCTCATGTGAGGTTTTTCTGATTCCTGTTTTACACAATGAAGAAACCAACCAGAGTTGAGTCATAATGCAATTAAACCACAAGTTCTGCTTTTAAATCTCTTAAGGTAAAAAAATTAAAAATAACACAGACTGATTCATCTTTGAATAGTCTTGATTAAACCTTTTATCATGTTATTGTCCTGAAAAACAGACTTTTGTTTAAATGTACAACAACAGTGTTCTTTTTATTTAGATAATTACGTAAACCTTATTTTTCTGATCAGTATCAAGTAAATCCATAATCACGAGGACAAACATTTTTTCAGTTGTTTTGCGTTCCATGTTTTGGATTTGAGGATCATGAAGCACTCTGGTCCAACCACTGCTTCTACACAGCTGTGGGTTTACATGGATGTGATTAGTTAAAGTCCCTTTCACTGGCTGGATCACAAATCCTATCATTTATTCTCTGTAGCCAGTCACACAGATCTTCTCTCCCTAACCCCTCTTAAACATTTGTCGGGTTTTACCCTGAGCATCGAGATGCTTCATCAGGGTTAACGTGATTCAGAAAATCAGCTGGAAGGATTCTGTTGGCATCCTCTTTAGAGGTTCTTTTTGACTCTTCAGCAGGATAGTTTCTGACAGCAGACTCACTAAAATATTCTTACAGATTCTAATTTTATGCTGTTTTTTTAAGTCCATGAAAAATCTCACCGGATGCAGAGTTAGTGATGATCCATTTAATTCCTGATCCTTAGTGATATAACAGTCATTTTCAGTGATAATGCAATTCCATCAGTGAGAATCATTTTTCACAATAAAAAAAACACCAAGCGCCATTTTAGAATCACCAAACCTTACAAACAAGCTTTAAAATCAGCTTCTTCACATGTTCCAGACACAACATTTTCCTTCTGACCATCACAACTGAACCACCACGAAGATTCACATCCATGATTCCCAGCCTGCATAAACTCGGCCGAGCACGTTTGGGTCCATGGCTTGGTCGAGCAGACAGTCTACCTGCTTCTCCACAGACAGACCTGCAGCTGGAAGCCTCGCTCGAATGTTGTGCTCTTCAGTCCCCAGAGCCACAGACTGCATTCCTGGGAAAGCTGCATCCTTTTCAAAGCCCAGCTTCAGCTCCTCACTGAGGAACAAGAATTTAATTTAATTTAATTAGTGATGACGAAGAAACAAGACAAAGTAGCTTTGTTCTGTCACATAAACAGATGGTCTGATTTTAGATGGAAGTTCTGTAAACTTCCTGTTTCCTCTGACTACAGAAACAGAGAGTTTGAGTTTAAGTGAAAATGTTCTAGATGTAAATGAATTATCATCCTGAGATGTTCCTGGTCAAGCAGATGTGAGGTACCTGGTGATCACAGCTGGATTTGCTCCTTCTAGTTTCCTTCTGGCAAAGTTCACCTTCTGCAGAGGGTACCAGTTGATTTCTTTGGTGTTCACGCTCTCCGTCCAGGTTCCTCCTTTCTTCAGTTGCTTCAGCTCAAAGTTCTGTGGGGGAATTGTGATGTGTATTTATTACTGTAAAGGCAAAATGGACTCCAGTAGTTGGTTAAAGATTGGTCACCTTCCAGTCCAGCGAGGGCTCCTTGACAAACACATCCATGGTGTTCAGCAGAAGGTCTGGTTCGGCTCTGTAGGCTCGTAGGGAGTGGACCATGATGCTTTGGACCAAACCGGACTCCTTTAAGGGTTGCATTAGATTCACAAACTGCTGGGTGAGCCGGAAGGGCATGAGCTCGGGCACGACGAGAAACTGGAAGGAAATACGAAAAAAATAATCATAATAATCTAATTGACTGATGTGAAAACTCTACAAAAGAACTATTTTTAGAGATGCTACCTGTGTGGCCGAACCAAACGCATGACCAAAGTCGATGCCAATCATGCCTCCTGTTTCCATATTGATCATGAAGTTAGAAAGATGGCGGTCCCCGATACCCAGAATCCAGTGGCTCACACACAGCAAAGCGTGCGAGCTGATGAAGTGAGAGCGCAGGGACAGAAACGCCTCAGGACTGTTGCACATCTTCAGAAAAGCTCTCCTACAATTAGAAACGAAGGAAAGGCTTATATCCAGGTGATGATCTTAATTATTGATCGTACATAACAGGTTTTGATCTTACTTCAGCAGATCACTCGGGACACACTGCAACATTTTCAGAAAGTTGTTTACCACTTCGGTGCGTTTGGCTTTCCTGATACAGAAACATAAAAAAAAACTTGTTTATAAACAGCTGCAGCAGGAAATGTCCAACATGGCCTAAACTCTAACTCATTGCTGCTCACACAGGACTCAGCCAACCTACCTGTAAGTCACTCCATAAAGTAAAATATCATTTCCGGGGTTTGACTTTGAACCAAAGGTTAGAAGCCATTTTTTGTAGATATCATGGCACCTGAAAGAAAAACAAGCTGAAGCACATCAATAGTCCAAGACTTGTTGAAGTAATGAATATAGATAGACACTGCATGATTACTAGGGGTGTGTTTAGGCAAGAATCTGGTGATGCAATCAATATCTCAATAGATGAAAGACGATTTTGTGAAACTAAAAGCAATATGATATTTGCAATTACTGAATTTAAATAGAAAACTCCAGATGTTTTCTAGACACATCCTGTGTTATCGTGAGATATTGTTGGTTCCTCAGGATGAAAGCAGTAAAAACTGCTGCCACCTAGCAGTCGGGGCTTGAATTGCACCACACAAAAGAAATTTATGGCACTAAAGCCGGGCGTACACTGTGCGACTTTTTCACTCGTAGCATTCAGCTTCAGCTCAAACTGTACGACTTCCTCGCAGGGCACATCTCACGAGTCATGTGCTCACACTGTACGACCCAGTTCTCGGATGCCACCTGACTGCTCACACTGTACGTCTGGTAGCAACACGTCGGCCCTAAAAATATGCTAAAAATAGCAGTTTTTACACAACACGTCAGACTTTTTTGTCTTGTTTCACCTGTTGTGCTTCAGGAGTGCTGCAGGAGGACACACAGGGATTTATGGGGGTTGGATGAGGAAAACGAAATAAAGAAAGTAAATCTGTGTTTTGTGATCAGTTTAATTTGACACGAACACGACAAACACGCTTTCTTGACAATCTTTGTGAGTAAAAAAACGTGTAGAAATAAAAACGAACAACATGTGTTATTAGGGAAATAGCGGGCGAGCCGTGTTGATGCAGGAATTCTCATGCACCGTGAGCGGTTCTGATACTTTTTGGGTCGCAGCTGCTCGCAGCGCCGATACCCTCATGAGGGACGAGCAAAATATTAAACACGCCAGAAATTTGTGCGAGCTCATGATTGCTGATCGGTAGCTGGTCACGTGGTGTTAATCGCCTCTCGTAACCCCCTGTACACTACAAGACCGCTCGGCGCAAAACTCACCCCGATCTCGTGGATTCTCACACGAGTGGAAAATCGGCTCAAAAAAGTGAAAAAGTCGCACAGTGTACGCCCGGCTTTACACACTAGCATCGGCTCCACTCTGCCTGGACCGGGTTAGGAGTGTTCTCATTTGCCTTGCATTTTCCGGCGCGCAACTGGACGTCTTTTCAGCCCTCTTGCCGAGGCAGTCTGCCTGGAGCTGAACTGGTCCAACACGCCCACTGCTGGCTGATTAGCCGGCTCAAAATCATGCCTACTGTTAGGGAGAGCCTCTGATTGGCAGATAGAATCAGCAATATCGGAGTCAGAGGGTCGCCAAAGGCAAGACGGCTCAGGCTGCTTTTGTTTATTAATGGAAACACAGCGGAATTCTCCGCGCTCTTTTGCTCCTCCCACGTGCTCGGAGATGTGCTCATGACATCACTCATATGCATTTATCATGCCAATTTTGGACATCGCCCATGTGTTCAATCTCATCTGCATTCCTAAGGCAGTGTGGAATGACAGCGGCCAGAGGAGTGGAGCCAATGCTAGGTGTAAGTGGCATTAGTAAATGTTTGCACGTAGGTTCTCAATAAAAAACAGATACTCTGCTTTTAAATATCGATTCAGTTTCATAAGGCGAAATATCGCAATATTTCAGTGCATTGATATTTTCTTAGATGCTAATCCTTATCATACCTCAATGAGTTTTGCTGCTCTTGCTCAGTCATTGTGTTGCAGAGGAACTCTTTCAAAGTGCACGTGTTCTCCATCCATTCAATCAGACCAATTCTAGAAAAAAAAACACATTTACAGATGTTTTATAATGTTTTACCTTACATTAACTGGTTAGCTGAGTCAAGTACCGGGTGTTTAAGGGAACGACTTGGTAGGTGCGGAGCTGCAGTCCTCGGTTTGTGCAGGACGTGTCATGACTCAACAGAATGTTCATGACAGCAAAAAGCTGCTCGATGCGTTGGTCCTGACGGAGATCCTCCCCGCCCTTCACCAGGAAGGGGTGGTCCCGCTCGTCGTCACCACGAATGATAAGACGTTTGGGCCGGCGGATGGAAGACATCACCTTCACCTGAAAAAAGAGAAACAACAGCACGCTCACGCCCAGCTTAACAGGATTATACATGACATGTCTGTCTAAAAGCCTACCCGCTCATCAAAGCCAGCTATCTTTGCATGATACTCCGGTAATGGTTTAGCTCTGCCGTCATACTGTCCTAAAACAAAAGTAAACAGCATGTTTTCACTGTTAAAACATCAAACATACACGAATGGCAGGTCATATTAAACCACGCAGCAACTGGACATAAAACAGTTAAAGAGTTCATTATTTTATGGGATAAGATTTGTGCCAAAAGGATCAACCTAAAAAAAAAAACAGTCTTGCACAAAATATAACTGAATAAAGCAACCAGAGAGAACAGTTCAGGGGCAAAAGTGTGAATTTCAAAAGCAAAAACCTCCCTCTAAAAACAAAAATGTACTATATAATTGTTTGTATTCACACATGTGTAGCAGTTATCAACTGCTGAGGGACTAAAGATGTTGTGTCCTTGGGCAAGACACTTAACCCACGTTGCCTGCTGGTGGTGGTCGGAGGGACCGGTGGCGCTTGTACTCGGCAGCCTCGCCTCTGTCAGCGCGCCCCAGGGCAGCTGTGGCTACATCGTAGCTCATCACCATCAGTGTGTGAATGTGTGTGTGAATGGATGAATGATACACTGTAGTGTAAAGCGCTTTGGAGTCCTTACTCTAAGAGGCGTTATACAAGTGCGGGTCATTTATCATTAAAGATGGAAATTAGCCTTGGCTATAATCTTGCATGTTTACATATGTATAACTATATATATGTCCATTAATATGTACTGTCCCTTTACAAATAAACTTCATCTAATCTAATCTAATTCACAAGTGCATATTTTCATTCAGTGTAGCCAACTGTTTTCGACTGAAAGTAGCTGAAGTTCCCCCCAAAAGTCGCCAGATGACGTCACGTGCTAATTTGCATACGACGCAATGACGCAATCTGGTTTGCGTGATGACATCACCACATTTGCGTCATGACGTCACCGGTCTTGTAGAGTAAATCAAATAAAACCTGTGTGATTTTATTTAAAAAATTATTTAATTTATTTTTTATATTTTATTAAAATAAAAACTCCATAGAATACAAAACAGCAGCCTTTAAAACGTCAAGATGGCACAAAAAATGGAAGAATATTTCTATTTTGTCTGAAGAGAATGGAACTCGTAAACACAAAAATATTAAATTGATAGGAATGTATGTATGATTGAATTTAAATGAATTTTCTCTTGTAGTTTTCAAGTGCCTTGAGATGTATTCTTCTGTTGTGATTCAGTGCTATATATTGACCTGCCTTACAGTATTATTCTGTTTTTTATAAAAGTTTTAAATGTGCTAGGTTATTGAACTCATCATAGAGTTCCAATGTTCCTTGAATGCACCACAAGTGGTGCGAGAAGCCATGTGTGAGTGCGACGCTGCCTGCCAGTGCCAGCCGAGCTCAGCTGCCGAAATGCAGCAGGATGGCGGAAGGAGTGGTCGCCCTTCATGTAGCTCCGGTGGCTATCTCAAATAATGGACTTGTGAAAACCCACAAAAGGTTCGATTGGTCAATGGGGGTAGCGTGATCATGCTGCACGCACATGCACAGATTATTTTCTTTCTGATCCTCTGGAAGGAAGGACGGTCCTGTCGCTTCAGATGCATCTCTGATCTGCAGGTAAAGTCTGCTACAAAGTTGTAGTCAAAGTGGCTGAGGGGGGTCAGAAATGTCGCCAGATTTGTCGCTAGGCGCTTTTTTGAAAAAAAAAAAGTTGTTAAGGGGGTCTGAAAAGTCGTTAGAAATGTAGTCCTGTTTGTCATTTCTTATGTATGATTCTTTTTTTTTTATGCGTTGTTTTTTATGTTGTATTGTGCTTTTACTTGACTACTTATATTTTGAAATGTTTTTATATAACTATGTTCAGCACTTTGGGCAACATAGTTGCATTTAAATGTGCCATACAAATAAACGTGATTTGATTTGATCATACAGTGCCTGACGAGACTCTGACAGCTTCCACTGTTCTGGTGCTCAAAGATAAACAGTCACAGTCTCTTGCGAACGCAACATCCATAAACGCAACACCTCTAAAAACAGCTTCAATAACAGTAAAATGTTCAATAAAACAAACCGAGCCAAAACGTGACAGTAGAAAGGCCCTAATTTGTGACAAATAACGTATTAAAGCTTTGATATCTGAGCATGCTGCCATCAACAGAGGTATTCAGTGATGAACCTTAAAGGGCCACATATGACACTTCCACACAAGCATCAGCTCAATTTTTTTTTGAGACTTTCTAGGTTCTCACTTAATTTTGCATTATTCAGACTGAAGTCCCAGTGGAATTTTGTGTATGGTACACCACGTCAGCCATGAGATCAAAGGACAGATGATCCCGTTCCACTGAAACCTTTTCAAAAGCAAAGCCCAGAATGAAATCGAGGGACAGCAATACATGCCCTTCAGAATAAAAGTCTAAATGGTCGGAGTTGTGCAGAATTAGGTGAGAACCAAAAAGTATGTCAAAGGAATAAAATATTAAAAGTAAAAATAAACATCTTGTTTTGCAATGTAAATATTTACTTATTAATTTGTTCATTTTGTTTTTAGAAATAATTTTGGAATTCATACTTTTGCTTCTGAACTGTTCTTTTTGGTCGCTTTATTAGGGTAAAATTAGTGTGGGACTGTATTTTTTGGTTGATCCTTTTGGCACAAATCTTACCCCATAGGATTTTGTAACATCTGGGTTTCAGCTGACTGACCTGGGATCTCCAGCACATTACTGAACAGGTCAGGTTTAAATCCACTCAGCCAGGGCGAGTACTCTTTCAGGTTTCCCGGCTCCTCCATAAATCCACGCATGGATTTGGCCAGGTCGTCCACCTGCTGCAGAAAGCTTTTGTCTTTCCTCTTCTCAAACATTGTGCTTCCATCTGGTCCTAGGAGTTTCTCCACTGCTTTGGAGAATTTCTGTAAAGAATAAAGAATTTAAAAGGTCCAGTGTGAACTGATGCATCGTTTCTACAAATTATAATGCTGCTTTTAGACCAGGGACAAAGTGAGCTAGCGTCTGGAAAAATGTACAAAGACACTCTCAAAAATTTTTATTTTTCCATTTGTGAGGTAAATTATAAGAGTTTTTGTGAACTATGTAAAGAACAAACCTGAATAAATTCCTTGCGGAACACCCCACAGCCTTCAGCGCTGCGATTCCCGAGTAAAGAGCGCATCTCTTCATACATGCCACACATCTGCTTCCTGTCAAAGGTCGGCTTTTCCATTTCATTCTTCACGCCATCAATCCAGTCCTGTGAGAGATGAACTGTCAACATCAGGTCAAAAACACATTCATTCATTCATTCATCAAGCTGCGTTCAATACCCTAAAAATCATATCAGGGTTAGTGAGCTGCTGCAGGGCCTCCACAAACTTCTTCACAGCTCCTCCTTTGTCCAGCAGGCTCTTGAGTCTGTTCACAAACAACATTTAAAAACAAGAAAAGAAACTCTGAGGAACGGCACATTTTAACTTAAAAGTAAAAATCAAAGACAGCTCACCTGTTAACAAATTCCTGCTGCCCATGACCCGTGGCTGAGTCCTCAAAGCGGTAACTCTCCGTGCTGATCATGAGAGCGTAAACCAGCGCCTGAGGGTAGCTCTCAGCTATCTGACTGATGCAGCGCTGCACCGCCACAGCTTCTGGTTTGTCCAGCAGAGCCACCATCTGACTGATCCAGCCAATCAGAATCCAACAGGGAACCGAGACCATCTGATTATAAACACAGAGAGGAGTCACAGGTATGTTTTAGGGCACTGCAACAACTCCTAATGTGTGAATGCTACAGTTATTAGTGAGCACATGCAGATTCCCTTCAATATAATAAATGTCTATGAACCAGGGCTGCACGAAGTTAGGAAAATCTGCGATGCACGATATGACTTGCAACAAAAAAAATCAACAACAATGCAAAACACATGTTTTTTAAAATGACTACAAAATATCATCAAAAATGGGAAAAGCAAAAATTGTGATCAAAAGATACGAGGAAAGGGAAAAAGAAAATGAACATGAAAAGACCATCAGTGGATCCTGGGAAAAGCAGAAAGTGCAGAAGGAAGCTAACTCAGGTGTTTGCTAGCCAAACACATTAAGCTCTGCCCACCGAGGGGGCGGGCATCTAACCTATAAGAACCCACCCGATACGCTAAATGGGTGACGAACTCTATTTGATTTGTCAAAACCTTCATGCTTCCGTTTGACAAGACGCATCATGTGCAGAAAACATCCGAGCTGACCTTTCATGCGTATTGTGCATGCCGATACAGCGACGACAGTACATTTTCGACGTATTGTGCAGGGACCATGAACCAAAGAACTAATCACTAAAGCAGAGCAGGAGGAGGTAAACGAACCTCTTTGGTCATGAGGTCGAGGGTCTCGGATGGATAAAGCTCAATGATCTGGAGGAGACGCGGGAATTTAAGGCGAGCCTCCTCTGAGTTCATCTTCAGGGCCTTTAGCATGCTCTCCACCACATGAACAGGAAGCGCCAGAAGGTCTGGAAAACAGCTTTCTGTAATCAAACGCATACATGATTAAAGGTCTAGCATTGCTTCAGGGAATACATCATCTCATGTAGAGGAATGATGAATGGACGGATTTTTAGGTACACTAAAAATCCTGAAATCTGCACCGTTGAAAAGGTCCTCTGAATAGAGAAAAGGCATATTCTGTATTTTTAGACTGTAGGTCTGAGTACTCGTTTATTCAAACCGTTAAAACATGGTGATAAAGTCCGTCCACAACTAGAGCATCTTCCTCAGAATGAAAAACCTGCAACTTCATAATTAAGAATGAAAATTAATTGAATTAAAAACAAGCGAGTAAAAAAAAAAAAAACACAAAAAAAAAAATACACATAAAATCAAAATCGGAGTCAGCATATTGGTTATAGAACCTGATCGGAAATCTTGCTGACCAGAGTCGTTCTGCTCCTCTGCTCGCAGCAGCTTGTCGCAGAAGTTTGCTAACGTCATGAACGTCTCTACGATGCTGCCCGTCTCCACAAAGTTCCGATCATAGGACTGAAGCTCCTCATCAGCCTTCCTGGATGCTTCCTGAAGAAACTTCAGCGCACGCAGCTGCAATCCGACTTCTACTTCCTGGAGGGAAAAGAAAATCAACAAAGGGAAGGTCACGTCCAACCCTCTGCCTAAAAGATGTTTAAACGATTTTCTAGTTTCTTTTTGCTGTTAAATATTTTGAGCACCTTTGGATTGTCACTGGACCAAACAGCTCCCGAGAGCCGGACAACTCTCTCCATTTTATCAGGATCAACAGTTCCCAGGACTGACGGACTTCTGCCCACGGCTGTAGCCAGGATGCTCAATGACGTTCCCTGGAGTACCTTCTGGTGTCTGAACACTTTAGCCGAGGCGCTCTGACACTCAGTCTGCAGCTCCTCTACAGAGAGAGAACGGGAGACATGAACCCTCTGGTGTAGAAACGCTCCAGCTGTCGGGGGATGAGGGGGTTTCTTACCCAGGAGCGGGACGGTCTTCAGCACGATGCCGATCTGCTCCACGGGACCCTGATTCTGGCTGCGTCTGTGGTTGTAGCGGCTAAAGCAGTGCACCCATCGCAGCAGCCAGCTTTTGTTGGTTTTGGCTTCTCGGTGGAGTTCCTTCAGCAGCTTGGTGGCGACTGAAAAGTTTTTCTAAAAACATTTGCGACTTTGTTTTATGACAGGATGTGACATCACACACACAACTTCCTGAGTCTTTACCTGCTGACACATGCTTTCGGCCATGTGCAGCTTCATGTTGAACTTGCAGTCATTCACTATTGTCTCGACGTCTCGGGATGCGCCGTCCACCTCCATGCTGTCACTGGGGGCGTGGCTTAGCAGCCTTTCCCTGATCTTGTCTAGAAAGAAACACCTGAAGCACAGAAACCCAAACTCAAACATAGGTGGGACTAAGCTGTTTTCCAGTGCTTGGTCTGGTTCTTCTTACCGAGATGTTATAATATCATCCCACACGTTCGCCGGATCCACTCGAGCATCAGGATAGCGATCGGTCCACGATCCGATCAGGTGCTTAAGGGACTTCACCGACACTAATAAATAAAATAGAATTAAAGTTGTATTTTTGCGTAAAAGAGCTCCAGAAAAGAAAATCCCTCATTACTATCCCACCATCTTCTTTAATGAACAGAAGGAAGTCCTGGATCTCAGTCAGAGCCTGCACCGACTGCAGAATCGTCAGCCGACTCCGAGTCAGGAGTGTATCCACACTAGAGTATCTCTGTAAGCAGACAGAGACGACGCTGATCATCCAAACGAGCAAGGATCATTCTCTGCGCGGTTCAGCTCAGATCTCACACCTCCATGAAGAGCTGCATGGCGTAGCTGGCGTAGTACTTGGCTCGGTCGTAGTCCTCCTGCAGGATGTAGAGCAGGCTGAGCTCTTGGCTGAACTGACTCTCCAGCAGCTTTTTACGCTCCTCCACTTTCATGGCTTTGTCAACAAAGCTGAGAAGAGTTTGGTCGCTCTCGCCCAGCTGCAGCTGCTTCAGCATGCTGCGGATCATGTGCTGGAGATACATCTCCTACAAAAACATCACAGAGACTCGTGTAGGATAAAAACGCAGCAAAACACAACGTTAAAGACAACCCCAGAAAGACCAGTCTGTCCCTCTGCGTTGAGATCTGGTAACTCCTTCCTGTTTTACCCGGTACAGAGGCTCTGACCACATCTTCTCCAGGTTCGGTGGAGTGTTTTCATCAATATAAACGGTGGAGCAGTACTGAAGAGACTTCCACTCAGCCAGCTGATTGTAGGCCTCCATCGCTGCTGTTTCCCAATAATCCTTCTCAGAGTCGGTGGGTTCTCCGTCAGGCCAGTTCTCAGTGTTGAGAGCCTGTTAGAATGAAGCCAAGTTTATTATGAGAACTAAATGACAGCTAAAACCTGCACTCATGCATCTGCACTACCTAAGAACAAAGTTGAATTTCTCCCTGATGCACTTCCCTACACCTGAGAGTGTCCACGGAGCGTTTCTGTACCTCGTTGTAAAGCTTCACGGCTTCAGCAAAGTCGGTGTTGGCTTCAGCTTGGAGAGCAGCACCGGTGACCGGCTTTGTTCCAACTTTACCGCCAAAGATACCACGCACCACGTCGTAGTCCTCCAGAGATCGGTACAGCCTGGCGACAGAAGACACAGCGAGATGTACAGACGCGGCCCGCAAGCCCCAGAGAGGGAGCCAGGAGGACCCGGCTAGCTGCACCAAGTGAAGACATCCGACTTCTATCCAACATAGCCATTCATCACAGTTTAAGCCTGGTCTTACTTCGCCAGGTGGATCCATTTATTGGTGTCTGGAGGAATTTCTCTGCGTCCTCGTGACCGTTTGGCGGGACGTTCATCTGGACCGGCAGCTTGCAGCAGATCCTCCTCCAGCAGCAGGATCCCTGATGGCTGCTGCAGAGTCACCAGACAGGTGGAGCTGATGTTTGCTGGATCCAGCTGCTGCAGCTCCCTGTGCCGGTAGCACATATCCTAAAGGAACAATCATCAGGAGATTCTCTCTGCAGCTTTCAGCCTTCGGGCATATCAATGGGACTGCTGCAGGACAATGTGTTGGACACGCTTTAGGCGGAGACATGGTTTACCTGCACACATGCGATAAAGGGAGGGAAGCAGAGCGTACTCTTGCTCAAGAACGAGTTCATGTTGCAGCGCAGCTCCTCTTTCACCCTCACACTCTCCTCTGGACTGTGGCTTCTCTCCATCTCTTGGAGGATGCCAGCAAAAATGGAGCTGAAGAGCAGCTTGGCTAAAATTGGGTCTCCCTGGGGAGGAATAAAAAGTATGGCGGTAGTTTATGTCTGTTTTCATGTTTCTGATGATGAAAATAACCTCCAGAAAGCAGGAGCCTTGCCTGAGCCAGAGCTTGAAGTGGAGCGATGAGGCTGCTGTGTGGGATCTGGATATCTGGAAAGTCACCCACTCTGTAGCTACGATACAGAGTCACCTGAGCCTCTTTCCGCAGCCTCTGGTCAGCTTTTTCTTCCTTTGGGACAGTCAAAAGCACAGCTGATCAACTAGACTCAGGATAATTGTTTTTTCAGACTGCAGGTAGCTTAAAATGTTGCCTGCTGCGAACCTTTCGCTGTCTCTGCTGTTGGATCTCTTTCTGTGCAAACCTCAGGCTGACTTTTTCTTGGTCTTTGAGGAATCTGCGCCTCAGTCTCAGGATGTTACTACGCCTCTCATTTTCGGCTGATGACAGAATAAGAAGATTTTGTATCTGTGTGGGCTGTTTTGGACTTCTAAGTCGCACTGATCTTTTCTTTCCCGCTGACCTTTTGTGCGACTGTCCACTTCGTCCGTTGACGCAGTCAGACGCCTCAAACCGAATCCTTCTCCGACCGGTTTTCTCGCAGCTGCATGCCGCTCTGTTTTCTTATCAAAGACCAGCAGTGATGACAGAGACTCTGAGCTGAGAGAGTAATCCGCCAGTGTATCCACGCTGCTGCCCGTCAGCCAGTTGTACGCCGAACGCCGACCTGGACGGTAAATCAGAAGGAAATCACACTGCTGCTTTCATAGTGAGTGGTTGCTGACCGGGCTGCAGCGGTACCTGGGGTTTGGGTTTGGCTGAACTCTAACGACGTCTGAGTGGCTCTGAGCTTCCCCTTCATGGCTCCGGACTGAGACGCCGTCAGACTATCTGGGCCCTGAGAGCTTTGGGTTTCAACAAACATAGGTGTCATTACTGTGCTCCTGAAGCGCCAGTTTGAATCAATCACATAGTCCTGTGAAGAAAAAAAAAATAAAAAATTATTAATGCATCATTGTTGTTGGGAAAGCTCAAATGAAAGTCTGAAATGAGCGCCGACCTGGAAGGTGCACTCAGACAGAGGATACTCAAACATGTTTCTGTTGAAGTCGGGACTCCGGCTGGTCATCTCCAGCAGGAGATTGGAGGCCACGCTCAGAAAGCACCTCTCTATCTGACAGCAGTACAGAGACTTGAGCACCCTTATCATTCGGTCAAGAGTCGCCGAGGGGAGGCGCTTCTCCTGGTTCCAGAAGTTCTGAACATACAGCCTGAAAACGTGTCATAAAAGTAGGTTTTAGTGAAAGAAATATGAACAGGGAGCATTTTTATCCAGTAATTAAATAAAAAATACATAAACACTTAAAACTTTTCATAAAAAGTAAACGGAGACAGGAACATACTGAAGGCCTTGGTTTTCCTCTGACAATCCCTGAAGCAAAACTTCCCTGGTTGTGTTTAAAATCTCAAGGGAGGTGTTGTCTTTCATGCTCTCTTCGTCACTGGTGAAAGGAAATATCCGTGACCACAGCAAAGAGGAAACACGAGAGCAAATTAGAAACATAACGACAAAAAGTCCTCGGCTGGGATTTGTTCGGGAAGTAAAGGAAAGCCAGGAATTCTGACCCGTAGTTGTCTTGGATCCACATGAGGATCTCGTACATCCGCTCTCTGCAGACAGGTGAAGGGTGAGAAATAAAAGCTGTCACGGCTCCCAGGAACTCCTGCAGCTCAACTGGTGTCAGAAGAGCCACGGTCTTGTGGATGATGTCCAGACACACTCTCTGTCTCGCTTCATCCCTGGAAAAAAAAAGCGGGAAGAAAAACGCTCCGAACGTCGAATCTACGAGGAAACGTTTCTCCGCCACAATCACCGGCGTGCTCAGACTCACCTGTGGCTCATCATCTGGACGAAGCCTGTGGTTTTCAGCTGCAGGAAGATTTCTGGGATGACATCTGCTCTGCTCAGCACACACTCCAAACACAGAGTCTTTAACGTGCCGTGCAGCTTCGGCAGCAGAAAGAACACATGGCTGATGAACCTGAACAATAGTAAAGGTCAGAGGTCATCGACAAGAATCCCTAAAGTCTAAATTGGATCACATTGACCATATCGTCGGTATGATGGGCCGAGGAATCTTTATGTCCAGAAAGTGCTCTACATATTGTTCTAGCACTGTATTGAAAAATGTTGTTCAAAGCGGTGTTTTATCTCATTTACGGTACCGTGCAGTAGTTTGGTCCAGCCCGGCCCAGAAACATCTAAGAAAATTGCAAATAGCTCAGAACAGAGCAGCCAGAGTAGTTTTGAACTGTCCCCTTCGAACAAATGTTCACGAGATGCATTTTGAGTTGTCTTGGTTAACTGTGGAGCCAAAAGTCAAACATAGTCTTCTGATGTTTATGCAAAATGTTACGACTAATAGTCTTCATCATCATGTGACAGACAAAATATTACTTAGTGAACATTGCCATCGTAACACGCTTGGTAAGCAATAACACGGTGATCATGCCAAGACCTGGAAGTCATCATATGAAGAAAGCCGTTCTATATGGAGGGACTGTTGAGTGGAATACACTAGCAGGTTGTGTTAGGGAAATCCAAAATCAGAGCTCTTTTAAGAAGAACATCAAAACAAGGCTATGGTATTTGTCTTGTTCTTGCAGTTGTGACAGAATGAGGAGAAAGGTATTTTCAGATAGCTCTGCAGGTTATGGGGGATCTTGTAGTTGGTGCTGGTCGGCCACTACAGCTTTTAAAACTCTAATGTAATAATTTATACTGTTTTAATCATTTGTATTGTTAAATGTATTTTGTTTTTTGAACATGGACCCCAGGGAGATTAGCGACCGCTGCTGTGGAAGCTAATGGGATCCACATAGCACAATAAACAATAAATAGGATTTATTAGATGAATCACAAACTCACGGATCCATAAACGCAGGAAAATGTTTGGACACTTTGTTCAAGCAGGTGATGAACTTGTCGTCCAAATCTTTCTTCTTCAGATTTAAAATCTTGGTCACAGCAAGACTGAGAAGCTCTTCGTGTTGCTGAGGCATGAGGGTGAGGAAAACATAAAATACACACAAAACACAATTATTTGGTATTTTTCACGCAAAGAAAGGATTTGATTGAGATTTAAAGGAATCAGGGAAACGTTCATACGCTCATTTCAGTCGTATTTTTCAAGATGAGGCCGATGATTTCCGCCGCAGCAGAGTAAACCTCTTTGTACCTGACGAAGGAGACGTTGTTGGTGAGCGACTGCATGTACCTGAAAACACAAACCACACAGAAATCGTTTCAGATCGTTTTCTGAACGATAAATAAAAACAGATTCCTGCTTTACTGAAGCTTCCTTCGTGCGAGTTCAGAAACGTAGATGAGAGAAAATGAAATGAACGAGAGACAAGCTAGACGGGACGCCGTGGTACCTATCATAGCTGATTTCACACGACGCGTCGTAGGCAGGAAGGCTGTTGGCTAGGATGATTCCCAGCAGCTGGAGTCCTACGGAGTTATCTCTGCTGTTTGGGTCGGTGCCACTAAATCGTTCGTATATCAGACTGGGAAGGGAAGGAAAACCGAGATTAAATAAAGAATTAAAAATAAATAAATAAATAAATTCCTGATCTGTTATCTTTATAGCAATGATGTGTTTTATCTTTTTATAACACAGATAGATTCTTATTTGTTACTAAAACAGTTTCTGAATGTAAACTTTCTCCCAAAAACGAAGCCTTGCTTTTGCAGAAGCTGCTAACAGAACGTCTGGATGATCCTCTCTCATTCATTCATTCATTCATTCATTCATTCATTCATTTATAGAGCACCTTCCACAACCCTGATCAGAAGCCCCAGGTGCTGAACACAACAATAAACAGGCAATCGCATCAATAAAAACAAATAAATAAATAAAAACAATAAAAAAACAGCATAAAAAACAGATGAGAACGATTGTTAAACAATTAAAATCAAGACTAAATTGCAGAGCCCCAGTGGTGAAAATCACGTAATAATGGGCCTCAAGACGTGACTTAGAAATCTGGAAGGAAGGCGCCAGCCTAACAGCCAAAGGTAGGCCGTTCCACAAAGTTGGAACAAGGACGCTCAGGCTGACCTGAGCTGGCGCCAAACAAACAGTAGCGGCTCCATTTCTTTACCCGTAAGGAACATGCAGACAGTCTTTCCAGCACTCCACCAAAGTACGAATGACCTCCAGGTTGTGGCGGAAAACGGCCCTTTTAGGGTGAAAGCTGTTCTTCATCAGGAACTCCAACAGGCGGTTGGCGAGAACTTCATCTCTCGGGTTTCCCTGAAGAGGAAAACGTGAACATAAAACTATAAAGAGCGGTTTTTTTTATCTCAACACACAAGATTACAATAAACAAAGAAAGAACTAGAAGTTGACCAATAATGGCTTTTCTATTGCTGATACCGATGCTGATATTTAGAGGTAATGGGCAGCCGATGGCTGATATGTGCTGCAGATTTCTGGACGTTTTCCACCTTATTTGCAAGCTAAAATGTCACTAATAGCATCAGTTGATGCACAAACACTGCTGTGCGCTGCTCATTGTTCAAATCACAAATCTAATTAAAGTAAATCAAACAAACCAATAAACTAACCAAATATTATTCATTCAAAACTGTTAAAAAACATTTGAGTTGAAAACATTTTGCAGCACTTCTTTTATTTTTCAGGTGTTATTTAGGAATGTTCACATTTAGATTACATTCTGCAGCAGCACTGGGCTGCCCTGGAAGTGCCCGACTTTAAATCGGCTTTATTAAGGAGGTACGCATTGCAGGTATTTACAAAACGGTAAATATCGGTCTACTCTTGGACAGAACAATGTCGATAAGAAACTGTTACTGATCTGGTGCAACGGCAGAACCAACCTTTGGCGTGGCCAGACTCGTCCAAGACAGAACCGTGACCACGACATCCACCACCATGAAATGGATGCCCGCTCCTCCGTTGTTCCCAGAGACAACAAGCTGCAGCAGCGGGCCGAGCCAGTGCTTCGCGTACGGCCGGAAAACCTGGAGAGTAAAACCATTAAACACTGGAACAGAAAACGAACTCAAAATCGTGCAAATCTGACACCCACCTCCTCCGTGTTGATGACCAGCTTTGAGATGAAGAGTCTGATGTTCAGAGGTGTTGATGGATTCACCAGCTTTCCATGCAGGAACTTCATCCATGGCGGAAGGTCAGAGGGAACACTTCCCTGTTTAACAAAGAGGAGAACGTTTGAAAATACTAATGAGATTGACGGGCTCGAGCCAAAAACGGAATAAAATCCAAGCGACCTGCTCGACTTTTGGAGTGATGCCGTTCCTCTGCATGTGTTCAATCAGAGCAGTCATGGATGCCATGCACTCGTGTTGGTTTAGCTCATCCATTTCTAGATCCACCAGTGCATGCTGGGAGGGATTTCTCTCCTCGGTCTCCTACAGATAAACACAAATCTGATCAGGGCTGACTGAACAAACAAGATGCAGGAGCACCGAGAGGTGATGACATCAGATTTATCTGAACATAAAAGGAGGAGAGAAAAAAACAAACATTTTTAGCTACAGCTGGCTCTGGTCTCTCTGGGTTTTGGGAGCTGAAGGAAAAGCTTTGGACTCCTGTGGAGAAGTCGAACTGACTCATCTCCTCACTCAAGCTGCTGTCGGCCATGTAGGATTGGGAGGACAGGTAGACAGGTGTTGCTATGGAAACACAACAATATCTGCATTACGATCGACACAAAACAGCAGAATATTCGTCCGTGGCTGGGTCGTACCTCCGCTCTCCTCACTAATTTCTTTTCGAATCATAAAATATTTCTTCTTTCTCTCAAGAGGCACCTAAAAAAAATACAACAAACATACCATAATAAGCACACAACACTACCTGTTAGAAGGGAAAATGGGCTCACCTCGATCTCAATGGGGAAACTGTAGGTCCTCTGAACATCAATGATGTTTTCAAGAATAAACTGATTCTGGATGAAGATAAAAATGTGCTTAATTCTTTGACTGAACAGCACGAAGTTCTAATTTAAATATAGCTCAAAGATGCAGAACCTTCTCTGGTTTCTCGCTGAAGAGGAAGCCGTGGTAGAATTTGGGCTCGCTGAAGCTGCAGCTGATGACGGCGATGGCGCAGGTATATGCAGCGCAGTGGTAACGCCTCCGGAGCTCCAGCAGCTGCGTCTCACCAGCCATGTTCTCAGTGAAGGCTTCAAAACACAACCTATGAGAAACAAGAGCTTAGCCTGGATTTATACGAGAAGACTGACAAAACTAAACGACAAACTCTTCACGGAGCATTACTTGATTAAGGTCTTGGACATCTCGTTTCCCTCTGGTTTGTCCGAGCTACAGAAGGCCTGATTGATGCGGGACTCCTTGGAGTAAAGCTCCTCTTTAGGAAGCCGTGAATAAAGCAGCTCCATCAGCTTATAGCAGCCGCTCTTTTTCAGCAGCTGAACCTCAAAAGCTGATTCGCTGGACTGAAATGAGGGCGTCACCAAAAAGAAACTTTTATTGTAATAAAACGTTTTGAATGGATGCAGCGAGTATAAAATACACCACCAAACCTTAGTGAATCGGCTGAGCAGCAGAGCGATTATGTCACTGACGTTTGCCACAAAGAAGTCACTCAGGGCCTTGGTGCTGCAGTGGAAGGCCAGAGGCAGCAGCACTCTGTCCATCATGGCCTGCAGCATGGAGCTCGCCGGCACATCGCCCTGCTGGATCACCTGGTACGCCCCACTCAGCAGCTGCAGCTGCTGCTCACTGTTCCCCCTGAGAAAACACACAGGAAGCACAATAAATGCTGCTGCATCAGTTCATGTTACAGATAAACGTCTCACTCACCGCCTTGCGACTTTCTGGAAACAGGTTTGGAACTGGTCCTCCATGATGTGCTTCCTGTCTCGACACAGAACACCTGACAGCAGTCTCAGCAGCAGAGGACTCTGGGAAAGCTCCAGAGCATCCAGGAACTAAAGGATGGAGATGCAAAGCTAGTAGAGTAGGACTACCTCTCATCCGGAAACAAAACCCGCAGCGTTTACCTTCCGGACACAGTCCATGTAGTTGTTGCGGTGAAGGGAGCCTATGGCGAACTCGTCGGACTGCATGGGAAAATGGGACGCTACCAGAGCATCTAGAGCCGTCTGCAGCTCAGCCAACGGCTCCTTCTGGAGGGTTGTGAAGAAAGGAAGCACCAGCAAGGCCTGGCTCTGAAGGAGGGAGTAAGAAAACAAAATGGAAAGCTCAGTTTCATGTGTTTTAACACGCGATTTCCCTCAAACAGATCCGAATTACCTTGAGGTTCAGAGGCAGGCTCACATCAAGCAGCAGAGCGGTGAAAGTGGAAAACACCGGTCTAAACGCTTCATGGGTTTGATCAGAGCAGACGGACGAGTCGATCTAGGTGAAGACAGAAGACTGATCAGACGACTTTCATCACTCAGGAGCAACTTTAACTTCATCATCTCCACCTGTAAGAGCTTGGACAGCAGAAGAAGAGTGGCGGTTTTACTCTCTGGGCTGGAGGACGGTCCCTCCCACCACGGCTGCAGACTGGTCCAACGTCTCAGAACCTCGTCCACCAGCGCCTTCCCCTGAGTCTTCCTCACGGAGCGCTCTCTAAAGCTGTGGTCCAGCATGCCGTTCAGCAACACGCTCACCTGAACAACACAGGTCACATGACTGCTTTCCTTTGCAGGAGCTGTGGAGCAGTATACTGGGTAGGATATCAAAATACCATGCTGGGATTCTGAGTGGAGGCTTTCATCAGGCTTGGCACGGTGGTGTTCAGACTCTTCAGCAGCTCTGTGTTGATGGTCACCTGGAAGAGGCTGTAGAAGTACTCCCCATGTGAGAAGGTGAGGAAGTTGTGACTGTGACCTCCAGATATTGGTACGGAGAGCGTGATGGTGTTCAACAGCAACTCCACCAGCTGCTCACTCTGGAGAGAAATAACCACAAACCTCTAGATGTGAAGCTGCTGAAATGATCTATAATCAAGAAGTCACGTTTTCTGATTATAAAACCACAACAAAGGGGCTTCCCCACATTTTTGATCGTTTATTTCCAGGAGAAACTACGTCTCACACTCTACTAGGAGACAGAATGAATCACGCCTTTCTATCTTTTAGTGAGCAGCAGTTAAGCAGATTGCTCCTTTCAGAAACAGTAAACATTTAGTACTGAATGTAGGGATGCAACAATACCACTTTTGTCCAAACCGATACGATACCGATACTTGGATCTGGGTACTCGCCGATACCGATTACCAATACCGATACTTCTACCACAAAAAAAATTGCAATGATTTGGAATACAGATTTTATTTTCTTCTCTGCTTACAACAGGAAAAGAGTGTGAGGTAGATACAAAGTTAAGTATATGAATGGAAATCGTCACAAAACTAAAATATTAGGTGAACAGAAATGACAAGTTACAGTGGAGCCATTTTCAAGCAACTGCATTGGTATCGGTTAACTTTTACCGATACGATACCAGTATCGTATCGGTGCATCCCTAACTGAATGCATGTTACAAATGCAGTGCTGTGAGAATCAGAGGCATTGTTTACATAAACAGCTGTTTGCAGATCCCTGACCCAAACTGCATCGGGGCTTAGACAGTTAAACACACAAAAAGACTCCACCGACCTGTTGGCTGAGGGAAAAGGCAAGCTGAAGCAGGCCATCTGCTACTCTCCTGGTGTTTGCGTCCAAAGACGGAAGTGCCTTCCTCTCCCCTCCTGGAGCGATGCCTTTATACACCGTCATTAGAAGTTTGGACCCGAGGGATCGGCCGTAGGCTGAATCCTTCAAGACAAACACGCATCATGTTCCTGGGGGACGTGCTAAAAACAGACCAGATCATTTCAAACCTGAACGGGTTGGTGTCGATACCTGACTGTACAGAATGGAGCTGAGGAAGCCAGCTCTGTGAATCTGCTTACAGGAGGAAAGGACCATCTCCATCTGGTCATGGCGGCTGAGGGTGTTTGAGTGGTACAGGTCAACAGCACAAAAGTCTTCTACACTATGGCCATAGGGGAAAAATTAATCATTTAATGCATATTTCTTGTATTTTCTCTCTGAAGAACTTCAGTGTGAGAAGTCAACTAACTTTTTACTTGAGATTTTTGTCCGTAAGCTGGTTTCAATGTGGCTGCGATAAGGTGAGACCAGCAGAGCTTTAAGCAGAGGAACACACACTTCTGGTAGGTTCTTCATCACCGCCACATCAGCCACGTTAAACCCAACAGCAGACGGCTCACACACCACCACCGCCGTCAGCTCAAACAGCACAGAACTGAACAAATCTTGTTCCAGGAGCTGCGAATCATTTTACAAACATATGAGAGAAGATTTTGTATGGGTGAGAGTAAGTGAGCATTACCTTCCAGCAGCTTTGATCTCCTTTGACGAGAATCATGGAGGAAAACTCCAGCAGACGGACGATGATGGTGCACTTGCTGTAGTTGTACTGGTCCACCTCTCCTGGGCTGAAGTGAGACGTTCTCTCACCCAGAGGGAAGCAGCTCTCCGCCGCTGTCAGGTCGTGAGTCGCCAGCTCCGTCAGGAAGAAACGGGTAGCTTTCAAGAAGCTCGACTTATCTTTCGAACCTCAGATTTTAACAAAAGGAGATTAATTACAGAAAACTTTAGGTTACTATCGTAACCCCGGTTCTCTGAGTAACATGAGTGAGATGTCTCACTATGGGATACGCCCCTCTGCGGATTCCTCAGAAGCACTTATCTCAATACGCCAATCCTGATTGGCCAGTGACCGTGACGTACGCGTCCCCCTGCTACTATAAGTAGCAAGCGTTCCCAACGTACACACTATTCAAGATAAACACCTCTTCTCGCTTCGTCCAGCAAGAAGGGTTGTCTGGTGAGACATCTCACTCATGTTACTCAGAGAACCGGGGTTACGACAGTAACCTAAAGTTCTCTTTCCTAACATTCATTTCGATGTCTCACTATGGGATATGGAGACTCCCGTATTGCCAGACAGCTTATCCAGCGATCACCAACCTACAGGGATACGTCTTGGCCCGCCAAAGACCCCACACTCAGAATTGTGTGAGTCATTGCAGGGACCGAAACATCAAGCTTATAGAAGCATGCAAATGCAAGTGGAGAAGCCTAACTTGCTGCAGCACAAATCTCCTGGATTGACAGCCCCCGAAAAAGGGCCCAAGAAGCAGACAGGCCCCTAGTAGAATGGGCCCTGAGCCCAACAGGAGCCTGAATGCCCTGACAGGAGTAAGCCATAGAAATAGCCTCCACAATCCAGTGGGAAAGCCGCTGCTTTGTGACGGGTTTCCCCTTACGAGGCCCACCCCATGACACAAAAAGCTGGTCCCCCCTGCGAAGGTTCTCCGTCCGATTCACATACTCCTTGAGCGCGCGAATCGGACACAGCTTGTGCCACCGCTCCTCCTCAGGAGAGGAGAAGGGTGGCGGGTAGAAAGCTGTGAGGATAATAGGAGAAAAGGAGCCCACCACCTTAGGCACAAAGGCAGGGTTGGGCTTTAGGGACACCTTCATGTCACCGGGTGCAAACTGGGTGCAGGATGGGTGCACAGAGAGAGCCTGTAAGTCACTAACTCGCTTTGCAGATACCAAAGCCAGGAGTAGCACCACCTTAAGAGACAGGATCTTAAGGTCCAGGCCGTCCATAGGTTCAAATGGAGGCCCGGAGAGGGCCGACAGCACCAAGGACAGATCCCATGAGGGCACCAGGGGTCGAGACACAGGGAGAAGCCTGCGCGCGCCCCTCATGAAGCTACACACCAGGGGGTGTCGACCTGCCAATTTCTTCCCAAAACCCAAGTGTCGGGCGGAAATGGTTGCTAGGTACACTTTAATGGTGGAGAAAGCCTTCTTCCCATCCAACAAGTCTTGCAGGAAAGACAGAATGACGTTCACCGGGCATTGGAAGGGTGAGACCTCCCTGCCCTGACACCAGGCTTCAAACACCCTCCATTTACAGTCATATAGGGACCTAGTGGAGGGGGCCCAAGCATTCTGAATGGTTCGAATGACAGCCTGGGGCAGCTCTATTGACACTAGCCCGCACCCCTCAGGGGCCAGGCCCACAGGGCCAGCCGTTCTGGATGAGGGTTTCAGATCGAGCCTCCCGCTTGGGACACCAGGTCCCTGTGAAGCGGCAGTTTCCAAGGTTGGCCCTCCAGGAGCTGGAAAATGTCCGCCACCCAATGCATGGCTGGCCAGTATGGGACCACCAGAATGCGAGTGTGGCGCTGGGTTCGTACCCTCAGCAAGGTGGGTGGTATCAGGGCCACTGGGGGAAAAGCGTAGAGCAGTCCCCGTGGCCAGTCGTGCGCCAGCGCGTCCACGCCGAGTGGAGCGTCTCGGTCGCGCAGAGGACACTGAGCATTCTCCTTGGAGGCAAAAAGATCCACTACAGCTGTGCCGAATCGGATCCAAATCTGTTCCAAAACTGCTGGATGCAGGCTCTAATCCCCGTACAGGGGTGTCCCTCTGGACAGCAAATCCGCCCCCCGATTCAGAACACCCGGGATATGGGTGGCTCTGATTGAGAGGAGATGCCCCACCCTGGACCGCTCGGGAACTCTGCCGGAGGGGGCGAGAAGGCACCATGGCAACATCGAACAGGAGGAGCTGGCGAACGGGGAACTGCCAGCTGCAGCGTCGGGAGGGAAAGAACTCCGTCAGGCTGCCCTCTTCTTCTTCCTCACCTGCTGACCGCCGTGTCTGGTGGGTTGTCCCGACGGCGGAGCGGCTTGGTTGCCGGACCTCTGAGGCCAAACTGGTCGAGGCGCTGAGCCCGAAGGAGCTGGTTGGACAGCTTGAGGCTTCGGGCGCTTTGGGATCCGGAACTGAGGCTGGGCTCTGGCAGCTGCCTGAGGAAGGTTCGGCCGAGCCGGCAGCGACGGTGAGGGTTTACGGGGAAGGCAGAGATGAAGGGCTTCATCCTCTTTCTTTTTGGCCTCACACCTTTGCTGCATTGATGCCAGGGCAGAGCCGAAAATGCCTTCAGGCACGATTGGCATGTCCAAAATGTCCTCCTTCTCTCTATCAGAGAGGTTGGTGAGGTTCAGCCATCGTGCACGTTCTTGAAGCACCATCATGCCCATAGCTTTTCCCGTGGCCTGGACCGCGCAGCGCTGCACACGCAGGCAGATGTCGGTCAGTACGGTGATTTCCTCCCACACCTCCGGGTCCGGCTTCGTATTCATGTCCTCACAGAGCTCTGCTTGGTACGCTGAGAGCATGGAGGAGACATTCAAAGCTCGGACAGAGATGGCGGCAGCCTTGTACGCCCTCCCGTTCAGCGCCGACTGGAAGCGGTCCACCTTTGCAGGGAGAGCGGGAGGCCTGGAGGAAGTTGCCGAGAGTCGTGGGTGCAGGTGGGCTGCAACCAGCGGTTCCATTGGCGGCATGCGAAGCATGCCAGCCTTCTCCATCCCCTCGAAGTCCAGCGAGGAGGCTCCTTGGACAGGAGACCTGGAGCTGAAAGGGTGTTTGTCCCAGGAGGACCTCACTTCTTGGAGAAGCTCCGGGAAGGAGGGGCTTTGCCGCCCTTGTGGCCTGAGGCAGCTTCTTTCCCTCGTAGCGGGATCTGACAGCCTCAGTGACCACGGTGGGCCAAGGGATGTTGAGCCTGGTCGCAGCGCGTCGGCAGACTGACTGCATGTCCAGGTGGGCGGCCGGAGAAGCCGCTCCATCCCTGGGAGAGGACGGAAAGCTAGGCATGGAGGTCTGAGCGATGGGGAGAAAAACGTCGTCATCCTCGTCCTCCTCTGAAATGAGGAGTTCCGAAGTGTCCTCGTCATCTCCGTAGTCCAACTCCAACACGTCCTCGACGGGGTGGCTCGGACCGGCCAGTTCGAGCTGTGAGCCCCAGCTGAGTTCGGCACACGGTTCCGGCTCCGGGAGGGCATGTGCGCTGGCGTCCCCAGGCGGTGGCCCAGGGGCCGGCAGGCAAGGGTCCTTCCCCGACAGGCTAGCTTGGCGCGCTAGCCGCCGGCGAAGGCTCTTCAGGGTGAAGCAGGCACAGCTCTTACATGACCCGGGGACTTCCAATGCCAGCTGGGCATGTTCCAGCCCGAGGCAGCTCGAGCAGACCTTGTGCGGGTCTTTGCTCGAGATTTTGTTCCCACAGGTACAGAGGCGAGCTCCTGCGCCATCGACTCCTCTGGTGGGAGGAGCGGCTTCCATGTGGGCTAACTGGTGTGTTAGCAGAGAACGAACAGGTGCACTGGAGTGTGAAGCTGCTCGTTATGCCCCGAGCCTATGGTGAAGGCCAGGACAGAAGGACAGTAAGTTAACGTTCGGCGACGGAGAGAATATTAGCTGGCTCCGTCTGTGAACAGTTGAGCTAACTTACCTTAGAGATAAGCGACCACCGAAGCGAGAAGAGGTGATTGAATAGTGCGTGCGTTGGGACGCTTGCTACTTATAGTAGCAGGGGGACGCGTACGTCACGGTCACTGGCCAATCAGGATTGGCGTATTGAGATAAGTGCTTCTGAGGAATCCGCGGAGGGGCGTATCCCAATGTGAGACATCGAAACGAATGTTAGGAAAGAGAACCTAAATTTGCTATCATTCACAGCTGTGCAAAACACTTACTGAGAATGTGATGGGGTTTGATGATGTGCAGGTTGATGAAGGTGTTGTAGCAATCCAGCACAGCCAGCAGCAGGTCCATCCACTGCAGGGTGACTCGAACACTGAAAGGGCCCATCAGGTCCCTGAGGGTGGGTTGGGACAGAAGACCGCCTCCCTCAAACCGTGAAATCAGGAAATCCATGCCGTGATCCTTCAGCATGCCGTCCAACCACTGAGGTGGAGACTTCTTTCCTGAATCACATCCAGAAATTTTATCAGAAGACAAGTAACAGAAAACTTGAAGTTTTTGTGTAAATTTGACATAAAAAACAGTACATTCATCTTTTACAAGTGTCTGGTTCTGACCTGGCAGTAAGGGAATGAACTCATAGAAGAGCTCCATGCATTTGTGGCGACAGTCAGTCTGAGGTCGCCCACATTGCTCCAGCAGCCACACCACCACATCGGACAGGATCAGCTTCTCATCAGGAGGAAAACCCCTAAAACATGGGACACACAGCGAAGGTGAAGTCCAGCAGCCAGTCGGGTACCGGTACCAGAACCCCACAGCTCACAGAGAACGGACCTTGGGACGCGTCTCTTAGCATTGTGCTGATTGAGGCTGGGAGCTTTGTGTTGTATGATTCTCTTCAGGTGCTCAATGGCACTGCCACACTGCTGCAACGTGCCTGCATCACAGAGGATAACAAGAAAACCACCGCACTGCTGTGTTCATAAAACCCTTTTGCTAAAAGTTTGAAATGGTTATGTAGAGCAGGTGTGGATGATGGGTTACCCATGGATCGCTCGTCAGAGTGAGCTAGAGCCAGACTTTCCACAAATATGACGAGAACCTCAAAGATGAACTGTTCCACCAAAGCGTTCTCCTCTCTGAAAGGTTACAGACGAGTTCTGAATGACTACAAAAGAAATGAGGCAAACGGAGAAACAACAGGCGGCAGGAACGAAGCCCACCTGAACTGTCTGTAGATGCTGTTGAAAGCTAAAGCGGCTCCGAGTCGTTTGAACCCGTTGGGGTGCAGGGCCAGGCTGTAAATGCGCTTAAACAAGGACTTCATGTTGGTCGGGCTCCTCTCCTGCTGCTTTGGGGTGGTCTGCTTGATCGACCACTTGACAAACTCTTCGATGCAACGTCCACAGAAGTCTCTGAGAGTGCTGTCCAGCGGGTCGACCACACCGTCCTGAACACAGCGACACAATATAAAAACGCTAAAATCTCAGGAGTGTTTTCCACTAAACTGATCTGAGCTCCTACCAGGATAGCCTCCAGAACAGCTACTGTATCCTGGCTCTCAAACTTCCTGTTGTTGGTGAACCAGTGAATCAGCTGCATCACCAGCGGTTCAAAGAGCTGCCTGGTGACCTGGTAACAACAAAATCATAACGCAGATAAATAAGGACCTGGAAACATTCCAGCACGGGATATCAAGAATCCAAACGTAGATGCTATGAGATCCGGATTAGGGCTTGGGTTAGGGTTAACTCAATAAGAATATGTATCTATTGATAGAGGTGTGGTGCGATAGAAAGCAAAATGGGTCGATAAAATAAAGTGTTTCATTATAGCCAATCAGATTGCTTAATACTAGATCAACAACACAGATCCAGGCACGCTCCGTCACCAAGCCCTCCCCTCTCAAACCTAAACAGACAGAACGTGTCTTAAACAAGACGTAACGGCAAGAAGAGGCCGTTACAGGGCCGTAGCTGATTGGCCGTCAGTCTGTGCTGCTAATGCTCAACTAGCGATGTATAGGTGATGAACGAAACGGCTCTTTATAGTATAACAATCACCCCCCTAACTTTAGTCCAGGAGAGGGATTGCTAATTCACACAAAGGACTCTGAAAGAACATCCTTTGACCCAACATATTTAAATGTAGGATCACCCTCTCTTGGCCCTAAAGGGCTTCCATACAACCTCCCCTGCCAAATAAGACACGGAACACCAGCAACTTGAGATCTCCCACGTATGTTTATAATGTTATTCAACTTGAATCACGTGACGTTCATACATGCTTTGGTGTAAATCCCCCTGGAAATTAAACCCCTAAATGTCCATCTGCAGCTCCGCCATGAAGCGCTTAGGAAGTCTCTGATTGGTGCGCAATGCACCGACCCGAATGCAACCGAAGCAGTCCAAACCAAAAAAAAAAAAAGGGGGGGGGGGGGGGGGGGGGGGGGAATGTGGCCGCTAGCAAAAACTGAAAATAAGTGGTACACCACTAAATAAAAAGGGTCGACCTCACCGGGTTCAGCAGTCAATGACTCGGTCCATCCGCCGATCGGCAGTGAGGCAGGTGATCTGGGGCGTTTCCTCTCATTCAGCTGGAGAACGCAGGTATCCAGGCACGCTCCCATGCGGGATCGTCGGGGGTTTCTCTCTGACTTAAACCCTTAATCTTATTTATTTTTTATTAACGGTCACCCGTAGGCCTACTGAGTTTCTTCACTCAGTTACGCGGTAGACTTTTAGTTTGATAACTAGACAGGCTGCAGCAGATCCACGCTGACACCTGCACCACACCCATCCGTGCTCAGTTATCTTTTCTCCCTCCTCCTCCCTTCCACACCTGATGCGGCCCTCTTAATAGCTCGGGTGTGGTAAACAACACAAATACACCGATAAATAAATGAACGACCCCAACTCACCCAATTACATACAGTGGAAAGGAAAACCACCGTGGCACAGTGTTACAATTATACTCTAGTAATGGTTTAGACCACTTTCTCACATCCTCTGTGCAACTAATATTAAATATTTCCTTTTATTTTAACACTTGTGTAATGTGGCGATGCCACAATAGGGCCGCTTTTGCTGACTAATTAAAGGACAGCACAGACTTCTCCGCGTGTCTTTTGCCTCGCCCACATGCTCAGAGATGTCTGCGTTCCCGAGACGTGTGTGTGAAAGCCGAAGTGAGTGACACACATGCATGCACGCACGCAGAGCGTGCCTCCCATCGCCGTGTGATGGGGTGGTGCGTGCGCGGAACACCAGGAGCAAATATTTTATCAACGTGTAAATATTGGTGGAGACAAATCTGTAAAAACGGGTGTAAGAAATAAACAGCGCAACAGAAAAGTGATGAAATGAGTAAAAACAGGATGGTATGAAAGTCATTTCCACTCATGTTTGCTAACATCACTAAATCTTGTGAATAATGTGCTGTAGTTGAACCTCGGTTGGAAGAAAATCTTAATTTCTACTAGAAAAAAAAAATGCAATTCAATCTTTCCCTGAAATCGTTCAGTCCTTGTAACGTCAAATATTGAATTTAAGGCGGTTTTTCTTTGTTCTTTATTGAAAGTGGTTAATTAAGGAATGACATAAAATGGCCAGGGCTGCACTTAAAATATATTTTCTACATTTTTAACAATATTTTCCAATAATTATCTATATCGATTAGGGCTGTCACGGTAACCGCAAAAATGAAATATCGCAATATGAAGAAGCCCACCGCGCTGCATCATGGGCCACCGCGATTACTGAACTTGGTTCAACTCAATGATGCATGTTGAGAAGGATGGCTGCACTCGTATCAAAACGAAACGTTACTTCGCTCCTTTGGGAGCACTTTGGTTTTCAGTACATCAGCTGCTGCGCAGCCAGGGTCCTTGGCCGAGACAGAGCTGCCACCAGCGGCAAATAAATTATAAACGCTCGGAGACCTGCTGAAGTCCCGGACAAGCATCGCTTCTGCAACCGTCCCGAAGAGAGTTTGAGCTGAGCTGGAGCTCACTCGCTACCTGCAGGAGGAATGCATCCACCCTAAAGAAAACCCCCTGACATGGTGGAGCAACAACCGGGAGATTCCCTTTGCTCGCCAGTCGCACGCAGGTACATGTGCGTTAGTGCAACGAGCGCACCATCCGAGAGGGTTTTCAGTGTTGCTGCAAATGTTGCCACCCCTCTCAGATCCTCTCTCAAACCGTATATATGGTTAACATGCTGGTTTTCCTTGTGGGTAACAAGGACGTGACCGAGCTATAAATCACCGTCATTCGTGTGTGTGAAAGTGAAAGTGAAATGATAAGTGCCCCGCGCCCGGTACATGTAATTTTTTATGCTTGATTTTAAACAACTAAACAAAATGGGGACTTGTTTCTTATTTGTTAGATGCTGCAGCCAAATTTGCATTTAAAAGTTTAACCTTCTCCTGAATTTTGTTGTTTTTAAGTTCAGTCGGACTCCGACTGTCGGAGAAACAAACGTTACTGCGATCTGTGTTGTTACTGCCCTTTGATCTGCATTCAGTAAAGTGTTATAAAAGAAGGCACGGCAATTTTTTACCTTTTTTAAATGTGTAAACATTATGTTTAGATAGTACTGCAATAAAAAAAGTGCTGCAATAATATCGCACACCGCAATATTAAGCCACCCTGAATCACCGCAGGGGGAATTCCTCAACCGCGACAGCCCTAATATCGATCTGTATGACTTATTTTGAACGATATGCTTATTTTTTATATCGTCCGGCCCTAATCCAGATCCACTAGTTAGAAATAAACTTAAAATAAAAAATACAATTATTACATGCAGCAGAAAGGTAAGAAGCACATGAATCAACAAAGCCATTTGTCAAGCCGTTGTTGTTTAGGAGCAACACTGAGGTGAGGCAAAACCCATCTTTACACACCTGATCAACGTCACAAGCCAAACGCAGCAGCACAGGAAACAGTCTCTTGTGTAGTTTGTACATAGGTGGCAGTCTGTTCTCTCCTTCCACCATCTGAGCACTCTTCCCAACCATGTAGACCACCAAGCTGTGCAGCAGCTCACAGGCTGCAACCTGCAGAGTCCACACACACACACACACACACACACACACACACACACACACACACACACACACACACACACACACACAAAGGTTATGTGCTTTTCTGAAGCCTCACAGCCGCTGAGGAACAGATGTTCGCTAACACACTTTGGTTTGCCTGGCGCTGGAGGACAGCGCCAGCTCGCTGATGCGAGGCAGAAACGGGTCCAGAAAGATCACTGGCTTCATGTCGGTGAATGGGATGGCAAAGCTGAGTCGTTTCTCAGTGTCCCAGGCAACAAATTTCTTCATCGTTTCTTCTGAGGAGACCACTGCAGGCCAAAACACAGGTTTATTATCATTGTTAAAATCTAGCTGAACTTCTCTGCAGCTCGGCCCAAACACCAGGAATTACACTCAGCTCTGAAGAGACTTAGTTTTGCAGATCCTCACCAGTCACCAGGTTTCTGTTCAGCTTTCCTCCAAGGTGACCGAGGAGCTTCACCACCCTGAGCCTCAGCAACACAAGAGGAGCATCTTCCTGCGTGAACACAAATGACTCTGTTACTATATGTGTGTAAGAAGCTCCTCCTTACTCATCTAACAGTGATTTGTACAAAAGCATCATCCAGTACTGTGGAGAGCTGGTTGGACTTCTTAAGGAGCCTCGTCATCACTCTGCTGTATCCTCGGTCCCTCCGTGAAGACAAAGAGGACATCACCTCCCAGTTGCTCTCATCTTTGTCTAAAACACAGAACACCTTCTTTTGATCATCTGAATTAAAGCACGAATGAATCTGCACATCTTTGAGTCCGTCTGACCCGTAGGTGAGGTGGTTTTCAGGTATCCGTCGAGGAGAGGCAGGATCTCTGTGTAGCAGGGCTGCATCGTCTCTGCTGGGATGTGGGAGGACCAGTCCTCCAGAGCATCCAAGGCTGCGTTGGCTAAAGGAACGTGGCTGAGACCCAACTTCAGAGCCGTCTGGATGCAGGAGAGAGCACAAATCCATAAAAAACAGTAAAAATCTGTTGAAATCTTTTTTGTATTCATCTGACAGAATCAACAGACCTGCTTCGAACCTTTGCTGAATGAATTAAGGCACCAAAACATTTAAAACAGATGCAGGAAATGCAAAGAATGTAAATGAAAAAGAAGCCCCACCTCCAGAGCAGGACAGTAGGCCTTCATGTCCAGAGCCACGATGTTGTGGTGCAGCGAGAGGACAAAAGTCAAGCAGGAAGCCAGCAGCTCGTCTTTGTACTGCTTCATTCTGATGCACACCTTGTGGGGAACACATGACATCACACTCGGGTAGATGAACGAGGCTGGAAGCAGCTTTTGAAATGGGAAGCTACCTCTTTTCCAAACTTAGAGAAGAGTGCAAAACAAGCACTTTTCACTGTGTCACTCTGAGGAGCTACAGAACATCTCCGGCCAACTCCCTGTTCATAAACAAGGCTTAGAATTATTAACATACACCGCCTCTTCTTTTGTTTAGACTGTATCCGATATGAAATATAAATGCTTCGACCGTCTGTTAAAATGAAAACATAACCTGGTAATATTTGATTCTCTTGGCGATCTTCATGGTGACGGACAGCAGCTTGTAAAAGCCGCTGACCAGAGGGTTCCTGATGGTGTGGAGGATGAGCTCGTGGCTCAGAGGAAACATCCAGGAGTCAAAATACTCCACATGTTTATTCAGCAACAACTCACTGCAGGGACAAGATAAATACATATTTAGCCATTCAAACGAGCTGAGTGTTTAGTTTAGAGATATAAAGTTTAGGTACCTGCAAAAGTCAACCAGGTTGACGAAGGCTGTGAAGTCTTTGACCTTATTGGGTAACAGATGAGCCGTAGGGTCAGACGATGGCAGCGCATGGGTCGTGTCATCCAGCTCCTGACCAACAGTGTTGGATAAATTATGGATACATTATTAATTATTTTATTTTTATTTGATTAATTATTTTTTAAACGAAAGCTTCATCCAGCTCATTTTTACCTGGCAACAGACAGGCGTTTGACCTCGCCTCTTTCCAGTCCTGGCGTATCAGTAAAGCCGGGCGTACACTGTGCGACTTTTTCAGTTTTTTGAGCCGATTTTCCACTCGTGCGAGAATCCACGAGATCAGGGCAAGTTTTGCGCCGAGCGTCGTGTAGTGTACAGGGGGTTACGAGAGGCGATTAACACCACGTGACCAGCTACCGATCAGCAATCGTGAGCTCGCACGGACTTCTGGCGTGTTTGATATTTTGCTCGTCCCTCGTGAGGGTATCGCACTGTTGAAGCGGCGCTGCGAGCAGCTGCGACCCAAAAAGTACCAGAACCGCTCACGGCGCATGCGCAATCCTGCATCAACACCGCTCGCCCGCTATTTCCCTAATAACACACGTTGTTCGTTTTTGTTTCTACACGTTTTTTTACACACAAAGATTGTCAAGAAAGCGTGTTTGTCGTGTTCATGTCAAATTAAACTGATCACAAAACACAGATTTACTTTCTTTATTTCGTTTTCCTCATCCAACCCCCATAAATCCCTGTGTGTCCTCCTGCAGCACTCCCGAAGGACAACAGGCAAAACAAGACAAAAAAATCTGACGTGTTGAGTAAAAACTGCTATTTTTAGCATATTTTTAGGTCCGACGTGTTGCTACCAGACGTACAGTGTGAGCAGTCAGGTCGCATGCGAGAACTGGGTCGTACAGTGTGAGCACATGGCTCGTGAGATGTGCCCTGTGAGGAAGTCGTACAGTTTGAGCTGAAGCTGAGTGCTACGAGTGAAAAAGTCGCACAGTGTACGCCCGGCTTAAGAACACCCTGTGCCAGCGCCTGTTTGTCTCCCTTTCGAGAGTCTACAGGAATGTGTGTAGATGTGTGTGCGTTTTATCATTTTTGTGTGTCCCTTAATAAATACTCTTGGAGGGCTTTGTCTGACGAGAGTGAACTGAAAACCCTTGCGTGGTGTGCATTTATTTCTGCTCTCCCTTTGCAAAGTCTAAATTGTTTGGTTGTTGGTAAAGATTGGTATGGGTTAACCGATCGGCTTAATAATATAACCCCTGCGAGTTGAGCTTTCTCTCAGGTGACCCTGGATGGGAAAATGAATACACCTAACAAACAGATTACAGCAGGTTTCATCAGACAAGCAGAATCTGAATCTGCTGAGTAAATAAATAAAACCTGCTCTGCTGTGACCCATCTGTAACAAACACAAGAGTCCTCTACCGTGCTCCATCTTGCCACAGGAGTCCCCCAGGGCCTGTACTAGGACCTCTCTCTTTGCCATATACACCACCTCACTGGGTGAGATCATTCGATCACATGGCTTCTCCTACCACTGCTATGCAGACGACACCCAGCTCTGTCATTTACACCGGACGACCACACTGTCTCTGCACGAATATCAAACTGTCTCTCTGACATATCAAAATGGATGAAATCCCACCATCTCCAACTCAACCTCTCTAAAATTGAACTACTTGTCATCCCAGCAAAACCATCCATACAGCACAACATCTCAATCCAAAACGACTTCCTATCTCTGGCTCCTTCAAAGGCAGTTCGAAATCTGGGTGTTGTGATTGATGAACACCTGACCTTTAAAGATCATGTTGCCTCTGTTGCTCGTTCATGCCGCTTTGCGCTGTATAACATATGAAAGATCAGACCATACTTAACACAACATGCCACCCAGCTCCTGGTGCAATCTACTGTCATCTCCCGCCTCGATTACTGCAATGCCCTTCTACCTGGTCTTCCAGGCTGTACTGTGAGACCTCTTCAAATGGTCCAGCGGCGCGTCTGGCCTTCAATCAGCCAAAAAGAGCACACGTCACCCCTCTGTTCATTGAGCTCCACTGGCTACAGCTAGCAGCACGCATCAAATTCAAATTGCTACGGCTCCCATCTACCTGAATCCTCTTGCAAAGGCTTACGTCTCGGCCCGGCCGCTCCGGTCATCACAGGATCGTCGGCTAGCAGTGCCTACACCATGCTCAGGACAATCCAGACTCTTCTCATGCATCATTCCACAAATGTGGAATGACCTACCAAGCACTACCAGAACAGCGGCTTCCTTTTCAATTTTCAAGAAACTCCAGAAGACCCTGCTCTTCAGAGAGCATCTTCTTAACTAGCACCCTCCCTGCACCCGTCCCCCCTCTCTACTGTCCACTCCTTGTTCCCTCCTCTCCATGATTCATCATGCTGCCTCACTGCCACCTACGACTGACTGGAAATTGTTTGTTGTTGTTGTTGTTAGCCTCAAGGGCAACATGCCGATTATCACTTGTAAGTCGCTTTGGACAAAAGCGTCTGCTAAATACATAAACATAAACAGTCCAGTCTTACCTGCTCTCCTGTTGATACTTTCTTCACAGACAAATCTAGCTTTTCCACAATGCGGAGAATTGATTTCACCAGCTCGTCGTACAGAAGACGACTCAGTGGTCCGAGAGCTGCGTTCTGACTCACAAACGACCCGTCCAGAAACCCGGAGTCCTGCCAGAGAAAGTAGAACTCTAATTAATCAAATAGTGACAAAAACGTGTGTTTAGGCTGTACGGGTCATCAGATTTGTATTCCTGTTTTGATTTCAGCTCAAAAACATCGACTTACTGATCAAGTAGAACATTAAGTTTAATTAGCCAATGTGACAAAATCATGTTTATCATGTCAGATGGGCCTGTGTGTTTACATGCTGGTGTATTTTAACTCTGGTAAGATAAAAAGAATTTTAATCACCACTAAAATGTGCAATCTTGCCACCTGGTGATGTAAATTAGTACCTGCAGTCTCTTTAAAACACGAGTAACCTAACAGCCAGGATCCGCGCGAGATGATGAAAGTTAAAACATGTCCGCACCTTCAGCTGATCACAGTCCAGCAGGCCTTTATACAGGGGGAGGTAGTCGTGACTCGATGGAACTTTCCACTTCCCAGTTCGGACTTCTGAACCTTCAGAAGATCCATTTCCAGTGTCCTTAAAGTGAACAGAAGGAACATCTTGTCTACCTTCGCGGTCAACAATGAAAGCTTAAGAAGCCTGAAATTACTGAGAAAAATTCCACACAGGAAATCTGTGATATTTCCGTTCTAAAAGCCCGTCTGACCTCAGAAAGCAGGATGGGTTTAGAACAGACGCGGATCAAGCCTTGGTGCACTGGAAAGAAAGCACAGAGGATTGTTAAACGGTTCTGAGTAACAGGAGAAGTTCTACCTCCTACGAAAGCTCCCTGTCAGAGCTACGTCTCCTGGAACACCCTGAGGAACAGAGGCCAGTTTTTGCGACGTGTCGCTGCAGTTGTGCAGCAGCTAGTATTTAGACACAGAGGTGCTGTTGTCTGACATACCCACAGAGCTGATGAAACTCCACAGAACTGGTCCTTTAGAGACCATGGCGATCAGCACCTTCAGGATGGACTTGCAGCAGGCCGCCTGCATTCTCTCGCTACACTGAGGGTAGCTGTCGATCTGCACCACAAGCAGGCGCTCCAGCAGAGGAGTGTATACCTCAGGTATCTGGAAACAAACATCAGAGCTTCTTAAAGACATGAGTGATTGACTGTCATCAGTTAAAAATATCTAGAATAACACGTTATCACCTTGTCCAGGTGGATCAGCACGCTGGCTATGGAGTCCAGGAAGCTGGGCAGCTGGTAGAAGCTCTCATCTTCACTGTCAGATTCTGTCAGATACATCTGCTTACAGCGCTGAATCAGTTCTGTGTACATCAGGTCCACATCCTGGGGACAAACCTTCTTACACGGCTGCAAAAACAAAAAAACAAAAACATTTAATTTGATTAGGTGAAACTGTCCAACAGCTAAACACAGGGAATTGAAAGCGGGACCAATGAAAATACACAATATTAATCACAGGTATGAAGTGTTAAATTGTCACAATTTTTTACTAAAACAGGTTTTTGTTGCAAGCATACAGCTGCAAAGAATCCATATCCTCGTATGGCGATGGACAGCTCTTTGTGTGTCGAGTCCAGGGATTTAATGATGCCGCAAAACTTTTGCATGAAGAACTTCAACTTGCTTTTGTGCTCCTCGATATTCTCAGCCACCAACAAGGAAACCTGAAAATGGCCACAGGACAACAAGAAATCAGACATCAAATCAGTTCCGTTCAGATCGTTTATAAACTGCTCTGTTCTCTGTTTCACTGAAAGAGCTCTGGAGGTTTTTACCTGCTTGAGAAAAGCTTCCAGTGCATTGTAACTCGTCTTCTTCATCTCTCCATTGACGTGTCCACACAGCTTGGACATGGTCTCGAACAGAACCCTGTAGTTGTCCATGAGGCAGCTGCTGAACTGAGACGCATGTCTGGAAAACAATCTGAGCCCGGCTGTTGAAGACACAGTCAGAGGGACGTAATTCTTCAGCTTTAAACATCAATCTGCCAGATTATAACCGGTGATCCTTACCAAACGTGACTGCGTAACGGTTCATTTCTGTCTGTAAAACAATCATAAACAAAGTGGCACATCAGCACCACGTCCAACGCAAAGGACGAGGTGAGTTTTGTCGGGAGATGTTTACCTGGGGAGTGATCGCCTTCAGGGCATACTGGAAGATCTCCGTTGATGTTACTGGGTCTGCAAGTCAGTAACAAATACCACATAAGCAGGAGTCAAGTTTAACATTTCTGTTCCATCACGACAAAATGAGCCACAGATGACGTAATGAACACCTTCTTCCATTGTTTTAGTGAAGTTAACCATCAGGGCGGTCACTCCTCGTAAGCACCCAGCCACAACAAAAAGCTTGGGTTCTTTTGTTTTAGAGGTCATCTAGGTGGAAAAAGGACAACAATCAGGACCCAGAAAGTGATCCGACATTGGCAATTCCATCTACGCCCTTCCATACTTCTTACACAAAGTAGAAGGATTTTGATGAATTTTAAAAGATAGTTGATTACTCAGTAAACCAAATCTTCCTTTCTGTTCCCAATTCAGTCATCTGAATCAAAGCCATTGACGTCTGTCTTGAGGTGTGTAAGACCAACCTGGTCTTTGAGCTCTCCGAGATAAGCCCTGTAGAGTTTGTCTGAGTTGTTGACCATCTCACTGGGATGAACTTCTGCAAGGACTCCCAATAACTCGTAGATTTTACCCAGAACTGTGGTGAAAGGACAAAAAATATCGTGTAAATCCAAAAGTCATGATTTGATGTTAACAACCGGCGTTTTGCTAAATCAATGCTAACCTGAATCAGGTAATTTGCTCTTCTGACAAAGTTCGCTGTAGAATTTGTTAAAAATATCAGAGATTCTGAAATCCGCCGCCACGCTGGAAGCCTTTGTTTTCTGGAGAACCTGTGGAGACGTCAACAAGTGTGATGACCTTAATGGTGCAAACGTACAACAGTTTTAAACCATCGTATACAAGTTAACACATGAACATATAGGTTTGTTAGCAACAGATAGCATCATCTGGCCTGAGATGCCACCTGAAAAAAAAAACTAATTTACATTTAAACCCCCAAACAACCCACCTTTATAAGGAGCTCTAACAGTGGAGTTCGACATTTGGCTACCCTTTCCTTGGTGTACATAACCATGCACATGTCCTGTGTGTGGAAGCACATAGAACATTGTGGGGGTTGTGTTTTTCACAACTCGTCATGCCACAAACATCACAAACAAGTGCCTTACTCTTATGTCAGTCGCATACGTTTTCTCCCAACCTTTGACTCTTGGTGACACTTTATCCAAAAACGTCTCCAAAAACTGCAAGATTTTCACCCGGGTGTCCCGCAGCTGGAGAACAAATCTTTCTGTAAACTTATAAGAACTTTGGCTTGCTGATTAATGCAGGACGTCTTTACCTCATCAGAAGCCAGGGACTTCCTGAGGAAGGTGAGCAGCCCATAGTCTTTTGAGAACAGCAGGGATGTGTGTAAAGCTGGATTAGATGGAAATACATGCAGTACATGCTAATGTTATTACATGTTATCTTTAACAAAGAACAAAGGCTTTAACAGTTTCAATTCAATTCAATAATACTTTATTAATCCCAGAGGGAAATTGATTGCTGTAATAGCTCAGAATAATAATAATCAAGTCAAGTTTGAGCCACTTTCGGCTTTTATGATGCACTTTTAAACCCATACAGACAACTAATAGTCGGTTTTATGTTTTGAACCCTTCTGCAGCACATTAGGGTGTTACAGCAACACGAACCAGCAGATTTTGGCGGAAGATCCTTTTTGATATGAGAAGATAAAAAGTTAAAAGTGTTGTTGGTGTATTTTCTGCCCGATGAACTGATAATTAGCTCATAATCCTCCACTCAGCAACCTCCTAATCCAGGGCTTTTACCGTTTATGACAACAGGAACACGACTGCCTGCAAACCGTCGGAATTATAATGGAGTTTGGCGCATTTTGATATTTTTGATAAACCTTACTGTCTTACCGAGCTCATTCTCGGTGGATGTTAGCATGCACTCTTGTCCCAAATCAACAATAATATCGTGACATGTTAAAGCTGCAGAGCGAGTATCTTCGTCTGAAAGTGATTCATGAAGTTTTAAAAGAAGTCCTTGGATCCCGGAAGAGGCGCTGCTTTGAGGAGTCATAACCGCTGCGCCGCTTTGAAGTTTTAAAGCTGGAGCTGATATCTCAAAGTGCTCATTATCTTTGGCTAGCAGGGACAATCGCGGGGCTCCACTACTGAGGCTGCTAAACCAGGGGGCAGTCCAGTTTCCACCGCGTAGTCTCTCTCAAATCTAACACCAGGAAGAACAAGGACAGGATGCCAGCGATACCTTTTTCAAAATAAAAGCCCAGAAGATGTGCAAGCGAAGTGTGTGATCATCAAACAGTAAACTAACTAATCACAGGATAGTTACTCCAAAATATATTGCGGTGTTTGTTTTCGAAGTTTAACATAACCCGTTAGAGCAGAGTAAAGTTAACAAGTTCACAATCGATGTTTAACCGGAAATGAAGTACAAATTACTGCATTCCCCACAGGAACTTGTTCCTCGTACCTGCCTGATTTTCAGTTCCTAGAGTGGACCTCCACTCTAATTAGGGACCTATAAAAGGACAGAGGAGAGCAGCTTTTTCGGTCTCAATAAAATTAGCTGTTCATTGCTACTGAGTTTGACCAATAGTATGTGAATTTGACATGAATTTATTGTGTTTTGACAAAATATCTTACCAAGTTTATTGTCTAAATTAGTTTGCATTATAAATTTGCAGGACTGTCGACTTTTACAAAAGTCCTTGAGTGAGATTTTCTTTTCGTTTTTTTCTACTTGTATTTCTGTGTGTGTTAATGGTGGTGGTGTGGCATTAGCTTTGGCAAAATTACACATTAGTTTGACAAATATTAAGGCAGTTAATTTTTCAGAGGCAAAGTGGATACTGTAATCCCAGTTTGGTATCTAAAAACCCACAATGGTATTTAATTCTAAGCAAAATATGTGAAAGAAATTGATACTATGTGGAAAAACAATTTATTTTCATGATGTACGTACGTATTACGTTTATTTTCACCGCAGACCAGCTATGTCAAATTATGTCTGAAAAAAGTAATCATTTTGGTCACCCTGTCATGAACCTTGTGACTTTGCCTCCTGTGTTCCCTGACCACTCTCCAATGCTATGTGATGTTACTTTGCCATGTCCTGTCCCTGTGTGTGAAGCTCCGTCTGGGTCAGAGCACTGGATGCAGAAACTGTTGCAAAGTTCGTGGACTGTATGTCTGTAGAGTCCTTTGACCCAGATCCATCTAACATTGATCATTATTCACAACACTTTGATTTACTTTGTAATCAGGTCCTGGATGTGGTTGCCCCTCTCAAGCTTTGCAAGTCTCGGCCTGGAAGGGAGCCTTGGCTTTCTGATGTCACACGGGCTTGTAGGCGGGCGTGTAGATCCTCTGAGAGAAAGTGAAAAAAGGATGGCCTACAGGTCTCGCGTGAGTTGTTCAGAGCATCACTGGTTGCTTATCAGGATGCTGTGAGGGTTGCTAGAACGGCCTATTTTGCAGACATCATCGAAACAAACTCCAAGAATCCCAAGATTCTCTACAAAACACTGAACTCTGTTCTGGTGTATCAGGAGCCCAGCTTCATGTCGCTGCTGGAAACTGAAGATTTTCACAAATTCTTTATTGATAAGGTATCTGGCATTAGAGCAGCTATTTCTGGTAACTCTGTTGACCCTGTTCCAGTTCTTCCATCACCACCCACCCTGAGCTCCCTCAATACTGTTTCTTATTCTGAGCTGAGTAAGCTTGTTGGAAGGCAGAAGCCATCTGGCTCTCCACTTGATGTCTGCCGCCTCATCTCTGGAAGGCTGCCTTTCCGTGCCTTGGCCCTTCACTTGGTCAGATTATCAATGGGAGCCTCAGCACAGGTGTGGTCCCAGCTGCTTTGAAAGCAGCAGTTATTCGGCCGACCCTGAAGAAACCTGGTGCTGATGTCTCTGTGATAGAAAATTACAGGCCTATCTCTACCCTGCCTTTTTCATCGAAACTGCTTGAGAAAGTCGTTTATCAGCAGCTGGTCTCACATTTAGCTGACTCTGATCTATTTGAGGTTTTCCAATCAGGGTTCAGGTCTGGCCATAGCACAGAGTCAGCTCTACTGAGGGTCCTAAATGACATCTATCACTAGATCAGGGTACATCTGTGGTGCTTCTGTTGTTAGATCTGACGGCAGCCTTCGACACAGTTGACCACACGGTTCTGCTTGATCGCTTGGAATGATGGGTTGGGATCAAAAGGTCTGCTCTGGATTGGTTTAGATTGTATCTCCACAACAGGACAATCTGTGTTAAACTAGGTGTTTTTTTTTCTTCTTGGGAGGGGCTCCGCTTGGGGGTCCCGCAGGGATCGAACCTTGGTCCTCTTGTTTACCATTTATCTTCTTCCTCTGGGGTCAGTCTTTTGTAAACATGGCCTAGCGTTCCATCTCTATGCTGACGATTGCCAGATTCACTCTCCATTGTGTCAAGAGAAAGATCCAGTCCAGTCCTTTGTGTCCTGTCTCAATGAGGTGAAGTCTTGGCTAATGGCCAACTATCTGTATCTAAATGAAAGAAAGACAGAGCTCATTGTTTTTCACCCCAACAGCAGGGCTTTGGGTCGTTATGTTGATCTTGGCCCTCTTTCTCCCTACTCAAAACCAGTTGTCACCAGTTTGGGGGTGAAAATTGACACTGGACTTAAATTTGATGCTTACATCAACTCTGTGATCCGGTCCAGTTTTTTTCATCTGAGACACCTTGCAAAAATCAAGCCTATGCTGTCGAGAGCCCACCTGGAGCGGGTACTGCATGCCTTTGTAATTTCTAGGCTTGATTACTGCAACTATTTATATGCAGGACTGGGTCAATCATCACTGCGCCTCTGTTGTACACAACAGCGCAGCCAGGTTTCTGACTGGGACCAGGAAATGGGACCACATCAGTCCGGTTCTGGATTCCCTGCACCGGCTTCCGGTATGTTATTGTTCACACTTTAAACTCCTGGTCTTTGTTTTCAATTTCTTCCAGGGTGGTGCTCCCTCCTATCAGCCACGCTCCTGAACAGACATTCGCCATCACCCGCTCTGCGCTCCTCTGACCAAGGCCTGCTCGCTGTCCCTCATTCTAGATGTCGTACTCGCGGGGACCGGGCTTTCTCAGTCCTAGCCCCGTCACTCTGGAACCAGTTGCCACCCTCAGTCAGGCTGTCCCCATCTCTGCCAGTCTTTTAAGAGTCGCCTAAAAACCCACCTCCTCCGCTTGGCGTTCCCTGAACGTGTTTGAGTTTGGCCATCTTTTATGTTGATTTTATTTCCCTGCTTTCATTGATCTCTTTACCCCTTGTTTTACCCATTTGCTTCTACTTTAATGTTTTACCCTTTTTGCACTATTTGAATTGCTTTTATTATCGATTTATTCATCGTGTTTCACATTTCTTATAAATGTAGCTCTATTGGAAAGTTACTCAAGCTTTATTATGAATAAGTGATTTAGTAAATATTTTTCTTCTTACTTTCCTTTGTTATTTTAAAATTTAGTTATTAAATTTGACTTATGTTCTATTTTACCATTTAAACCATATACTTATAATAATTATAATATAATTTATATTATACTATATTATATTATAATTTTCATTATCTGATTAAACAAGTTCATCAAATTAAATCCGCTGCTGTGTCAAACATTTACTTAGTTTGTCAGTAGATTTTTCACCGAATGGTTTTTGTTTGTATTTTTTTGTTTTTTCCTGTAGGTTATACATTAATTGTGAAATCCAAATACTTTAATGCTTTTCTTGTTTAAAACAAAATATGGAGCTTTTAAAAAAATCAATGTCTGAGTGTGATTATTAGATGCATATGGGTATTATTATTAGTTAGCCTTTGAACTAATAACTAATAGTTTTAAATCTGACATGTTTGATTAGAAACTAGAAACGTATTTTGGTAAAAATTTATTTTATGTCACCTACTCATCATTTAATCAATAAGAGTAAGTTCCCTACCGTGTAGTTAGTTTCGCTCTGTGACCGCCAGAGGGCGTATGATATTTATAATTTCAACCTGCATTGCACAAACCTACCTGCAGATGTCAGTAAAGCTCAAAGTTCCAGTTCGTGCCAGATGTTTTTGAGTTGTCATTTGTTAATGTTACAGTTGAAAGGGTCTGGATCTATGTGGGCTTTTACTTTATTTTTATTTTATAACATAAAATAACACATTCCATTAAAAGTGAATGATAATTGCTACCTTCAAAGTCTGAGTTTTAATTTTTCATAATGAACAAATTTGTTTAAATTTAGATACGCATCTTCTCCACTATGTCTCTTGGGCAAAACAAAACGCAGATGCAGAATTAAATGCCTCACATCGGGTTAACTAATGACAGCTTCGGAATCAGTCCCCACAAGTAAAATTTTTGAAATATAAAGATGGCATCCTCCTATCTCACGTGAGCGCCTATTATTTGACGTTTTTTCACAAACGTCAGGTCTTTCTGCTTTCAAAGCCCTGTGCTGCTTAGTATGCTTGTACACGTTGGAGTGAACTAATATTTTAAAAACATTTTCACAAGTTTTTGGTTCAATGACCGTAATAGTTAAAACCAGAAGTAGTGTAATTTACTTTCAAAATAAAAGCAAATATATTTATTGGTTTACACCATAGAAAAATGTGCTTAGTTTACACATATAGGCATCTACCCAACTTCCTATTGATTTTCTGAAAATTGTGTTTAAAGAACAAGTCAACCCAAATCAACTTTTGTTGCTGATAAACTCGAGTGTCTGAATGTGCTGTAGACTTGTGTGATCAATAATTTGACACTTTAGCGCATCTTTGTTCAAATTTAAATATTCTGCCTAAAACTGTCAGTGTTCCGCCGTTGTCAGGTAAAAACTCTGCACTAGATTTGAAGCCACCGCTATTGGCCAAGAGGTACACAGTAACGTTAGCTGATATCACAATGCTGTTGTGAGCGTGTTTGTGTGTATTAGCTAGCAGCTCCGCCCTCTCAGTCTCCCAGGCAACAGCATTTGTTGCATTTTTCATACATGAAGTGGGAGTGGAGTAAGTTTCTTGTAGGGGGTGACTTGCTCTTTAACACATTATCAGACTGAAGCAATAAAAAAACTTTATCTTTGGTCCCTTTTTGTCATTTTGATATAAATTTTATTTTATTTAGCTATTTGGGTAGGCTGTAATATTAATATGTTATTCATTTTAAGTGTTGCGTTTGTTGAAAAATATTTATGTACTAAAATAGTGACGTTGCGTGAAGACTTTATTTTGAAAAGCTCAACCGGATGTTCAGTGTTTCAGTGCGTGTTTTTGTCACAGCAACTTCAGGCACCTGTTGAATACTTCGCACAAAAAAAATCCACAGAGGCGTGTGTCTACACACGCTCACAGAGCCACTAATCAGCAGCTGCAGACCCCATCACATGGACAGGAGACCTACACGGATACTCAGATAACGAGGATAGCGCTGAGTCTGGATTAATTAATCTTATCGGTCTTCCTCACTAGTTACCGGACTTTTGCCCTCTTTGGAGTCGTATTTATTCTACGATGTTAAAAGACCTCACGGCTGGTGAGTTGTTTTGTTTGCGAGCTTCGTCTGCTGTTAACTAGTGGAATAAATCCATATGCCCGGATTAATACATGCGATTAGGATGACATTCAGAAAGTCTGCCTTAACCCTTTATTTACTGCTGTTTGATATCAGGCCATGCAGCCTCACTTGTTATTATCTGTCATCCAGTTATCTTCTAAATCAGAGTTTCTGCCAAATTAAAGGGAATTTAACTTGTGTAAAGACATGTGTTCCTTCCTTAAGGAGTTTTGTGAATACCGAATGAGCTGAGACGGCTATAGTAGGATGAGCTTTTAAATTAAAATATTATTTGTTATATTTACATTAAAATAATAGGAAAGTAAGAGAACTTTCAGATTTGTTGGTAGAAGTGGCGCGTTTTTCCTAGTGTGTAAACATTATTAGTCAGAGTCTGGCAGAACGTCAGTTTAACTGTAATTAACACAATGCAAACTGTGTAATTATTATAAAGTAACATTAAAACGTCTCTTCTTGCACTGAAGTCATATTGATGGCATTTAAATCAAAGGTCCACGTCCTGCTTGTCCTACATGTTTTATTTATATTACAGACTGTGCCATTAAGTTTATTTAGCACTATAATAAACACTTCATAACATCACCTTTCACATTTTTTAAAACGTTCCTAATTTCTAAATTTAGGAGAGAAAAGGAGAATTGTTCAGGAATGTGGCCATTTTTATTGGACTGATGCTAGACTCTGAATTTACCTTAAGGGTGCATTTTAGGAGAAGAGGAGGGAAGTCCACATGCTGAAGACTATCACCTATTGATGAAATAAAGTATTCCAGCATTGTGTGTATATATGCTGGAATACTATATATATATATATATATATATATATATATATATATATATATATATATATATATATATATATATATATATATATATATATATATATCTGATGTGTCAGGGCCATGAAATGTTAAATGATGTGATCAGGTTGAAAGGAATGCTCTCTCCTTTACAGTGATCTTCATCCTTGTTCTGGTGCGGTGTTTGGTTTGAGGACAGAGCTGAACACTTAAGATTTAGGCCCCGGGGCGACTGGATCCTACAGGCATGCTTGCAGCCATGCTGCGCCAGAGTTCTGGTGGAGGATCAGGAGGTGGTGGAAGCGGTGGTGTTGGTGGAACCAAACTCTCTTTAGGTGTCACCCGGCTCTCCAGCTCCAGCTCCAGCTCCAGCCTGGGTTCAGGAAGCTCTGCTAGACTCCCCAAGAGCGACTCTGTCGGCTCGGATGGCCCGGACACCCCCACTGCAGACCCACACTACATCATGCAGCTGGTCAGCGATGTGCGACGGTTTGCTGATGTGCTTCTGCAGCTCAAAGATGTCTTTAACTCCAAAGGTAGGTCGAGGTGTTGTAGGAAAAAGACTCACACCATTGTTGGTGTTATCTGTAGTCTCTGTCTGGTTTGTGCTGTTAGTGTGAAGCAGCTGATACGACATCCTTTTCAAACCCAACAATAGTTTATTAGGTTACAGCCTGGTTATTAGAACCCCAGCCAAGCTGGTCCTGGTGGTATTTTCAGTGTCATTACAGATAACCTGGAAAGGATTTGTTTCCACAACAGGTTTCTGCTGTGGATGTGGGCACCTGCGTGTGTGATGTCACATGTGACCAGAACCAGCGTGTGACACCACGTCACCTGAGAAAACGACGTGTGTCATGTGTGCTTTAGCATCATATAGTTTGCTTCTCGTTTTACATTTCCTTGAACAGCCAGTGCGTTCACCTGCAGTAGGGGGAAACGGGGTGGAATGGAAAACAGGGAAAGGGATTTACAACGGAATGTCGCTGCCGGCCCACTTTTATGTACACACTGTTGCTTTTAGTGCAGTGTACACAGACCCAGGCCTGCGTACCTGTGTTGTTGCACTGCGGCCTTGACTGCACGGTCGATCAACCTGTCTTATCTCTGTTTTTTATCGTTGTTTTTTTGCAAAGAAAGCTGATATACATTTTAGTAGACGCTAAACATGATGTACATTGTGCAAAAACCTCTTTTTGAGGAAGCTCTAAATGAGCTAAATTTGCAGTACGTATGTTGCTGCTACCCTTTCCCCACATTACCACTACCATGGCTCCCAAGCTTTAGGAAAAAGGAATCCCAGATTTTTTCTCTGGCTTTGTTTTTCTACATCTTGTCTGGGAAGGTCACTAAAGGTGCTTGACCTGGCTGCTCAGCATTACAGAGAGCAGCTTGAGTGACTTTTCAGTGGCCTGTCAGCAAACTGCAGATCAAAGCTGTAAATCATCATGCGCAAAAGATTTAGGCCCCGCAGCTTTACGATGCAGAAGAAGTCGAGTCTTCATGGCTTCACGCTGCCTTTGTTTGACTGCAGTTGAGTGTAATCAGATACAGTTGCAATTTCCAGTCTGTTTAAAACCGGATTAAACATGATCGGCATACGGCGTGCGAGCACAGGTTCTCGCTGTGCAACACGGTCACATAGCTGTCATTCTAGACTATTTGGCTTTGCTGTTCCTTGTTGAGAAACCGGTTTATAATCCCTTTTCTCTCCAAATTAAAATTACCTTTGGCTGCAAGTGGAAAGCTCCGATTTTAAACATCAGTATCTGTCCACCCACTTTTGTTACCAACGCAAAAATATGTAGGCCGCAAATGAAACAAATCAAGTTACTCAGACGCCAGCACGTGTTTGTAAGCCATAGCGTTCCCCTTAGGTGGCTTGTTTTGGCTAATTACAGGAAAAAGAGAGATTCAGGGAAAGTCGGACACGTTAGTCTATAGTAAACAGATTTGTATGAGATAAAAGCTCAGACCAGAAACTTTTACATTTCTGTCATATTCAGACACAGAACAGGGACTTGTTATGACCTCACAATGATAATAATAATAATAATAATTATTATTATTATTATTATTATTATTAACACTGACCAGGCTAAGTGTAAGAATGCATCCAGGCTGCTTTTGCATTAACTCATGTAAATCAGCCTTTATTTTCTGGGTCCTATGAAGATGGTTTGTGCTTTTCGTTCTGATTTACTGACTACAGCCTGAGGGGTGAGTACCAGCAGATTGTTGGAATTTAAATCTCTCTTAATTTACGACCATATTGTCTCTGAAGCACATCACAATAGCTCAAACCTCTCGGTACTTTAAACTTTTTTCCCTTTCTGGCTACACAGACCCAGTAGTCACAACTTAGGGCCCTGTATCCCTCGCAACAGTGCCTGCATTCACAGTCAGTGATGTGAGACTGACACCCATTGTCCTAGGGGGCATCTCCAGACCAGCGTGCTCCTGCTATCTAGCTGCTTTTGCACAAAATGTTTCTTTCCCAAGTCAAGAATAGTTTGGGGCTGCGGGATTGGTCCCTTGGGTGTTTTTATTTTCTTCTGTTTTATTTTTCTACCGATGCATGCTATCCTTAAATGGACACTAATACACGGTGGATTTTGGGTTGTTGTTGCAGTCCGTGACGCTCGGCAGATTTAGTTTTTTACTTGTGTCTGAGGAGAAAAACAATATCAAGTTAGAATGGAGGACATGTTTTCTCAAATATGAGTCCAGGGGTGGTTCAAGGAGTGGGGCCACAGGGGCATTGACCCCTGCTGAAATCTGATTGGCCCAGATCCTGTCCTGTCACGGTGCTCAGCCCACAGGTGGATGCAATTCCAAGTCCAAACACATGTGGTGCTAATGAGCCAAATAGGAATTTCCAGCGAGAAATCTTTTGTTAACCTCTTCTTTCCACTGCAAGTGAAAGCATCGCTAAACAGCCGCTAAACGTGCCATGCTGCAATTAGCCAATGTTACAGTGGATGAGTTCCCTTCCACCGGCAGCAAACTGTGACGTTTTGGACGTGCCCCGGAAGCGAGGGCACACTATCATTTAATTCCGAGTATATTTTTACGCGCTATGCTTCCAAAACACATCACACTCGGCAGTTTAGATTGTGTCAGACAGGAAGTTAAACACAAAAGCAGTGTAAAACACATCTGGAAACTTTCAAAATAAAAGTCACATGCAGGTAAACGTACGTCATTTGCTGTTATAACCCTCGTAGCCGATGTAAACAACAGAAAATAAACCACAGACCTTTTTTGAAACATGCAACTGTCTTTCTCCTTTCCTATTATTGTGTGTGGACTTCTGAAATCATGCATGGTGTTTCAATTCTCCCGTGTTTTTGTGACTTCCCAGGATCAGCTAGTGGAACGCTTTTGCCCCCATTTCACGTCAGAATTGCTCCCGGTTGAAAATAAGCTGCTATTATGTTATGTGCCCACTTTGACGACCGGTGGAAAGAAAGGGTTTAGGCTGCATAGATAAAACTTGGTCCTTTTATAAATTGTGTGGCCCCTTAATGCCCTCACACCCAGAAAAGTCCTAGATTTGCTGCTATTTGCGACAAATTTCATTTCTTACTAATATGGTTGTGAACTTGTCATCATTTGGACAGATTATTGTGCAGAACATCTTAGGTCCTGTTGAGGAGTGGAGGTGGGCCCTGTGACTTTTGTTTTATACTCTCATCATAAGATTAGTGTTCAGCCACCAGCAGGTGTGTGTTTTGACTCATCCTCTATTTCAGGAGTAAGTATGTTGTTGTTGCTGCCTCCCGCCGTGGCAGGACAGGTGTGTCACTGGCGCTTTTATAACTCGGATGCCACCGAGCACAGTGACGGGCACTTTAATGTGTCAGCTGAGAAGGAATGAAAATTGAAGCAATAAAAAAATTCACTTGGTGTGCAGAGAACTGGGTGTTACCAGGATTTTGTGCTACAATACACTTCCTTAAGTAAAAGTACTTCAAAAATACACCTGAATAAAACATGACACCATCCAGGCCTTTCTCCTGCTGACTCAGTTCAGGATTCAATTACAGTTTATTAAAAACGTGTTCACGAAACTCAGTGCATTGCATCATTGAATTACCGCCATGCATATATCATTTCCCAAACACACATATATATATATATATATATATATATATATATATATATATATATATATAATTTAGCAAATTAATTTATTGGTTCTTTGAAAAGCCCGACTATTGTTTCAGAAGAAGCACTCCTTACTTTCAACAGCATTGTCTGAGCGACACACCTCAGTAATGAGAGGCCTCTTAAGTCCACAAAACACATGTAATAGCTCCTAAACCAGCAGTGGTGAGGTGCAGCTAATACCAGGATACACAAAGAATACTTAATTCAATTTTTGTCATCTTCTAATCCACTCAGATGTGCATTGCATTAGTAGTGCGCTCCAGGCGACCTGTTTCACTTGACTTTTCTCTGATCAGCAGTTTTCTCCACTTATCCGTAGCAAGTTTATTTTGAAGCTCTAATCTAGCTGCCTGATGCCAAAAAAAACAGAACAAAAAAAAAACCAGGATATTAGTAGTGTACAAATACTGCTAATACGTTTTTTTAATTATATGGCTTAGTATTCTTACACATCTCTGTTTGTAATAATTGATGGTTTTTACTTAAAAAATATACACGACTTTGTCTTAAAGTCAGATGAGAGCTTTAAAGGTCTGAGTCATTTGGCTGTGTGACTTACATTAGACGTTAGGTTTAAAAAAAACGTTTATGGATTTAAATAATTTCTCAAAGTACAAAACATTTTCGTGAATTTGTTCAATTTAGTTTTCAAGTCAAGATGTTTAGATTGACGTAGGAAAATATCGATACACTAAAATATCACGATATTTTGTGTTATGATACTGAATCGATATTTAAAAGCAGAGTACCAATATTTTAATGTTAATTTTAGATAGAAACGCTATTTCTTTTGTGTGGTGCAATTCAAACTCCCACAGCTAGGTGGCAGCAGTTTTTACTGCCTTCGCTCTGATGGATCAACAAGATCTCACGATAACACGGGACCGATTTTAGCTGAACAAACATCTCGTTACTTTATGACCATTTGTCCAATGTGTGTTTTTTTAATCCAAATTTTAAGACTAATTCCCAAACTTATTTAACCAATTCTGGTTCAGTTTTGACTCTTTCCAGGAACAACCATGTCAATAGATAAAATCACATTTTTCTCCAACTTTATGACCATCGTTTACATTTTCATTGCCAGTGTTAATGGATGGCTTAAATTCCCTCATCTCTTTATAAATAAGCTACATGATTCACTTTGAGTCATTCGTTATGCAGGGTTAGATTTAGCCTCTTTGTTTGTATTTGTGGTATTTAATGATTAACACACACCTACTAAAATGTTCTACTGGTGTTATGTAATCTATGATAGACTATTACAAACCTGCCTGCTTGGTAAAATTTCAAAGTGTCTTTAAAGAGTTAGACATAATGTTAAATGGAGTTGAAATAGTTAGCTTTAGTTTGGGCCCCTTAC